AAAGTGATTTCATAATTTTAAAAAAGCGGACGTACTTCACACGATGGGTGGGCAACTGTTGTAGATGAGAAGTTGAGATATAGAATTGAGTTTGATGTATATATGTATGCAATAATTAATCTTTAGTAACGAAAAGCAATTCTGAGCGGAATTCGGTTAATAGTAATGCTTTGTCAACAATATACCAAGTCATATTATGGTAAAATAATACACATGCATTATATATTTTCTTTGTCGTTAGCTGTCCTGTTCCTTTAAACTCACGCTGTATATTTCTATATTTATCCTAAGTTCCTTTCCTTCAAGTTCTGCTCTCCATTTCTCAAGCTATTATTAACTTCTTCCAGATTTTCTCCTATCAAAGCTACATCATCTGTAAACTTCATACGCCGTGATATTTTAAATATCTGATTAGTCAACAAATTTAGATTTATTTTTAAATAAAAGATATTCGATTTTATTTGATTATGCTATTATGATTTAATATTATTTTCGATATTTTTATGTCGATATATATTAAAAAAACCGACTATTCACAAATAGCCCGAACCGCAGTGTAAAAACTAAAAATATGTTCACGGGAATTTCTTATACAACATAAGTAACTACTAGAAAGCTCTAAAAGAAGGAGGTAAATTACTGCTGACTCATTACTAAATAATAAAGTTTTTGGTATTTTTGGAACAAAAATTACCGAAATTACAAAAAACTACAAAAATGATGAGTTACCTTAGTGGACCAGATTAAAAAAAACCGTTATTATTTGTTAAGTAAGTTGTCACAGAAAAGAAAAACCTTTTTAAAAATTAAATCAACGACAACAACGGTTAACTGTAAAAGGGACGGGGTTGAAAAAGAGGAGTCGTGGGGAAAAAAGTTGTTATTTTGTTTTTGCTCAATACTAATACAGATAAATCCACGCAAGACAGCTACTAGCTGTAGTACCATAAAAAACTTATAACCCTAGCAACAAATTTTCGAGCATCTTTGAAAATCAAAAAAAATGTTATCCATATTTTTATTTTACTAAATGAAAACTAAAATTCAAAAATTGAATTTTAATCATATCGTAACGTAACCGTAGCGTCTATGTATAGGTAATCACATATTTTCATAAAACAACAAATATTGTAATAATTATAACGATTCGACGGTCGCGGCAGGAATAAGTTTAAAAATTAAAAACTAAAAATTATAAAAAAAAAAAACCGAACAAAATAGAATATCTTTTAAAAAGGTTTAGAGTTTGTAATATACGTACCTGTAATGTACCTACCTACCAGAGTATTTGATGCGTTTTCCGCGTGTATCAGCAGTATAAAAGTGTAGGATAATACGCAATATGGCCTGCATTTTCACAGAGCTAATTAAACACGGAACGAAGTTAATTAACTCTATAACCGTCATTTTCGCGGCATCGTCAAAAGATCTTTAGATATATTTTATGTATAATATCTATATATACTTAAATAAATACGGTCCATCGAGCCTTTGAACTACCACTGCTGCTGCTACCGTCGTTTCACTTAATTTCACCGTTGCTTATTTCATATTAATTATTATAATAATAATTAGCGCTTAAGAAATTGTATTATGAATACCTATACCAGTCTACGCAGTACCTACCGCGTATTTTACTCGTTACTTAGGCAAAATTAGTTTATTTTTTATTTTTATTTTTTTATTATTATTACACGCACTTCCTAAAAACAAAAAAATATTAATTAAAATAACAGCGGAATCGAGAGTTGTTTGTTTTGTTTAGGCGTTCCGCGGGAGAGTAAAATATATAAACGATGATAATAGCGCAGAAATAGTGTAGAAGATCGGGTGTGGGACGGGACGGAAGCGACACGGGCGAAACAAACGATATTTCAATTTGCATTAAACATTTTACTGTGAAAAGAAGAAAAAAATGGTTCACGGGCAGTGTACGGAGTGGTGGGGTAGGAAGGGGGGTAAGAAAACGTGGAAGGAGGGTAGGAAATGTTTTAATGAAAATTATTGCACTCCTTTCACACACAAATAATAAATAAACCAGTGGATTTTAAAAACTTACTCGGATTAAAATGTCGGCAATTCCAAATTAAAAAATATCAGAAAAAAAAAAGGAAAAAAAAAGTGATTGTATTTTCATGATGATGAACCATCCTCCGCTCCGACGATGAAAAGAATAAACGACAGGCGTGAGTTATATACGCAGAACAATAGAAACACAAAGAGCCTTTAATTCATTACTTATATATAAAAGTAACATTATAATAATATTATAGTGGATGGGTAAAACGAAAAATTAAATCTTGTGCTGAATTCGTTCATTAAATAGTTTTAAAAAACGTCAATTCGGATAGTTAAAATTTAAAATACACAATTATTAATTTCTCCTTCTGAAAAAAAAACTGCAACCAAGCCTCCCCCTCAGATCAATATTAATTGACATTATTGAGGCTCTCCTCCCTCCGAATATTTGAGCTTTTTTCGTCTATATGCAATTATTCGTTTTGACCGTATTACTTTAGTAGCGTTCTAAAATAGTATACATATTTCTAGTGATATTTCTATGAATAGTACACTCATTATCTCGGAAAGTATTAACTTTTTCCGGAATTTATTTCCTAAAACATTTAAGAAACAAACTGCTCTACAATTTTATATTTATGTTAATTCTTGTTACCCTTATTTTTGAGGGTAAAACCACTACCTACTTTTGATTTTCAAATGACAACCGAAATGGTGGTGAATTATTAACATGCCGCACGCCGTACTGCCACATAAATGAAATATTCCGCTACTCTACTCCAACCCAAATTTAAAAATGGATTATCTCGTCAACGACTTGACAGAATCAAAAATTTCAACGCTAAAATTTATTTAAACTAATACTTCATCTATTTATGAACTTTTTAATATAGGTTGCCATTTGAAAATCAAAAGTAGATAGTGGTTTTATCCTCAAAAAATAAGGGGAACAAGAACTAACATAAATATAAAATTGTAGAGCAGCTTGTTTTTTAAATGTACTAGAAAAGTTAATACTTTTTGATAATGAGTGTACCCACTTAAATGAATCACCTGGTACACAATATTATCTAACCTCATCCTAAATTACCCGGTTTTTCTCGGACTACCAAATAACGTCGTATTATTTTTATTACATATAGCTGAATATTATCCGGTATTTCCAGAGCTTGATCCTTTCAAAGATAAAAGTCAATAAACGAATTTCAATTTAATGTGTCTCCTCGTTTCCACCCTTATCGCTATCATAGTTACTCGTTGATACCCGGTAGTTTATCTTTTAAATATGTTAATACCAGATAATTTTTCTGTTACAACCAAATTAAATAAGTAAAACTGTTTTTTCCATCCATACGGTCAAGATAAATCCATTAGTCAACAAAAAGTAAATTTAATTTTTGTTCCAAAAATACCCTTTTTCAGCCACCCAATAAGAGTTGAATATCGAGGTGAAAAGTAGATAGCGATCTTTCTCGTGTTGTAGTACAGTTTTATCAAGGTCGGATAAACAAAATAGGGGGTCGGCTTAGTCCCCCAAATGTCTGTCAAGTCTCCTCAGGTTAAAATTTAGTACGAAGCACTAAGTATATTTCATAAAAAAAAATTATAAAAACTCGTAATACATAATGATTTTTTTGATAAGATTGAACACGTAGATAGATCTATACAATCAAAATTAACACTTTCAATACGCTCAGTAATCACATAAATACTAATAATACCTATATATACATATTATACGCAGGAAATATTATACTACAATAAACACGATTGAGATTGTAACTTGGTTGAAGTAAACTTTGAAGCAAACTCAGTTTTCAACTCGATCAATAATTACTTATTGAAAGGGATTTATCTAATAATATAAATGGAATAATATTGTAAATTTATCTGTACAAAAAAGGCCCCCATCACCGTTTTTTTTATTTTTATTATGAAAAAGGCATTTGTTGAGTTCCTCAACAAATTTGAATTATTTGTACTCATCATATAAAAATTAGCACGTAAAAGGGTAGGCCGAAATTTCAAATGGATTTGAATAATAACTAACCAAGTTAAAGCAATTTTTAAGTTTTTAAAATTGGTTACATTTTAGAAATATTAATTTTTTTTTAAAAAAAATACGCTAAAACAAATGACTTTTAAACCTTGCTGTGTGACTCAATAATGTTACTTAGCCATTGCAACCGAATCCTAGTGAGTTAATGTATTGGGTAATGGGCATTATTATTAAAAATAATGTTAAGGTATACATGAATAAACATAAATATGTATACAATATACATACACGAACAAAAAATAAATTATATCTCATTAACAAAATCATTCCACAAACCCCATGTAAAAAACGGTTTAATATAAAAAATTCAGATCTATTAGTTTTAAATAAATACATTTGTGACTAATTTATTATATTACGTAAATTCAAACATTAATCGTTTTTGATTTTTACATCAAAATATAATAACTTATTCGTAACCCTTAAAATAATATAACTTAGAGTGATATTTTTTATGCATCGCTGTTTTTTACACGGAGTTTTCGGAGTTTACATCGATGATCGATGTACGTATCAATAATATTAATTTAAGTATGTGACGTGCAAGAAAATAATGTAAGTAATTTTTAAATCGTCTTGATTTCCCGTGTTATACCGAATAGTTTGTGTAAAAAAACATAAATAATAATAAACTACATCGTTATAATACGTTTATATACATTTGATAACAAACAATCAAATTTTAACCATAACACAATTATTACATAAAATATTGTATAATGTAATGAAAGAATAAAAAAAAATAATAATAATAAAATACAGAACGACTGCAAACTGTCATAGATTTTATTTACACATGTAAAAAGAAACAGTATCTGTTTGGAAATTATGTCAGGTGGTTTTTTTATTTGCTATTATAAATTTATATGGTTGTACAATAGCTACAGTCTATTACTGATATTATCGTAATCGCTCCGATTTTCTACGAGTGCACCTCGAGTATTTCGACTCATAACAAAACCTGTCATATGTAATTTTTTTGTTACCTATGTAAAACTTATTTGATCCTACCCGACTGGTAACTGCGGATATTCAATTGTTGGGCAAAATATTCAACGTAATTATTTTATAATCTATTAAAATTTAATAGTTATATGAAATATATTTTAGAAAGGTTAACAACAAAGATTTGAACAGACCTTGGATTGATATTCTATTTTTGGGAGGTACGTAATACGGTGTTCCGAAATACATGTTTAGGGATAAATGTCAATTTGATAACACTTTCGGTGCACGCACACAATGCGCAATAATTGTGCATTTTTTCAACAAAATCATTTACTTTTTACATTAGACTCTAATAGTTCTATTCTTATTCAAGCAAATTTAATCAATCAATACAATTTTTTTTAAGCATAGTTTTTGAGATACAGAAATCTAAATATGATTTTAGATTCTCAATTTAGCGAAGAATACATTGGGTTTAAAAAGATGTTTATTATTTGTTTTATGTTTTTTTACTTTATGTTTTACTTTTTTTTTACAAAAAGCTTACCCTGATTAAAAAAGATTAAAATATTAAAAATAAAGTTATCATTAGCAACCGCTTTTATTTATTTTTGTTATTATTAAGTTTATTTTATTTTATTATTTTTTAAACAATCATTGTTGTCATAGAAACGCATATATTTTAAATTATTTTACCATTATATGACATATATTGTAGACAAAGCAACACTATAAACTGAACTCCGCTCAGAATCATTTTTTCATTTGCAGTGGTTTATCGTTGCTTACAGGTATGCATTAAATTCCCCTCTACTACAGTAGCTGCACCCACGTGCGAACTATGTCCGTCCTTTTTGTTAATCTTTTTTCAACAAATTTAAAACACATGACTTTAAAATTAAAGCAATTTGATTAGGTAGTACCTAATAGGTACCTACTATTTTATGGGGAAACAGTTATTTGTAAAGTTCATAAAATAACAGAAATATAACGAAAGTTCCAAAATATCAAAATAAGTAACCTACAGGTTCAATTTATGGGAAAAATCAATACATTTTTTTAAAAAATTCTATACCAAGCCAAATATAAATTATGTCTGTATATTATATATACCTATTTTATGATATACAAAAATTGTTTATCATACAATATTTTAAATTTTGGTAAAATTCACATCATAGATACTGATGTTAATGGGAAGTTTAGAAGGTATAGGATATAGGGTAGTTATTAAGTTTGTGTACACATGAATTGTTTCAATCAAAGAACAATTCTGAACGGAACTCAGTTAAGCAGAGTACCGGTTAAGTTATAGTAGGGGATTGATAATGGTTTTTTAGTTTTTTTTTGTTTTAAACGATAAATAGTCGATTTAAACCTAAAAATCTGTCAAAATCGTAGGAATTGTATTTGAAGGATTTCAATTTTGAAAAAAAAATTATGTCTCTTTAAGTTTTATACTAATACATGTTTGAAATAGAAATGTAATTATTTTACTGAAAATTGTAGAAAAATGTCATTGTATTTTTAACAAGTTCGTATAGAATTTTAAAAAGAAAAAAGGTATTTTTCGTCTTTTTGGTTTTTCTCAATTATTATAACTTCTTTAGATATTAAAAAGTGATTTTTTTCAGTGATTAGTGCGCAGTAAATATTTACCGTTTTACTTATAATTATTATCTATCCAGTTTTTACCAATTATTTCGTAAATCCTTTGGAAAATAAAAAATTGGCATTTTGAATGCACCAAATAGATAAAATTTCCTTTCAGAAAAAGTACTACGCTCTGTACATTGGAGCAAAATTTCGGGTAGAAAAGTTGTTTAAAGGCAGAAAAAAAAAATACTCATCATAATAAAGCCAATTTAGATCCCTTACTACGCACTGAATCTAAAACTAATGTGTCGAAATATTTGTTGTCAGTTAGGCAATTTTTTGAATTGTTTAGAAAAACAATCGGGAATCTAGAAATATTTTTCGAATAAAAGTACCACACTGGATAAAAAAAAAACACATTTTTCAACGTGACGTGTGTGTGATAGTAAACAAATAACAATATTTAGAATATATTTTTTACTAAAAAAAAACGCATATCTTGATAAAACTTTAATAGCTTCGGCGTACGGTACACTCGGAATTTCAATTTTTTTTTTTTCACTGATAAACGATAATTATTATTTTAAGACTACCCGTAAACATCTGTTTGCGTATTATTATTATTGTGTTCTCGTATACGCGTTGTTATATTATAATGTATACGTATATAATATTTATTAATACAATGGCTGGGCGGATCGGTTTTTAGGGTTTTATGATTAAAAACGGCTGCGGTGGCGGTGGCGCGCGCGGCCCATTGTTATAAAGGGCTTGGCCAGAAGATTATGAAAACATCATGAACCGAATATTCTCATTCACTTCATCGCAGTCAGTCAGTCAAAAGTCTTTGTCTGCAATAACTCCTATTGTTGTTTTCTCCACGCGCGCGGGGGCTCTATGTTGGTCGTTGTTGTTGTTGTTGTTGTTCGTATTCGTTTATTATCATTACGATTATTATTATTATGATTATGATTATGATTTCACGTTTCTCGCACTCCACCACTACCGGTCTTACCGCCGACGCCGCCGCCGCCGCCATCACCACCGCCGGTGAGAACTTGATGAAGCCCCCGGACGATTTCCATCCGTCTCCTGCATTACCCATCGTATTACACCGCCTCCGCCGCCATTACTATTATCTATATACCACCCTTTTGGCATAAGACCGTGCTTAATCAGAAAAAAAAAATATATGAAACGGATTTCTTACCGCAAACTCCTGCAGACTATTAGCCTAATGGGAAGAGCCTATCCCGATGTATATATATTACGCGTGTACCATAAACAAAAGGCGCATTTTTGTCTAGCCTTACGGTAGAGTAAAAACGCATTGTTTCACCAGACTGGAAATATACACGAACGATACTAACAATAAGACTAAAGAGAAAAAAGAAAAACAGGGAGGGGGTGGGAAGAACAGAAATTCATAATAATATACTCCGTTGGGAATTTTGCTAATTTTGTGCCAAAGTGTTTCTATCCTATATATGTATATAGGAAGGTCCCAAGACGATAATAATAATTCTTTCGATACCTACCTTTTAAAAAACGCAGTCAATGTAATATGAATTCGAACACTTCAATACGCACAATATTAAAACACCGATATTGACTAGTAATACTAATACTTACTGGAAAAATGAATCGCTTTCATATATTATTATAATAACACGCTTCATAATATTATTTTTACGCTTTCTACCCATAAGAATCGAATTATTGTGATTTCTCCTTACATATTATGTATATGAAATTAGGTATGTGCCTATAATTTTCTGTCCGTACAAAGTGATGTTTATTATTATTTAGCTTTTTTTTAGAGATTTATCCTAACTTGTAACTTAGGTAGGTATATCTACTAGAATCGTATTTCATTTTAGATTCTGAGAGAAAAATGTATTGGTTTTACTATAATGTGTTTTTTTTCAATCTGTAAACTCTTTTTTTTTCTAGAAAATGTGTTGTTTTTATTTTTAAGTGTAGTTTATAGTAAGTGTCTTTTTTGAAAGTAAATTTTATGTATCGGTGAATTGAAAAGGTCATTTTTTCTCTCTCGTCTTTTTCTTCAGATTTTCTTTAATGTTTTCTTAACAATCTGTGGGAAAATCTGCGGAAAAAAAATAGAAAAAATGGGAAAATTGACTACAATAAAGATTTTATTATTTTCGATTTGGTTTTATTGATAAATTGTCTATTTAAAATAATTCTAGAGACCTGAAATGTTTACAGAATACTTATATTACCCTATTATTAAATTGATTCTTGCGATTTTTGAACTATTTAAATATAGTCAATTGACATTTTATAATTTTTTTTAGTTTTATTTGGTTTTATGTGAATAAAATTATGTTGGCTGAACAGCAATACTTGAAAATTTAACACAGGGTTTTAGGTTTAGGTAAAAATTAAAAGTTAAGCATCACGCTTACGTTACATTACGTAGTAGTTTTTTTATAAGTGATTTTAGTTCAAATTATAAAAATTTTAAAAATATTAATCACCTATAATTTATTGTAACGTATGTATATAATTTATATATATATATATATATATATAAATTTAATCACTCATAGTAGCACACCCGTGAGCTATATTAACTCTTTTTTTTTATAATCATTATTATTGTCACAATAAATTATAAAGGTATATTTAAAATACAGAAATACGTATGACGATAAAGTATATATCTTAATATAATACCTAATTATAAGTTCTATCTAATGTGTTTATATTCACACACTTTATATTGTACAGAATAATCAACTCTTCATGTTATAAATATATTTCATCGGTGAAGTGATTATAAAGCATTCCACAAAAAATCCGTTTGCGCTTTACGGGTAAATATTAGTGTATAACTATTTACTATACATATTTCATTTTAAAATTATCTGTAATAAAAATATTGGTGTAAATTAAATATTTTAAAGTCACCGAGTAGTATTCTATTTATTTAACAATAATAATATTATTATTATACTATCTTCTCAGATATGATAAGTTCTTTATTCCTACGAGAATAAAAATGAAAAATATGATATTCCAAAAGCTTGCAAATTCTAAAATACATTAATGGTTTTATATGGATATTTTTCAATAATTTGTGTTTAAACTTTTACCATCGTTAACTATTAAAATATACCTACCTACACAAAAGAACCCTTTTAAAAGAGGTATAATATGAATAACGCTATAGATACCGTGTAATAATATTATTTTAGTTTTTAAGAGCCTTTTGTAATAGATATAGATATATCTATAGATAAATATCTAATTATGTTAATTCAAATCCTTTTTGCTGATAATTTCCCTTTATGCGTAGGTATTCACAATATCATAATATTCTTTGTTTACAAATAGAGCATTTTACCTTGACGTGTATACAAATTTTTAATATTGAATTAAGTATAAAAGAAATAATGTTATTGAAAAATTAATTATAAAATTCAATTTAAAAGTACACGATATTATAAAAAAGAGGGTTTTTTAAAATTTAATTCGGGTTGATGGATTTTTTATTTTGGTTTATTTAATAGGTACTTATCAACAGTTTATAATTAATGAAAGAGCTGATACTGAACGTGCCACTGTTGTTTGGTGGGAAGTGGATATAGTAGGATATGTACATTAAGTTATTAATTTATTTCTGTATTCAACGATAAACCACTTGGCATTCAAATACCATAATTTTTACTATTCATCGTTGAAATTCGATCTTAAAACGCTTATAAAAAAAAAAAACTACTAGATTACACTAATTATTTTTTTTACCAATAAGAAGTATGTACAATGGACATCTAGTTAAATTTGTCTAGTTATTTAAAACAATCGTATCCACATTAAACCAAAATGGAAACTAAAAAAACTCGAAAATATCAAATGCCTATAAATAGCTCGACAAAAGTCAGCACTTTTTAAAAATTGTACAACGTATAGAGAATTCTAATATAAGTAATCTGTAAAAATAAATATTTTCGAATAATTTTAACCAAATTACAACAATAAAATCGAAAATAATGAAACTGTTAATGCCATACATTTTGCTATTTTTCCTACATATATTCCCGATCATTAAGAAAACTACACTGAAAATCAAAAACCAATTCAAAAATGTTATCTAAAGTATTATTTGTTAATAATGGTAGTTAAACAAAATAACACAATTCCCATTGTAAAGATTTGTAAATCAAAAAATTATATAAGCCAATGTTTGTTGTACCTATGTACTTAGACTGATTTACTAAAATACTTATGCGTACTTAAGACTTAAGAGGATGATGAACTCAAATTCATCGTTTTATAAGCACCCATATATTAAGTACTTTTAAATAGTGCGCGTTCTGCGTAAATATTAAAAAAAAAAAAATGTTTGGTTTACATGTTTTAAAATACGATAATTTATCTTAAAACGCTTAAAAAAAATACTGCATTACACTCAACTTTTATTTAACAGCAAGTAAAACTTAAAATAAACCTCATATTAAATTTTGAAGCATTTATGTTTGGTCAAAAATTGTATCCACATAGTACCTACCTACTGCAAAAATGTAAAATGCCTTTAAATTAGCTCAAAAATCGTCAGAAATATTTGAAATTTTTACGACGTCCAAAAAAAGTTAATATGAATATTCTGTGAAAATTATCTTGAAAAATTTTCAATAAAAACCAAAATCGAAAATAACGAAACTATAATTCCGTAAACGCTCCAGCATTTCCTACATTATTTTCCGGTTTTTCCCAATTATCGTGAAAATTTGTAAAAATCAAAACACAACTTTCTTATTCACTAACAAGATTTGAAATGCAACTAAAATGGTATCTTTTCGTCTTTCGATTTGAGCAATATTTCTGGTAGTGAACATAAATAAATTGTAAAAATTTAAAATAATCAAATCGACAACTCCACGGTGACCGTAAATATTTGTGCGCTTTTGCAATAGTTTTTTTCTCGGTATTTTACAATTATTATGAAAACCTCTAAGAAAATTAAAAATTGATCACTTCAATAAATCCAAAGTTCAACAAAAAAGACATGTCATTATTTGATTGAAGTAAGATTTCTGGTAAAAAGTCACTCGCACAAAAAAAAATTGAAAATTAAATAAAAACATACACGTAGTAAACCAACAACAAAATACGTTACAAATTTATCTATTTTAAAAATTATAGAAAATAACTCACAGTACCGCAAAGCGCAATTAGTGTGTATGCAAAAATCTCCCAAGTACTTTCATAGTACACAAATGTACTAGCCAATTTGAAGTGTTAGAGGGCACCATTAGTCAATGCCCATAAAGGAGATTTAATTGCGTTATTATAATCTGTCAGCCGTCTAATTGTGATATTTGTAGTGCTTGTAAAATTTAGTATTGCCATTTTGACTATCGGAAAAACAATTAAATATTAACAAATGAATTGACTCGTTAGCAAACTCAAAAAATAGAGGACTAAACTTGTACTAAGTGTTCATAAAATCAATTATAACATTATGTTTATATTGTTTATTTTAGTAATTTTGCTTGGAATATATCTTAATAGTGTTCAAAAATTAACTAACACTATATCAGTAATATATTATTATAGACAAATCATAGAGTAATACGCGTAGTTCAATAACTTTGTTAATATAGATTCACGATTATTTTATTTGAGGGTGTTTGTAATTGCAAACTTTTACATTATTAATCGATGATTATCGTAATTCGTATAGGTACTATATTAACACAACAGATGTTCGTTGCTTTTCTTTGTCAATGGTTGTTTTGTCGTGAATATGTTTTACAATGCACTCTACGTGATACCTACCCCTCTGGTCTTTTTCAAAAAAAAAAAATCTAAAAACATTGCGGCCAATGATGTATAGCTTTAAGGATGAAGTATAATATAAATGATGAAAACGGATTGATTAAAATCACTACGGTGCATGCATGTAATTATTACTTGTTGAACGCGTTTATTTGCCACCGGCCCTTCCTTTCGTGTCACCCCTATATTTGAATTTGATTAATTTCGGACAACAGAACCCAACAACGACCCTCTTCGTACATTATAAACATGTTCAAAGGACACGCCTTTTATTTCTTTATTTCGTTTTGTCTATATCCCTTTTCAAGTGAAATATATTATGTACATACGCACTAAAAAAAAAAAAAATAAAAAAAACTTACAATATATAATAACATTGGATAATACAAATAATGGATCAAATTGATCACTTGAACATTGTACTTGTATTATATTATTTTTAAAAATTTTATATAATGTTATTAACCAAATTGTACACTAAATATATTAATTCAAATAATGAAATGATCATTTTCAAAATAAATGGTTCGCTGTTGCTATATATATTAAGTTTAAAAATTGTATTTTTTTTAAAAAATTAAATATCCTCAATCTATCGACCTATTTTTAAAAAAATCATAATAGTTAGAAAAAAAAAATAATTTCAACTAGCCACTACTCACTAACCTAACCTAACCTAGCCACTACTCACTAGAATATAAACAATATCAATATCGTTTTTTATAAGTTTTAGTTTTCTTACGTTTATTTCGTTGTTTTAAAAAAATAATTGAACATTAAAAAAAAAAAAAAATGATTTATATTGTTTCATATTTTTAATTAATAGTCAGAAATCTAACCTTTCAACCCTATATACCAAACATAATTTGTTAAAATTTTTATTTTGAATTAATATTATGTAATTTTAGACGTGACTTTTAAACATCTAGACATGGCAATTCCCCCCCCCCTTTCCTTTTCCGTATAGTTTTTAATACTCTACATGTGTACATGCAATATATATATATATATATATACTTTTTTAATAAAATCCTCCACCCTCCCCTTGAAAAACCCTCAGATCCGTTACTGAATATACCGGTATTTTTAATTATAATAATTTCATAAAATTATGTATTTATTTTATATTATATAGGTGCCTAACCAAACCATTTGTGACGTCCAACTGGCAACTGCGATAGTATAGCACAAAAGAAAAATGAAAAAAAAAAACATTATTATTATTATATAATTATTATACCCTTAGCATGGAATTATATTATTTAGGAGGGAAATACGGGGTGCGACCGAAAGAAACGCCACCATTGGCCAAGGAGCGCATCCAATGGGGCGTTTCTCGTCGAGCTGTATATTTCCAGAGGGATGCTCGTATTGTCAGTTAAATTTCGAAATCATAATCATCCCTGTCGTGGTGCGCTATGGCCGGAGGTCCTTATTTATCGCCGTTACCGGGTGATCTTTTATCGGAGTATATGTTTGGTAGACGTAGACAGGCAAGTTATATTAACAATCATTAAAAAATATATACTTTTTTTTCGATTTAGTGTTATCCGAAGGAGTATACTTTTTTTTTTTTTTATTAATATTATGAAAATGGATTTTTTTTTTTTTAATAGAGAAGAAACCGGACCACTTTCACTCCACAACAGCTTCAAGAACTCGAAAGCCTTTTCCAAAAGACCCATTATCCGGATGTATTTTTGAGAGAAGAAGTTGCTCTACGCATCAACCTTTCCGAAGCTCGAGTACAGGTCAGTGTTAAACCTTCTTTTTTTTTTTAAAACTAGTATATTATGGATTATGCCATACGTACAATGGTAAAATATAAGCATTGTTATCATATCAACGAAATTTTTGTCCAATCAAAAATTATTGGCAAACATGAAAAATACAATTTCTTTATTTTCACTCAATAATACACAAAACAAATTTGTAACAAAACGAGTCACTTATTAATAACCAATAATATAATACGAGTTAATAGTTATTAATAAAAAAAATCATTCTAGATATCTAGCATGAACAAATCTTAAAATTATAGAATTAAAAATCCAAAAAATAGCCTCAAAATCTAAATGATCTAAAAAAAAAAAAAGAAAAAAAGAAAATAACTTCGATCGAAAATAGCTAATCGAAAATTTTCAAAAAATTGCGAGTCAAATGTTTTATTCTCATTCAAAACCCATTAGAATGAATTTTCAACAAAACGAACATCACACAGCAAACTTTGGAAAATTGTGCAAAGTATATTGAAATCCCAGCCTTAATTATTATCAATTTTATTATATTCTTATATTAATAATAATAATAATAATAATTTATTCATATTGAAATCTGCAATGCCTTCTTAAATATTTGCGTATTAATAGTTTTGTTTATGCAATGATAATATGTTATGTAAAAAATCACATTAATTGATTTTTATTAAAAACAATAATATATCACTTTATGGTGATATATTAATATAATGTATTGTAAATATCTTTAAAAATGAGTAGGTAAATAGAGCAATTAAAGATAACTAAAATAAATGTTCATATAAATTTAACATAATACGTAAATAAGGTAATTAAGACGGTTAAATACTCAAATTATTCAATAATTCTTTCCAATTATAATTAGATCGATTTATTTAATAGGTAGTAGTTTTAGAAAATGTATAGGTACTCACATTTTCAAAAAATTTAGTTTGTTAAAACTCACAAATAAAACCTTTAAAAACGATGAAATTTAAGTTAAGATAAGTTAAATATAATATAGTTATTAAGTTTTTTTAGGATTTTGATCGGAACGTAATGAATACTGTTATTTAATTGTTTTACGACGAGGAATTTTATAATATTATCATTTTTGTACATGACAGTGTACATTATACGCTCGAAAAGTTTCATATAAGACTACTTATACTTCGGTAATCGAAAACATTATATAGGTAATTTTTTTTAATTTTCCAATTTATGCATTGAAAAATTATTTATCATTTGAATCATTTATCATATTTATCACTTAAAAATAAATATACACTTATATTCTTGTTAATCGTAACTCACCCTTAATAATGACTCTCCAACCAAATAGCATATGCTTTTAATTTAGAAAAATTAATATTATTATTATTTTATTTATTTTTTTTTTTTTTGTAAGACTTGTATTTATAATTTTAACATTATTAAGATTATATTTTATAAATAATGAAAATATTATAGACTATTGCATATTTAAATATACAATATGTAAAATCAGGAGTGGTCAAACGGGTGGGAGTGTGAAGGGTATATATTAACCCCTGTTACATTTTTCCTTCAATATCTATAATAAAAATCTGTTATATTAAGTTAACTATTTATTTATATTAAAAAAAAAAACATTAATAATAATAATTGTGAATAAATGTTATAAAATCACCTCAAAATCATATAATCGCCACTGGGTAAAATTCGTATGAATATAAACTTTAATATGTTTTAGTAAAAGTACCAACTAATTTAATTTCTTGGAATTGTAATTATATATATATATAGGTATGGTTTCAAAATCGTAGAGCTAAATGGCGTAAACACGCTCGACTTCAGATCATTCAAGACGCATGGAGAATTCGCTGTATGGGTTTAAACACGCAATCACTTTTATTGGGCAAGTTAAATATAAACATAATAATATGCAAATATTTATCCATAACGTCAAGTTTACTTGTTCAGGTCGTCAAGTACCGGAAGGAACAGCTCGCTTAACGGACGAAAAAGGGTCCCCACCAACGCCTCCTACTCAATCGACTGTCTCATCGCCTACCCACGTGCCAGGAAGTTACAGAATGCTTCAAAAGTATGATAATAATTAAAACAATTATTTAAAATGTATATTAAAGTATTAAAACTTTTTTTTTCCTAGTTTCCAAATAACAGAAAGAGCGCCGATAGCCGGACCAACCGCAAATGCGGTTACTCCTAAATTGTTCTGCCCGTATTCTTCTACCGGTAAAATAAAATCACTTATTTTCTACGTCATTTAATTTAATTTAACACAAAATATATAGGTATAAAAGAATACGATTAAAATAATATAAACGAAAATACAATTAATAATTGATAAAATTAAGCGTCTTCTTCTTTTACGAAACTAATTTGTTCTTATTTAAAAATATGTATTAATACCGGAGGTCAGTGTTGTCTAGTAATCCAAAATTCAAAATTTAACAGTTAAGCAATTATAATATAGACACTTAAATTTAAAAATCCGGATTCAAGTTCGAGGTTTTATTGAACCTCTATTTATGTCTATCATATATTATATTATATATTCAAAATTTCATATTTATACGTGTCATAGATTTAACTTAAATCTCAATCAATTATTATATTTTTTTTTCTTGTGTGCCCTTTGCTACCTCAACCAAACCCTTCCAATGGTCTTTATATTCCCTACATATTCCATTTGTGTTTTTTCATCTTCCCGATATAAATTTTTCTTTACTCAATCCAGCAATTATTGTTCCTTTGGATGATGTCCTACTTGGATTTGTGACTAGTAATTTTGTGACCAGCTCACTTGTCTTATTTAAACAAGCCATTTTTTGAATATTTGGACCATTGAAGATTCTGTATCTAATATCTGCATTTATTTTTCTTCCTTACAGCCCTGCTTCGGTCAGAGGCGTCTCCAGACCTTAATTATGGGGGAGGGGGCAAAATAATTAAATTTAATATTAATAATTGATAAGAAAAAAATACACACTTCGCACAATGGATAGACCACTATTATAGATGAGAAGTTGGAAGGGTAGGATATTGAGGGAAATTTAATTTATATCTGTACCTAAGCATATTTAAACATTGCCAACAAAAACGATTCTGAGCGTAGCTTGATTAAGAGTATTGACTTTAGGTATTATATACATGGGTCCAAATATTCTCATAGTAACTTTTCTTTCAAATGTTAGTAACTTTGTATCGTTTCCTTTAGTTGTCAACCACATTTCGCAGCAATCGTTTCCTTGGAGAGGCGTTTAAAACTAAACATGTTGTTCATTGTATAATATCCGCAATTTACCGCTTTCAACATCAATTTTATTTCATTTTGCGTGTCATTTCTATTATTTACATATTGACACATCAATAAGTACCTAAAGTTTTCTATTTACTCAAATGTGGATTGCTCTACGGAAATATTTTGCTACACAAAACGTATCCCGTCTAATCATAATAACTTATAATCGTTGTGCTCTCATTTATGTTGAGGTTTATTATGTTACTAGATCTAAATAATTTCTACTACTTTATTTTGAGAATCTTTTGAGAACTACTATATCATCAACGTACACTAGAAATGTCTCCTTACCGAGTACCCTCTTTCTCTAATAAATGAATAATCGATGAACTTTATATTATAATAATATTTTATAGTAATAATTTAATAATAATCTTTTAGTTTTTTTATTTATTAAACGTTTTTAAAAAACCTATAATTAAAATGCAATTTAAGTAGTAAATTGTACTATTTTGCCTATAATTATAGTTATACCTATCACAAGACAGTACAAATTCTATAACTATATAAATTATTCAATTTTCAGAAAATGACGTTTCAAATAGACGATTGGCCCATCACCAGGACGCCACTAGGTCTGATATGAATGGAAACCTTTCTTTAATGGTGGGTTCTGTGGATTTAACATGCTCAAAATCTCGTCCTACCAGTCCGGAAGAAGAAAACGATATAAACGTAAACGATTGAATATAGATCATAACAACAATAATTATAATTGATATTATATGATATAGATATTAAGAACCAAAAATACAATTTTACTTTAAATTAATGTTTATAAGAACTAAGTTAATATTATCAGTATTAATTAATATCTAAGTGAATACATTATGTACATATAATTAAAATAAATATATTTGCTAAAATTACTCACAAAAGAAAAAAATATAAAGTACTAATCATATTATAGAAGTTATAAATATAATAATTAATGTACAAAATATATTATGTTTAATACATAAAATGTACTAAATTTATAAACGTTAGACAAATTCAAATAAGAATGTTATTCAATCACCCATTTTTTGTTATTATTATACTATTTTCAAAATATAATAATATATTTGTATTTACGCATTTATCTAAACTTTTAACAATTAAAATAATTATAATAATACTATATTCTTAAAAACAATTTAAGTATTTACAATAAAGTTAAATAGAATACAATAATTTGTATTAAACAATTTAATAATCACGTATCTATTAAATAGTGTTTCCGCTTCTATAAACCGTCTTTTATTTTAAGTATCTAATAGAAATTGTATTTTATTTTTTTTTTTTACTTTAGATATGCTTCAATATTGTAGTATTTTTTAAAAATAAATATAAATAATTATAATCATTCATTTTGCTTGAATTGTAAAATGTTACCTGTACGTATTTTTATTATTGTGTACCTATATAACTCATTTTCTAATCAAACAAAGCACAATGTTATAATAAAATAATATATATATTATGCTGATATACTTGTATAAAAGAACAAACTGACTAACTGATTGACGTATCACGTATAAATGTACAGCCCAAATCACACAAAGGTCAACTATACAATGTATATGACTACTAAAAAAGAATTGTTCAAAATTTAAACCTTAAGAAGTTAAAAGAGGTTAAAAAGTTCAATGCGTTGAGTAAATCTATAATAATATTATAAATTTGAAATGTCAGTTTATTTGTTTTGTTTGATTTTCCTTTTTTAGGTCACAACTATCCCAAAAGTTAATATTGTTTAAATTACCTGTCTAGGCGTTAAAAATTATAATAAATAAATAAAAGTGGCATAGGCTACTTTTCATTCTGGAAAATCAGCTCATTCCCGTAAGAAACCTAACTCCCTAATTTCTTTTTAAATGTATAATTTTTAGGGGTTTTAACTTAAAGGGACTGTTTTTGCACCTTTAGATAGAATTCAATCAAAACTAACATCTTTTATACACTTCATAGGGAAAACATTATACAAGTTCACGTAAACGAAGTAGCTTGTAATATAGCTAGTATATGATGTACTTCAATTATAATCTATATACTCACGTGCGTTTATGGTACATGGATTGACAATATTACGTATACAAACATTGGTAACAAGAACGAGATGGCTCAAGTGGCAATGTGGTGGTCGCCGACTAGGCTCTTTAATTTAGGCAGACAAAATACAATAAGTTATAATAACAATAAAAACAAAATACATTAAAATATAACGTAAATCTATATAGTATATAACGCATTGTGTGTAGACAATATTATTACTGTTTAAATGCAATTTAATAAAATATCAAAACATTGTGTATTTATTTTATTTTTATTAACCCAAACATTTTTCGTTATTTTTTCCATAAACCATTTCATTGAATTTGAATAAAATACAATTATTTTAAAACAAGAATCTCCACACAAGAACTGCATCTCAATGCCATCAGTGTCAATTCTGTAATTACCTAATTGCTTAATTTAGTCCATAATGATAGGTACTTCTTACTTTTGTAATAATAATTGTGACCAGAAAATGTGTCTATTGTCTCAATAATGTATGTAAGTGTTATGTATTATGACGGTATACTTGTAATGTATAGAATATCGTCTATAAGAGGTGTTGCGTGAAAGGTTATCCAATCGTACCTATATACCACCGAAATAAGTGAATGCAAGAAAGTGGGAGACAACAGTTGAACACCTTCTAATATAATGTAACATAAAAACCTTTTTACTATTGAAAACATAATAATATTATTAGATCACACTCAAGAAATTCAACAAGTTGGTTGTTAACTCAAAAACGTCGCTAAACGTAAGCATAAAAGTACAATATTATACATTATACTTTAGTGACATTATTATTCACAAGTCATTAATAATTCTAGCCTATTCAATAGTTTAAAATAATATAATAATTTTTTTTTTCTATCAATACACAATAGTGAATAAGTATACAGGGTGTAACACGAAGTTCTGCCACTTGAAATAACTTCTATTCAATGTTTTTAATATATATATATGTTACAGTTAAAATCCAAAATCCGTCAAAACTAGTTTCCGCAAATTCTTTAAATCAATTCTAATTTTGACTAGATAAAACTAGAATTAACTACAGATTTAAATAAGTCTGTCAAAACTAGTTTTTACTGAAACGCATGTATTCCAGCCGGCACTACCTAAAACGCACGCAATTGCATGCGATTTAAAAATATTGCTCCATGAATTCGACTGGCCGGCTAACAAATCATTTAAGATAACTTTAACCAGTCGTCCATCCAATAACTTTTAGATATGATAACTTCGACCGATTATACCTTACAGACAATAATTCGGCCTCTGTAGCATTTGTTATCGTGTTTTCAGTTTTACCAGTTCGTTTGTCTTCGTTATAGTCCGTACCTACGTGTGTATTTGTCTCGCGCAACTAGTTAAAAATATAAAAATTTAAATTACGCATTTCACTAGATAATTCTAGTTTTGACCAATAATTTTTTACCAGTGAAGGTCTTAGTTAATTCTAGTTTTAAATAGTCAAAACTAGAATTGACTAAAGGGATTTGTGGAAACTAGTTTTCACTAGTTAAAACTAGTTTTGACGGATTTCGGTTTTTACTGTAACATGTATATAGTAAATAATTAATATGCCTCTGTGCTATTATATTTGTATGGACATTTTTCTAGGGGAAAGAAGGAACTTAAAGTAAAAAAAATTTTAAATTGCCATTTTGTAAAATAGATTTTTAGAAACTTTTTGGTACTTAAAACTTTTGTTTAGGTGTGGCCTTTTATTTTATATAATGTTTTAGAGTTTTGGCAAATATAAATATTATTGTGGCTTATAATCTGTTATAGTATTTAATTAGTAGTCAGAGTACATCAAAAAACAAGGATTTCATTGTTCATAAGTCAATATCGTACAATAATAAGTAATAATAATAACTACTAATGATTTTCTTGAAGAAAATTATAGTAAAATTAAAAATTTTTTATTTTAAGTTCTCCTCCTAAACAAAAAAAAAAAATGTTTTTGTACCTATAGCACTGAGAAATACTAATTATTTTTAAAAATATATATTTATATAAAATATATTTATATATATATATATAAAACATACTGAATAGAACAAAAGTTATTAAGTGGCAAATCTTCGTGTTACACTCTATAATTATTATATTAATTCTTTCGAAATTGAAAAATATATGTTGTTGAAAAGTTTTATTATAGTTGTATAGTTTAAAGAATGTATCATTCAATTTTAATTTATATAAAATACAATACATATATACTATTACTGTATTAATGTAATAATTATAATGTTGTATTTATTTATTTGTAATATAGGTACTTTTGTTTTATAAGTATTTAAAAAGTATACGAAACCATGGGTAGCTGTACATTTATTGTCTGCAGCACATTGCTACTGTTCCAGTTGTTCACTACTAAACACACTTCTGCTGAAAACGATTTACCGTTCATCAGGTAATCCAAAAACTTTTAATCTGAAATATTAACATTATTGATAATTATAATTATTTTATTTATATATTTTACACCTAAAATGGTTAAATATTACAATTATTTTACCATTTAAGTATAAATTAAAAGGAAAAAAAATGCTTATATTTAAAGTTATTTATATGGTTTATGATACCATAAGTAAACTATAAGACACCTATTCAAAAACTAAGCAGATGAAAATGCATTATTTATCCAATAAAAATACTATAAAAATTATATTTATATATATATTTTTACTGATTTATATTTTATATTTAATTATAGTAAAACTTACAAATGCATAAATAATACGTGTATTATAAGCAAATTTCAAAATGAGAAAAATGAAAATTATGGAATAAATGAATCTTTAGATGTTTGCCGTTTAACTTGTGGTCAGTATGGATCACTTTGGCCAAGACCAACTATCACAACTATCATAAAGTAAACACGAAAAACTTATTAATAAACTATAAATTAACTTAATGTTACTTAATTCGTACTAAAATAATAATTCGGATTTATAAACTCTAGAGATTCAGTAATTGAATTCGGACTTGATAATATAACATTCAACACGTCTTCAGTGGTTGACGACCTCGGAAAAGAATACACGACAGAAGTAGCCTTGGTTTGGCTATCTTCTTTAAAAAAACTTTGCGAGCCACAGTGTTCTCCAAACGTAAACAATCTGACTATTCATGTAACGACAGTCACTCCTTTCACTAATCTTAAGTGGTCAACAAACGAAAGTTATTCTCTGAACATATCTACTAATTGTAAGGAAGATTTTATTTTTTATTTTTTATGACAACTTTTGCAATAAAATATTTTTTTTTTTTAGTGGATCAAATAACTGTTAATATAACAGCACAAACTGTGTACGGGGCTAGACATGGAATGGAAACATTACGACAACTAATATCAACTTACAAGTCTAATTATTCTAACAAGACACTAGTGATTGCTAGAGAAGTACAAATAATAGATGAACCTATTTATACACATAGAGGATTTATGCTTGACACCTCAAGGAATTATTTCCCGCTATCATCAATCAAAAGAACAATCGACGCTATGGGTCATTCTAAACTCAATGTATTCCATTGGCACGCAACCGACTCCCACAGTTTTCCTTTAGACTTGCCTAGCGCACCACAAATGGCAAGGTGAGACGTGATTATAATCTAAAGTTATAGTTAAGTAGAGTGATATGTATATAATGTATTGTGATATATTTATTGCCGCAGGTAATTTTATATAGTACCTTTAACAATAACTATATTAAATAGTTACTCAAATACTTGTCCCAAACTATAAAAACGAGAAACGTGACAAGAAAACAGTAAATAATGCTAATGAATAACAAAAATTACTTATTATTAATAACTATTATGTGCTTATTTCAAATATATAATAGGACCTACTACAAACCAAATTAATATTTATATATATTTAACAAACTTAAAATATAAGTATAACTATACTTACGAGAAGCTACTTTAAATATTAAAACATACTATTTTTATTATATTTATTTTAGATACGGTGCTTATAGTCCTGAGAAAATATATTCATACGAAGAAATCAAAGATCTCCTCAGATATGCATTAGTTAGAGGAGTTAGAATCATTATGGAAATTGATTCACCAGCACACATGGGTTATGGTTGGCAATGGGGTAAAGAAGCCGGATACGGTGATATGGTTATTTGTCTGGGTAAACACCCGTGGTGGGATTACTGTTTACAGCCACCGTGTGGACAACTTAATCCGCTAAACAATAACACATACATGTGGTTAGGAAAAATATATAAAGATTTGGTTAGCGTATTTCCTAAAGGAGAAACGTTCCACATGGGTGGCGATGAAGTAATTTATTTTTATATAATAAAGTCATATTCAAAGGGGGAAAAATTCGAATTTTAATACTACTTTTAAATACAGGTCGCTGTACGATGTTGGAACACAACAGCTGAAATTGTTGACTGGATGCGGACCAATAACCGAAGCCTGACTGAGAATACTTATCTAGATTTATGGTCTGAGTTTCACAACAAAGCATTAAACGTATACGATAACGAAGTGGGTGATTCGGATTCGGATATAATTGTTTGGTCCAGTGGCTTAACCGAACCACATATCATAGAAAAACATCTCACTAAAGAACGGTATACCATAGAAGTCTGGCAAGGAAATACAGTATCGATGGATTTAGCGAATTTAGGTTATAAAGTAATCGTGGCCGTAGAAGATATATATTATTTAGATCACGGATTGAGGCCACCAACGACTTATCATTCGTGGAAAGTTATTTACAACAACAAATTGCCGACAGTTAATAATTCAAATCTTATTTTGGGAGCTGAGGTAATATGCAAAAACCCTATAAAACATTTATACTGCTAATATTGCTGGCCATATGTAATTCAAAATTAATTATAATGATAAATATTTTTAGACGTGTATGTTTTCTGAATTTGTTGACGACTACAGCTTAGATATTAAAGTATGGCCGAGAGCTGCAGCTTTAGCTGAAAGACTATGGACAAATCCACCAACCGATGCATTAGCTGCTGAATATAGGTACGCACAACTAATTTAATTTTTATTGGAACCGAAGAAAGAAAAACTATCCAAAAATTATTATTGCATTTTCTAGGTTGTTGCAACACCGTGAAAGACTCGTAACGCTAGGACTCAAACCGGATAGGACTACTCCAGAATGGTGTAATGACCGTGAGGGCGAATGTATTATTAGTTATTAATTATTCAAAATATAAAAATACCTAGTATTATAACTTAATAAAATCCACATAGGTTATCTTTTTATTGTTATCGACCAAATGAGTGAAATTATTATGTACCGATATGAAATGTATTAGTGTTCGAAAACTTTTGGGTTGAAAAATTACAAATAATATAATATAGTGATAATATTATTGTTTAGTTTGACAAAATTTTTGACGAAATTTTATGTTAAGTAACAATTAATATTAATTATAGTATAGATTATTCAATTATTACATTATTTGCTATTTTATTCCAAACATTTTAGAGTTGTTTGTTTCAAAAATAAAAACAACGAATTTTGAAAAATGTTAATACTTTTCGAAATATCTTAGTGTAGATCACTTACTAGTGATTACTCACATAGATCACTCTGTATATGTGCTGTATAACAACTTCAGTATCTATTATAATTTATAAATAATCCTTATCCAAGAGAAGATATATTAAGCAAATCTTTTGGATTAATCAAAATTTATTTCACATATATTTTAAATAATACCTATGCCGTATATGCTATAAAAGAGCGATTATAAATACTACAATTTATATAGAAAAAGAGCTAATACTATTGATGAAGGTATGAAGTTGAGATGGTAGGATACATACAATTATTTAATTTTTATTATTAAGCAAGGATAAAACGTTGCTAACAAAATATGATTCTGAGCGTAGTTTTTATACATAATTTGAAACGCTGTAATACTTAAGATTTTCATCAACATATAATCTTACAACCAATATAAAAAAAATTGAACTGATACTGGGGACGGGCACGACCACTGTTGTAGGTGGGTAGTTAGAAAGGAAGGATACTTAAAGATATTTATTATACCTGTAACCAACGATAACCCATTGCTCACGAAAATCGAACTTGAAACGTTTATCAAAAAAAAATTAACACATAAAACATAAAACACAAATTTGTTTTTTAGATCACTAAATACAACTTATAATGAACCTCCTGTCAAATTTTCAAGAATTTCTGTTAAGTCTAACAATTTTATCTACAGAGTACCTACCAAATAAAAATTATGTAAAAACTCGCAAAATTAAAATATCTATTAATAGCTCAAACATGGCTCAAATATTTTTAGAAATTTACCACGCAGAGAAAAAACTAATTTTAGTTTCCCGTTAAAATTTTAATTCAAATTTCAAGTTTATAATTATTTTAAATTGAATTATAAAAAAAAAAAATAAATTTGAAAATGATAAAAGCATTATTTTCGTAAGTTTTCCCGTTCTTTCTACGTATTTTTCTGTTTTGTTCAATTATTAAAAAAACTACAAAGAAAATCATAAAACGATTTCCTAACTTACCAACTAAAGTAAAAATCCAACTATAAAAGTCTCTTAGTGTTTTTCGATTGGAGCGATATTTCTAATAGAAAACATAATTCTTAAAAAAAAAAGAGCTGATACTGGGGATGGGAGCGGCCACTGTTATAGGTGAGAAGTTGGGAAAGTAGGATACATAAAGTTATTTAATTTATATCTGTAAACAAAGATAAACCATAGCTTGACGAAAGACGAGTCAACCATCACTAAAAATATAAAATATAAATTATAATGTTATAAAAACTACACAAGACGCAAACAGCAAATACCCGTACGAAAAACGCAATGTTACTGAACAAAATCTAAAATTAAGATTATAACCCAAATACACACTTACCTATTCTGTCTTATCGGTAACTATCATGGTATATCTACCATTATAAAATATGACTGCTAGAAACGTTCAATTATATTCATACAATATGATTTTTTGGATATTCAATTAAATTTCATCGTAGAATAATGCGGCCCGCAGGCTGCTGGTTGCCGTCCACCGATCTAAACAAATTAAGCTTTTAATTAAGCTTTCAGAAAAGTTGCTACACGTAAAAATCTAAGCAAGTTTACTAGGAAAAAACGCATCCACAGGCTAAAACAAAGAAGAAAAAGAAATAAACAGTATTGTAAAACCAATAGCTCTATCGCTACACTCGGAATCTAAAATGAAAAATAATGAAATATTAACGCCGCGGCCTAGGTCACTTAGCTATAACTCCACGTCAAAAAAATGTTATGAAACTGAAAGCTTGTATTTACATTAGTAAAATCCTGAAAAAAAAAATTAATTTTTTGAACATGTTTAATGTTTTATTTTTACCACCTAAATTTCAATCTCAGACCACTGTGCGTCATCTTTTTCTATTACTATTAAATTATTATGCGAACTGCTTAGAAAATTAAAAACCTACTTACTTCTTCAGAAACTAGATCCAAAATGCAACAAAAAAGGCATTTTGGCTCTTTTCGAATGAAGCAAATTTTCTGTTCGAAAAGTTGTTTACAGACAGAAAAATAACACACATCATACAGGTAGTAAATCAATAGATCCCTTGCATTGCTCCTAATCTAAAAAAAATACACACCATAGTAAAATTAATAGATTTCTCGTCTTGCTCCGAATCTAAAATGTACGTTTTTTTTTTTATTTTCCTAAGGGGGAACAAAGAAATGATCATAACATTAATATATTATACTATAATATATAAAACTTACTTAACACTATACTTAGTACCAATTAAAAACGACGAAAATGTGTAATTATATAATATTAGATATTATCTATGAAATACACTACACCTTGGTTACATCAAATTTAATAATTTGATATTGCTTACAAAGTTTAAATTTATAAAAAAGTTGTTTCAGTTGGGGTAATGGTTAATTCTGTGGTAAAAATGGACGCCAATACTCGTCGGTAATTCTGAATCCTAAAATTAATTGTGCAATTTCATGCTGAGTGCACTCTAAATGTTGGCACCAGAAAAATAGAAATACGTTAAGTGAGTAGGAGGAATGGGGTATAAAAAAATTCCCCATTAAAACTAACTAAACCGGGTTTCCACTTGTCATATTTTATATCCGAGACCACGTTCGTGTGTCTCGAATCCGTGGCACGGATAATTATTTGATTGTGTGTACGCGACCACGTCCGTGCCGGTTATCTCATACGAGTCAAGTTATTGGATCCGTGGTGCCACGGATATGTATCCAACTTTCTCATACGAATTCCATCCGAAAATAACTGCAGTATCATTTTACCAATCATTCAGTGCTCTTCATGCATTTCAGTCCTTCAAAAGAAGAATTATATATGTGTACTCTGAAATCGACAATGACAATGTATTTTGTAACGTCAGAATTCGTGTTCATGACGCACGGATCCGAGACCACATCCGTGTGTCTTGGAAAAAAAATATGACAAGTGATAACTGGCGCTCGCAGACGTAATATTTTATTATAGTATCTACGTATGCCATAATACTTCCTACTCGCTTGGTAATAATGGAACCGGTACCGATGGTCCCCTCCCATTAAAGTATACCTACTCAACAGACAACTGATACAACCAGTACGAATTGCTAAACAATCTTGATCCGGAGTCTACGACTGGAAGAAGTTCTAGAATCTCAGTAAAAACGTTACATTCACGGTAAGTAATTTCGAAATATTAAGTTTATTTTATTTTATTTACCTAGGTACAAAAACATTTAATTGTATTTAGATTTTTAAATTACCTTTAATGTATGCATGATGCTAATAATTGTATGTTGTGTTTAATATACTGGCAAGTACTGATGACATACAATACATTCGTGAAAAACTATTTTTCAAACAAATTATTTAAAATAATAATGGTTTACCGCATAAGACCACGTAGAAATCGAAATTTAATATAGTCATTGACGAAAATTAATTTAGTGATATAATTTGAACCGCGGTCAGGCAACCTATAGATACATAGGTATACGTAGATTATTAGTACTCACTGATTTTTTTTTTTTCATTTGGAGTTTTCAAGTTATAGATATCGCATTAAATGTCGTACATTTTTCATATAAATATATTATCTAAAAAAATAGATTTAAGAAGAATGTGATACTGAACATAATATTATTATTGATTAAAACAAAAATTTAGGTACACCTGTTTTCCGTTTCTATTTTCCCCGACTTGTTCAAATCTGTTTAAAATTGATTTATTTCGTAATTTCATATAGATATTTGTGAGTTTGTTTGTTTTATTTTTAATCATTTAATAATACACAATACTACGCGCTCAATATTATAGCATTATAATAGGTAAATCATTTATGCGTTTGTATTCAACTACAATGTGTACAATAAATATAATTTATAATAATTTATACTATTGAAATAATTCGATTTATCATAAACGGGATAACGTGGGATGATTTTTACTATAATGTATACTGCATATATATGTATATAATACTATTGAAACAACTCGTTTTATCATAAACTGGATTACGTAGGATGATATTTTTTTTTAATCGATTATTCAAAACAAGTTTTGTATTTTAAATTATTATTATAATATTGTATTTTTTTTTTCTGTCGGTGGGTGGACAGATTATTCTACCAGAAATCTTGCTCCAATCGCTAACATCAATAAAGGTGATTGCTGGTATTAAATGTAGTCTATGGTTGATTTGTTGGAGAGATCATATATTTGTTTTTCATTGAAATTGTAATTTTCATATTGGGGACACTAGGAAAAAACGTCAGAAAAACTGGAATTTATAGTTACACAAGTTTCATACGTAAATTTCGTTGTTATGATCGATTTTGTTTTTCGTTGTAATTCAGTGAAAGTATTCTTCGAAGCCTGAAATTAGGCCCTTTCGAGATGTAGAACGATTTTCAAAAATTCTGGCGTTTTCTTGGTTGTTGTTTATATTACAATACAATATATCCTTTTGACGCGCTGAATTCAAAATTGAAATCCGTTTGTCTCTATCGCGTCTATAGTTTTTATGCAACGCAGATATAAAAAATGTGTTATATCTTGTACTATATAAAATAACAGATAAATGCACATAGATAATAACCATATTACCGAAATATTTAAATGTATGAAACAAATAAATAATATCATTATTATAGAATTTATATTTATCTGTTGCATTTGCATGTTTGTCCGATTTATGTCGATAAAACTTTTTTTAGCTCCATAAAAATATTCAAAAATCTGAGACAAAAAACGACTGCAACACGGTTGAGCCTATATTTTATCAGCGTATCAAAGGATACAAAAAAAACCTTAACAATTGAGTACAAAAATACCACTTACGTCGTTGTCATTTGTCATGTTCTAGAATTTTGAATCACATAATTATACAAAAAATAGTATTAATACGAATACAGTATGAATTAAAAATAATAATAAATACAACGAATTTTATGGTCATGTGCAACGTATTTGTTAACCTTTCGACAATAATAACAATAGTAATAAATTTCGCAAAATTATTCATGTTTAATGTGTGTGTGTGTATCATCCAGAAGTTTCAACCACATTACGTTAGTTGAAATCGGAAAAAATTATTGCCAAACAATTATCACCTGTTCTAGTACCTATACATTTCCATCACAAAAAATTGTCTCTTTTTCGCTCACTAATTAATTTATATTTGTTTATTTCAATTTTCTTGGGCCAATATTATTAGCCTCTTTGGGATAAAATTAATTGAATGATATTTGTTATTTTATAATTTATAAAAAAAAAAACTTATTTTTATTGATTTTATAATATTTTTACGTACTGGCGTATGCAAAGAACGTATAGGTGATCAATAGTGTTTCCTACCTATTATAGATCTGCGAGAGCTTGGCCTAGCTCCACCAGTCCGTCCGGGATTTGGGCCGGATGTTACTTTTACATTTTTAATTTATTACACGTCGGGCTTTTTTTTTTACAAAAAAATGCTGACTGTTACATTTTTATTTTTAACCTATAATACCAACAGTCCTATTAAGAGGATACGACCGGCGTGGTACAGTTATTCCAAAATAATAAGAAAAGATCCTGGCCGAGCTTTTTCTCACCAATAAAACACCGGGGGCTGAATTTTTATGCACGCTTAAAAAAACCGGTCTCCAAGCCGGATTATTTGATAACATGGCTGGCCCGGACTGAGCCAGGAGTTATCGGCCCGTGCAGATCTCTACATACTGAATTTGTTCAATTATAGTTTGAGAATAACTTGAATGAGATAAAATGTCGCCTTTGTGACGGTCAGATATCCCGGATGAAACTAATACTAATTTATTGTGTTTATTCATCGCGTATAACATTGTCGATAAAGCTTGGCTCAACGTATCTTGGCGTGTAAATACGTGAAAATAATAAATTACAGAAGTTCGGTTTGAATGTGGCGATAGGCCACATAAAATATTCTGTGCTCACTCGTGTTGCTAAAAAAGTTTATGCTCATTTGTGTTATGCTCAATCATAAAAAAAACACGGGACAATAATAACTGTTGTTTACTATGTACAATACGAATAAATGGAATTTTCAATTTGAGTTTATCGGAACTTCGCTCACAATTATTGTTTTTCATTAGAATCTGATTTATCTAATGCATACAGATATAAAATAAATTACGCTAAATAGAACAAGCGTTACTTCATTGCATTTATAATGTACCACTTAATCGTTAAACAAATTTTATGAGTATTTATTATAGTCGTTTTATTCCTCACATTTATATGAGTTCTTATTATACTATTGTGGTAAATAAACAGTAAACACATTATTCGGTTTGTGTTGTCCTATTTTGATCCTCATAAAATTGATAAAGTGTTCACGGGTTTATAAACAATAGTTAGTAAACTCAATAACCAAACGATTAACCACAACATGAATGACAACCAATATTAAGTATTTATTATTGACATTCTTTTCTGTAAGTACCTGCAAAGTATCTACGTATCGTTAGTACAAATAGGAGGTACTTGAAGGGTTTATCCACCCGGGGACGCGTGATTATCCAGAAAATAATTGTTCAGAACGCTAAAGACCCTAACTGTGTAACAATCCGAAAAATAAAACCCCAGAACATAATATTACGGTCCGGACCACCACGTTCCGGGTTTTAATTCTTCGGCAAATTATAGCCGCTCCCCCCCCCCTCCGAATGTTCTTTTCAAGAAAATACTAAGTACCTTATACACAATTAATGTTAACCGATTTTATGTGTTAAAACTTGAAACAATTTTTGTGTACGTACAAATAATAATATAGGTACGTATAATCAATAAACTCTTTAAATAAATGATAAATAAGTACAGTGAGAATTCGGTTTGAAAAAAAAACTAAAAAATGTTTGAAAATTGTAAGAATATTTATTATGTTCGTAGCACCAACGCATCACGGACGACGTACAGTGGAGTACAAAAAAGCTGGCCAAAAATATTTCATGGGCTTTATGAAGTTGAAATGAATTTGAAAACAATTTTAGATTATATTTCGAAATTTTTAACTAAGTTTAGCAAAATACATTAAATATTTGTATAATACGATACACATTATTCTGTGTTCTCGTCTTCCATTTCATAATCTTCTTGATTATCTTCTTTGCTGTTAGTGGTGCGTGTTTATAGTGTCTCCGGAAAAAAAGGTCTGAAGTTTCGCTTGGAAAAGATTTGATTTTTTTTTTGTATTTTAGATCTTATACTACTCAAAAATCGGTCTGAACTTAGCAAAAGTCTCTTAAAAACATCATTATTACAAGCTTGTCGAGAAAATTTCCTAAAAGTTTTGTCTGTACAATCTAAAATACGTATTCCTTACTTCGGCAACTTCCTCAGATAATTGACCAATAGGTAATATTGGATCTGAAATAACTGTGGCACCATGGATTAAAATTGTGTGTATTGTGATTGACATTGGGTGCCGCCCATATAACTGTACGTAAAGTTTTGCCGTGCCTGTAGTATATTGTTCAAATTTGTCCACGTTTATTTTATGACCACTTGGTATTGCTTCCAATATAACTTAAAATCTTTGAATTAGATTTATACCTAGTCCAGCGATACGTGAAGATGTATCTGGTTCGGCGAAAAATCTTGAAAATAAATAAATAATGTCACGCACCATTACAGGTAAAATGTAATAATTAACTAAATGGCGTGAAGTGGCGGAAGATTTTTCTTTAAAAATCTCACGGCTAGTGTCTATACTTTAATGAGAAATTTAGAAACAAATATTTCTGATTGACAACGCCCAACACACATAGATTTATACATGAATACTATTAATTACTTTGAAAATTGCATAAATATCTTAAAACGAATGATAAATGACAAGTGAAATTACAATTGTATAAAATTTGTACCTATTGTATTAAAACCGCATCGTTGGGTAAATACCCAACGATCTATCTACATCTATCTCATACGTAACAGTTATTTTAAATTGTCACTTAATATTTATATAAACGTAAACCTAATACATTACATTATATATCACGATGGACGAAATAACGACACGTAAAATAGGACAGTACTATACTTTTAACACGTAATTTAAGAAAAAATTAACAGATATACTTTTGAAATGTTCAATATGCCCTGTAGACATATTAAAGTTAAAGAAAATTGGTATAATTATGATTTTTAACAATATTTTTGTTTGTACTTTTGGCCAGCTTTTTTATATGAATACTCCACTGTGCGGCGGTTCCGGTTAGCGCGCACAGAATATATTAAATTACTAATTAGGTAGGTATCTGCTTGGTAATACGTGTGCGGAATGCCGACGAACAGTGCAGGTGAGAACATCGAATATGATATAAATGCGTTTAAAAATTCGAAACTCAAACTAAATAGAAACTTATCGTAAGTATTGCCTATTGATTGTTATATTATTTTATATATTTAGAGAGTATACCGGGTGATCCATTTAAGTGGGCACACTCATTACCTCGGAAAGTGGTAACATTTATCGAAATTTGTTTTCTAAAACGTGTAAGAAACAAACAGCTTGTTACGAAGGTAACAGCTACTTATCTAGTTTTCTCTCTATCGAAACCGTCCGAACTATGGTTTTTTAGAAAAACGATCGTCGAGTAAATACGAGTTGTACGGCGGGGATCGCGGTCGGGCACTTTCAGGTGTGGAGAGGGAGGGGGAGTGGTGGAAAAACAATAGGAACGTTAACGAACCAAAACAAATACACGGAAAAAACCTTTTTTTTCTGGCGCGTTGTCGTGTTGGGCAAACAACAGTCGCCATTAATATTAAAACAAATGACAGGCGGCCGGGCCGTTGTTTGCCGACCGACGCACAGTAGAGACGAACGCGAGCCGTTCTCCTACTCCGCGCGAAACACGGCGAACGATCGTACCCGTTACCGTGACATTTGTCGACGCGCGACGTGACGTCGAGACGCGCACCCGAAAGGTCGTCGGTGCGTTTCGCGATCATTTTTTCGTTATTATTATTATTATTTTTTTTTCTCCCCCCCGGAGGGAGAAGCGCGCGGCACGTACACAGGCCGACGCAACTCGCGAAGGGCGCCGCCGCCGCATCTACGAGGTCCCTGGAAATGCGCAACAATTTTTAACATCCCGCGCGTTCCGTGGCGGCGTTATCGCGACGCGCCAGGGTCCCGGCTACAAGTCACGACAATTTCCGAACTGCGGCGCGTACACGCACTGTGCGAGCGCAGTGTGCGGCGGCGATCGACGCGAAATAATCGTTCGGCGGCCCCGAACGATAAGCCGCCGGTTAATGGTCATAACATAATAACAACATTAATCATTATTGATGGCCGTAGCGCAGACTACGCGTCGCAGCGCCATGTCGTATTTTATGTATTTCGTTTTGTTGAAGAGGCGGAAAGCGATGGCCGGTTGCGTGATAATGGCCGGCGTGATGCTGCTCGTCCTGACGATGTCCGCGCGCCGAAACAACGCCGAGCAAGACGCCGCTTCCGGACACTATCTGGTGTGAGTATGCTGTTATTGTATTAGTACGTTTCGCGACCGTACGTCCCACAGTATTGGTCGACGACATTAATTAAATAATCGAAAATGGACGGCGGCCGCGATCGTGCGGTTGACCGTAAAATATCGTTAAACTGATAAATAATAGTGATAGTATTAGTACTGATAACGGATTTCGTCTACTTGCGCGCGCCGGCTCTGTCATTTGACTCATCGCCGTTTTACGTGCTACGGTGATACGCCGTAGTGGTTTTTTTTTTTTTTGTTTTTTTCGCCATGCGATGGTTTATGAGTTGAGTTATTATGGACCCTCCCAACTCTATATCCGTCACTGACGATGGACGTACCCGGGGCGGCCCAAGCGCTCGTAATACCCGTCGGGTGTTATACGCTCTCGGGTTGTATTTCTGTGGGCATTTCAATAATACTAATCCGCTCGACCGTACTGTTTACCAGCGCGAATACCAATTTCTTTGATTTCACACACTAGTGTCGTTTGGAAATCTTTGCGGATTTGTCAAAATAGTTGTGTGGGCGCCTAACAATACCCGCGATAAGCGGTGCTTTGGTAGGAACACATTAGGGCGCAAAAATTATCGTAATACACAACCCCCCCCCCCGGGATCTCAAACCCCTTGAAATATCTGAAAGAAAACAGAGGAGGCAGACATCATACATTTCATTACTATCACGACAAATTTAGTAAGTCACCAATGCGCTTTTATCGAATTGTCGGTATTACCCATTTATTACCTATTGGTATTATACCTAATGTGTAGTTTATTTATTTAAATATTTTTATCTGTTGCCTGCGGGTGTGAAACGACACTTTTTCCCGCGCTGACGGCACCTATCCACTTGCTTCATGACCAAGATTTCAGTTTCGTGAGCGGATTTTTTTTTTTTGTTCGTTTGTACACGGTTTTGACCAGAAAAACGGGAAAAAAAGAAGAAATATCGTATCGACACACGTCAATAATAATCGATATCGCTATAAATTGGAAAAAATTAAACATCGATATTTATGTTGAAAAATATCGTCGCCATACCGGGCGTTCCTACGGCGTGGCGGTCCACGGTGTTTTTTGTACTCGCGGAAGCCACATTGTACATTATATTCAATTGATTTTTTTCTATCCGTTAACAACAACAGAAATCTTACCCGGCTTCGGAAGTGATTTGTGGTAGCTATCTGATTTTGTAATTGTATAGGCGGTACACTGAGGAAGTCGTTTTTTTTGATTTTCCTTGTAGTTTTCTTTACGGCCAAGTACTTACTGGAAAAGATTACGCAATAACGGTTTTGCGTTACTGTTCTTTTGTTGTCATCCAGTTTTCAATATTCATAGAAACTTGAACTTTTACCGAATAATAATTATTAGTCCTTCTTAGAGACGGTAAAATGTTCAAAACATGTTGGCGATTTTTGGGCCACCTATGTACCAGCCATTTTTGATTTTTGAGTTTTTTTGATGTTCGACAATTTAACACTTGTACTTTTGTACTTGATGTTCAATAAGGGTTAAAAGTTCGAATTTCAACGAAAAATCGTAACATTTGAAAAAATGTTTAACCGAACCGCGATCAGAATCGTTTTTCGTTAACAATGATTTATCGTTACGGGCAGATATAAATTAAATTAATTCGTATAATATCGTACCTTCCAAACTGTTTTTTATTACTTTGTACAAAGGCATCATTTATTGTACTCGCACCATATCCTCCATTCGGAAGGCACACCCACCTAAGTGGGTACGTTTCTTTCTAGTTCGAAATCGTAAAAATTAAAATACATTACAAACTATAATATTGTAATAATAATTCCAAACACTTAGAATTTAAACATATTGTTATTATTATGATTGCCTAATTCTACTTTTAATTTAAAAGAAAGTTTTAATATTAGACGAGTCACTCGAATTATTCGGCAAAGCCGGAGAGGATTTACCTCGGATTCGCGAATGACTGGTTGTATTATAGCCATTTGTTCGATTCTATTTAAAAAAAATTTGATAAATGTTCTCATTGAAATGAGTACATTTTTTTTTTTCTGTAAGACGACTGCTTTATTATAGGATATTATAATATTTATTCGGTGACTTGCATTATTATTATTATATCTTTTGTTATTTATGTTCTATTGTTTTAGATTTTAAACAGATCAAGGATGCTATATTATTATTAAGCAATATAGCGTATTATATTATTTTCTCTCTCGGAAAACAAAAATGCATGGTCGTCCATTCATCCGTAAACCCGGGAAATATCAGAGAGAGACAGACAGACTGTATGAAATTTCAGAATTTTAGTTAAAATTACATTTGAATTTATATTTCCGTAAATATTGGTTTATATATGAGCAAAAATATTTTCCCGTATTATTCACCCTAAGTATTATGACTAGGTTCTCTATTACAAAAAAATAAAAAACCTGTATTATACAGTTTTGATTTAAACATTGTTTAAGTTTTGATTTAGTTAAGAATTAAAAGTTATTTACTATCTGTCTAGTTAGGTAGATTCCTAGGTAGATACTTAACTAGATACTTGTTATATCCATACAAGTATAGTATACAATTTTCGTTTTTAACAGTATAACAAAATTAAACGAAGGTTCATCGACAACTATCAATAAATAATCATCCAATAATTATTAATCACACAATTATCTCACCTATCTACCTATTTCCTTGTAATAGTTTTGAACTGAATTTCAACAACAAAGTATTTTGTTTATTACATATTATTTAACAATAATCTATATCATATCCATATGATATTTTCTTACACCATTTGCAAATTGTCTGCTTTACAAAGTAGTTACGCATATTTTACTTTTCCTGGAACACTAGTATTGTTTTAGTTTATTTTTGCATTTGTAATCATGTAATTATAGGTTACTAATTAATAATTATATGTTATATACACGCCCCAAACAACACCTTTACAACAATAATAATATTGTCATTTCAATATTGTTTTTAGCAAATCATTCAAATGTGTCAACAATACTTGTATCATGAGCCGTTTTATGTCGACTGAAAAATTAAATAGTGGTCTCGATGGATCTATGGACGTTTGCCGACTGACCTGTGGATTTTATGGATCGCTTTGGCCAAGACCGACTGTCAAAACAGTTATAGGGTGAAAAATTGATTATAATATTATAATTTTTTTTTATTATTATTAATATAATTAATGTATATATCAATATTTATTTTTGTATTAATAGAAAATCAATAATGGAATTTGACCTTGAAAACGTTCAGTTTGAAACGTCAATGATAGCTGACCAACGCAGCAAAGAATATATGACTGAAGTATCTGAAGTTTTTAAATCTTCTTTAAAAAAACTTTGTATCCCTAATTGTGTTTCATATTCAACTACCGCTACTATATCCATAAGCACTACTACTCCATTTGATTATATTAAATTGACAACAGACGAAAGCTATTATTTGAAAATAATAACCGAAGGTATTATTAAAATATGTTGTCTTTTTTGGTCTGATTAAAAGAATGTTTTATTTTTAGGAAATCAAATATTTATTCAAATTGAAGCGAACACTGTTTACGGAGCAAGAAATGGATTAGAAACATTACGCCAACTTATTACTACATATGGTACCAATGTGTCTGGCAAAAAACTAGTGATGGCAACTGATGTTCAAATAAATGATAGACCTATATATGCATATCGTGGTCTTATGCTGGATACCGCCAGGCATTATTTTCCAATTTCTACCATTAAACGGCATATCGATGCTATGGGTCATTCTAAACTGAATGTATTTCATTGGCACGCCACCGATTCCCATAGTTTTCCATTAGACCTCCCTAGTGCACCAAAAATGGCACAGTAAGGTTTTGTAAACATCATTAATTTAATTCATCATTTTATAAATATTACAAATAGTGATAAAGTTATGGTGTATATAAGAATAATGAGATACAATAGTAACCTACATTAATAATGCAGTGTTAAAAGAGGCCAGAACTTAATTTATTTTATTATGGACTTATATTTGTACATTTCATATTTGAACAACATAGTGGAAGAGTAAAAAAAAATCTATTTTCTTTACTAATTTAAGATATTAATCACATTTTAATATTTTAAATTCCACATTATGATATTATAATATTTTTAAATTAATTTTCATTACCTGAATACTCGATGTTGATATAATTTAAGACTATTATTTAAATTATTTTATATTTATTTTTTTTCTAAGTGGATTTTAATATTTTTCCTCTGTACCTGTATCAATTTGTTATTTATTTTTCTCATTAGATACGGTGCCTACAGCCCAGAAGAAATATACTCATATGAAGAAATTAAAGATCTTCTCAGATATGCATTAGTAAGAGGAGTTAGAATTATAATTGAGATAGATTCTCCAGCGCACGCAGGGAATGGTTGGCAATGGGGAAAAGCATTTGGCTACGGTGATATGGCTCTTTGCGTGGACAAGGCCCCTTGGAGAAAGTATTGTGTACAACCTCCATGTGGACAACTCAATCCGATCAATCCAAATACTTATAAATGGTTGGGAAAAATTTACAAAGACTTGATCAGTTTACTTCCAAAAGGAGAAGCGTTTCATATGGGCGGTGATGAAGTAATCATTTTTTTTTTTTTAAATGCATAAAAACAAATTGTAGTATTATGATATTCAAATTATTATATGTAATATAGGTTGCTCTAAATTGCTGGAATTCTTCAGCTGAAATTGTCGATTGGATGAAATCCAACAACCGAAGCTTGAACGAAAGTAATTATAATGACTTATGGGCCCAATTTCATGCTAATTCGTTGAGTGAATTCGATAAAGAATCTGGTGGTGTTAATTCTGATATAATTGTATGGTCAAGTGGTCTAACCGAACCTGATATCATAGAAAAGTATCTCGATAAAAATAGATATACTGTTGAAGCTTGGGAAGGATCCTTTGTTCCAGTAGAACTTGTTAAATTGGGTTATAAGGTTATAATCGCCCTAAAAGATGTCTACTACCTAGATCATGGTTTTTGGACTTCAACTATCTATCATAATTGGGAATTGATTTATAACAACAGAATGCCTGCAGTTGTTAACCCTAATCTTTTGTTAGGTGCAGAAGTAAGAGTTAAACACTATTTTGTATACAAAACACTTGAATTATCAGAATTACAGAAAATTATATAAATTGTTGTCCTTTTAGACGTGCATGTGGTCTGAATATGTCGATGATAATGGCATAGATTCTAGAGTATGGCCAAGAGCAGCAGCTTTAGCTGAAAGATTGTGGGCCAATCCATCAACATTTGCTTCAGCCGCTGAATACAGGTATATTAAAGACAATATTACATTAAATCAGATTCAAAATAATATTCAATTAGTTTGAAAATTTAAAACTTATGGTACAAAATTTCTAACAAAAGTAATTACCATTACTTAAAAACACAATTTTTTTAGTACCTACTTTCAATTTCCAAATTTTTAGAACTCTATTTAATTAGTTTAATGATATTAATATTTGTATTTTATTTTAGACTTTTACAACATCACAATCGACTGATTACACTTGGAGTTCAAGTAGACGCGTTTATGCCAGAATGGTGCTATAACCACGAAGGAGAATGTGTATTGTAATATTAAAGATAATATTGTTATAATATGGTTTTAGTCTATAAAATAGGCCATATCATCATTAAATATAAAATCGAAGGCCATAATATTATATTTCTTTAATCTTGTATATATAATGTTTTAATAATAAAATACAATAGTTTATATAAATTGTTTATAAGTTTTTGAAAGCATGTTATTAATATTTAAAATATTTATATCAGTAATTTTTTTTTTTTCCATAAATGAAATTATATACTTATTTAAAGATTATTTTGGTATTTTGCTTCGAAAAAGTTTTGCATGGTTCGTCTCAATACTGCAACAGTGAAATCCACATCGTCTTTTGTCACACACATGGGAGGCATGAACCGGAGTACCTGAAATATATTCACACACACACAAACAATGGAATTTTAATATTTGTGCTTATTTTGTATTAAATTATTGTTTTAAATAATTATTACAAACAAAATATTTTCAATCGTGAATAATATTGTATCTATCTTAAAGAATGAAATAACTTCTATAAAATAATTATAAATTCTACACCCGTCAATTTAAATGAAATCACTGTAATGTATTTATTACCTACTATGAATTAAATTTCAATATTTTATGTAGATAAACATTTACGCAGTGGCGCCGAACATGGGGTATGAGTCAGGTGATTGTCAACCAAATTTTTGGGGTGGTGGTGTTGGTAATAGCCATTTTAACGGTTACAGTTAATATTATGCAATACTTATAATGGATATATTATTGTTTCGTAACATAATAATCAATTAATTCAGTTAGCTTTTTAGAAAAAGAAATACACTCTATACGTCGTGGAGCAAGATTTGTTTTCGACAAGTTGTTTAAAGACCGAAGAAAAAACATACATATCATAGTAAAACCAATAAATCCCTCAATACACTCTGCATCTAAAATTAATATACTAAATTGTCTAATTATTAGATTTTAAGTGTAGCGAAGAATGTATTGGTTTTATAAAAATATCTTAACTTTTTCTTTTTTTATACTGTGTATAAAAATTATACCAAAAATCTTGCTTCGATATATACGCGCAAGCGCAGCACCATTTCTAAAAGGAAATTTTGTCCATTCGGGAGGTAATTTTTTGATTTTCCAACCGGTTTTCATAATATTTTGGAAAAAACCCTGTATAAAACATAAAAAAAAACAGGAAATTTACAAAAATAATACTTTTATTAGTTTTTCATTTTTGTTATATGTTGTAATTCAGTTAGAAATATTTGTAGATTTGGAATTTGAACAGAAAACATAATTCCCTTTTCTAGACGTGGTAAAATTTTCAAAACTTTTAAGCTAATCATAGATATTTTAATTTTGTGAGTTTTCACGTAATTTTTATTTTGTATGTACTCTGTGATAAAACTGTTAAGACATCACAGAAATACTTGAAAATTTAACAGTAAGTTCATTAAAAGTCTTAATTTGTGGTAAAAAAAAAGCATGAGCTTAATGTAGTATTTTTATTTTTATAAAGTTATTTTAATATCAAATTTTGACGAAAACAATTTGAATAAAAGATTATGTGGAACAAATCTAATTTTTTAATCTTTTGTTTTGAGCATATATATTTTGTCGATTTGAAAACGATGGTGAAGTCAGAATTGAGCGGACTCCGACTTAATTTCAAAATTCTAGCTTTTTGAAGTTCTGATATGCGAATATTATCATGTTATATTAAATAACTTTATATTGTCATGAATGTTGTAGTCTAGTGATGCTACCTACCTATTGTCATCCTAGAGATCGCGAGTTCAAACTCTTGTTCAGAAAAAAAATGTTCGCATTTATTTTTTGCCTTTTACTTAAACAGGGAAAAACAAAGGCATTTTAGGTGTATCTAGAGACCAAGCCATCGCTTGCTCGGAATATTTCAATCGAAAAATACCCCTCGACTTGTTGTGCAAACTTTTCTAACAGAAAGCCATCTATGAGTCCATGAATTTTTTTCTAGGTAGTTGGTGGGTTATTTTAATACTGCTTCGGCGCCACTGCGTTTACGAGAAATAATTAATCAGTTTATATCTCAGTCTTCTTCTTTCCGAGTCCGGTCAGGTTGAAATGCCAACAACAGTAGTCACAATAATATAGTTCAATAAAAAATACTTAAATAATAAATAAATCAATTTGGTACATCTAATACAAATCACATGTTTTTTGTGCTGCAACCAGTGAGTAGTCTCTAAACTCTAGAAACTACTCACATGCTCTAGAGTCTAGAGCATTTGTGTTTGTCAATATCAAATCAATACATCTGTGCAGTGTAACATTACACAGGTACTTACGTTTAATCGAGGGCCTCCGACTCCGATCAAAAGGCCCATTTTAAGACAATCGTTTTTGATGCGAGAAACCGCTCGAGAATTTAACGGACTCGCTGCATCGTTTTCGTCCTGCGGGTCACCGTCCACCAATTCCACGCCGATCATTAGTCCTTTACCGCGTACATCGCCGATTATCTTCCATTCACGTCTCATACCGTTCAGTTTGTCTAGGAAATACGTGCCTACGTCTTGACAGTTTTGCTGTAAACCCTCCTCGTCGATCACCTATATAAGCCGGCACCGAGAATTTACCAACATGTTTTGGCAGCACCCACTTTCGGTATGCAGGACGAGATCGTCAACGTTTTTAATACTCAAATATTAAAAATCAGTGCTAATTAATTGCTTTACCGAGAATAATAATAAATAGTATTTGGAATGGAATGATAATGTTTTGGAACACAAAAATCGAATTTCGGGGGGGGGGAGCGTTGATTTCCACTAATTTCAATTACAACACGAAATGACACGTGCCCGTAAACCTATGGGAACACTGAGCGCGGTCGTGTACCTACCTCCAATACCGCCTGACCGGCGGCACACGCGATCGGATTGCCGCCAAACGTGTTAAAGTGGAACGCCGATTGCAGAGACTGGGCGATCGCCGGTGTCGTCACGACGGCAGCCATCGGGAACCCGTTCCCTATGCCTTTGGCCATCGTGACGATGTCCGGCGTGACGCCGTGCGACTGGAAGTTCCAAAAATGTTCGCCGGTCCTGCCGAAGCCAGTCTGCACTTCGTCCGCGATGCACAAGCCGCCGTTGCTTCTGATCAGCTCGTAGACTTTTTTCAGGTAACCCTTCGGAAACTGAACGACACCGCCGACGCCCTGCACCGAAGACACGTACGCTCGACATTATAATAGACATGGGTACTGGGTTTGCCGGCGAGGGCGTGTTCCGACAGAACGTGTCATTTTATTTACATGCTTAGGTTCAGGTGCTCATAACAACGCCGTCGTACCTGAATAGATTCGGCGAAAAAACCGGCCACGCCGCCCCGGGGTATCGTGTACGCGAACAGGTCTTCCAGCTGCCCGTAATACTTGTCGGCGGCCTCGCAGTGGCCCTGCGCGCACTCGCACGATCTCTGGGCCTGCACCGGCGAGTCTCTGCACGACTTGCCGCCCCAGATCCCTTTGAACACGTCCGGGCACATGGCGTGATGGTGCGAATGGCCGGCCGGCATGTTGTTGAACCTGGCCGCCGACAGGCCGGAGAGCCCGTGCAGATTACCGGACACGCCGTGATAACAGTTCTGGATGGATATCACGTCTTGGTTGCCGGTGTGCAACCAAGCCAACTGCAACGCCAATTCGTTGGCTTCGGAGCCGCTGTTGACCAAATACACGGTCTGAAAATTACGAACCGTGTGTTAAACTTAACATTTTCAAGTCACGATGTGCTGCGGGTAAAAAATGGATACGGATCCCTGCGTGGAACCGGCCTGGAAGACTAAAGACGGAAAAGTCCGCAATGTATGCGCGTAGTACCACATGATTGTAACATCCAGTAAAGTTGAAAATCGGACGACGATGTGGAATTATTTAGACAATTTGACGGCCGAACGCAATAATATTATGACGTTACTTTCCGTGCAGAAGGCTTACTTTCAGTTCACCGGGCATTTTCGACACCAACTTTTCCACGTATTCGTACATTTTCGGATGCTCGTACACGCCGGACACGTGACTCAAAATACCCGTCTGTCTAGCGATCGCTTCTTTCACACGTCTGAAAAATGTAATTTTTGTTTTTCCCCGATGATATTAATGTCTCGGTCGTCGGTTATTTATATATTTTATACTAACGGATGACAGTGACCTACGCTAACGGTCGCTATGCCCCCAAACATATCTAAATACCGTTTGCCCGTGTGATCGAACAGCCATTGCATTTTACCCTGGTGAAGTAGCAAAGGTTCGTCGTACATTTGCCGCTGGGGAAACACGTTGTTCGATTGCATGGATTGCGCTTTTTCGTAAGACGGGCCCTGTAGAAAACAAATCCAACAGTTATTATTTCATGTGCTCATTTAAAAATTGACTTTCACGGCTATGTGGTTTTTTTTTTTTTTGCATGAACCTTGTATCAAATTTTCAAGTATTTTTGATAATTAAAAATTCACATTATCTCGCAGAATTTTATCCACCTAAAACCAAATAAAAATGTATACAACCAGATTGTTTTGAAAATTGTACTACGTTTAGAAAAGTTAAATATATATTGTTTATTTATGTATACTCTGTGAGAATTTCAGTTCTCTGTATGTTATACAGAGAACTGTCTCTATACGCCCGTGGCTCATTGCCCGTTATGCCACCCTATTAGTACGCCACTGGTGGGAAATGTCTTAGACTGGAATTTCAAAGTCGGATCCAAAAAGTAAATTTGTATTCAATAAATCAAGCTTCTCCTTATAACTTAGCTGCTAAGTTATGCATTTCAACAATTATTAAATACATATTCGAGAAATTAAAGAACGTATCAACCAATTCCTAAATTAAAACATTAAACAGACGTAAAATAGAATACGCTTGTTTAATATTAATACTTTATTTTTTTGTTATTGTTGATACGTTTAATGTGAAAAAAAAAATGATGTCCATCCAGTATCATTGGAGACACGTCGTTCTACTAGATACTTTAAAAGTTGACCATTATGGGCTAATAATCGAAAAATAAATTTTGGTTGTTACGTTCATATTATGTACCTCAATATCTGTATTGCATTTTCAAGCCAATATATAGGGGGTAGGGATATCGACCCCGGGTTCCACTCCTTGCGCATACCACCGGACGTAATATAAAACTTCAACAACGGCATATTATTTAAAAAAAAAATTATGATTATATATAGGTACTTTACTCTGTACGGTAATGGCTTGAAGTCGATCGGAGGTAATATCGGCGACGGATTCGACGTTCCATAGTGTTTAATGGTGTCACCTATAAATTATTAAATGTCTCAATATGTTGAATTAAAACCGGTAGGGTTTTCAATACATTTCATGTATTTATCATTCGTTCGTACAGGATATACGTACGGGATATAATTCATTAATAAAATTTAGTTTATAAACTGAAGTTTATTTTTAAGCAAATTTTCAAGGGTTGAAAACCCTAGGTCTTCCAATAGGTTAAGTAATTATTACAATATCTATAAATATCTTGCAAGCAAATTAAATGTTTGCAAGTACATTGGTACACTCATGGCGTTTAGATCGAAAAATAAAGGGAACATGTGCTTGTCCACACACACTCCGGGCGTGAAGGGGACGTGTCCCATTGACGCGACGACGGAAAAAGCCGTAGTTTTTTTTATCGCGGTCCACCGTGCGGGGGGGAGCCTTTCACATTACAATTTCGTACACATTGGGCACCTGTTTATTTAATTAGTATTTGTATCGCGATAACGTTTTTACCTCCGAGTTTATGTCGAATGCATCTCATAACGACGGCGACGGCGGTGACGCGCCGACGGTTCCGGGACGGGTTGCTTTCCGACCAGACTACAATGGCACCGGGTACCCGTGCCTCCTGCCCGCTATATTGCGCCGCGCGTAAACCGATTCGACGCGAACGGCCCGGAAACGATTGCGGCGGCAGTTGGACGCTGCAAATCGCGCTGGTCTACGTTACAAACAAAACGAAACGTCGTACGGCGCAAGTGTGTAGAGTTCGACGGCTTTTGGTCGGCTTCCTCTCGGCGGGCCAAAGTTGAAACGATAACAACACAATATGCATACACAATATATCTATATGTGTATATTATTGTGCATGTATTGTAATGAATATTTTAACGAAAACGTTGATTAAATGAACGAACGGCAACGTTGCAATCCGTATTCATTGTACGTCCGAAGAAATTGCATGCGCAATCGCGCCAAAGGAATAAAAACCATATGCTGCGGGAGGGGTGGGGGGGGGAGGTGAGAAAAAGCCGGACATCCGTAGACAGCCGTATACCGTACCACACGTAGGAGGTGTACATCGCGCCGCGGTATAAATCAACGGTAAATTAGTATTGTCGGCGGGTACTGTTATTGGGTGTAAATGCGGTGCGTACAGGTTATGGGCATACCCGTACAGGTATGTAAATACCGAGAGCAATGGTTAATTCATTGCGATCGAAATACGATTCGGAGCGGGTGAACTCGGTGAATTGGCGTGGCTGTAATATAGGTAGTGCCCACACAATGCCGTGTTGGTCGAATTTTTTTCTCGTGTAGCCATAGTAATCCAAAATTCAATCAATGGACGCACCCAGGATAATAATAACTGTAATCTGGTTTTTCGTGTTTTCGTAAAACTGTTGGGAATCGAGAAAAATATAATAAAGTATAGTATTTTTTTATAGGTATCACCGGGCGAAAAATCCGCATCCATTTTAGAACTGCGTGAAAAAATCTGAACATTTCATTTATTAGAAAAAATAACAGGTACCAAATGCCAATCACAGCTATTTCTATAATTATTATTATTTCAGTAGAAAAAAAAAATCGTTTGATTTTATGCATAAAAACAATAGGTAATTTGGTTAACGGAATTATTATCCGACGCATAGCATAGGTACGTGTTATGTACTAAATGCATTTATAACAATAATTGTGATAATTATAAACACCCATAAAGTACAAGGTACGATTATCGAGATAATTAATTAACCCACAACTCACTATACGTATACACCACACTATGTAGGTAGGTACCTAATTTTAATTTTAATCTTACTACCTACAGGTTAGGTTGGGTTACCTATATTTATGCGTAGGTAAAAAGTTTACAACCGTACGATATACGGACATAATTATTTTTGAACTTGACAAATTATACCCGTCCGTATTATGACGTTGGTACCTATGTGAAATCTAATGTTTATTATTATTATTATTTCGATTGAGTTTTTAGATTATGAGCGGGGCGTATTGGTTTCACTATGGTGCGTTTCTATTTTATTATTTGTTCTGTTTATGAACAACTTTTTACCAGAATTCGCGTTCCAATCGTCCAAAACGTCCACTTCTGGGGCCGCGGTTTCAAATGGTCACCATGTGCAGTCGGTGCTCCGAGGAGGCCATTTTTTGCATTAATCAGGAAAAACGATCGAATTTATGCAATACCTAGGGTACCCGGTTTCTGTTTAGTTATTTTTTTTGTTTCATTTAAAAATAATTATAAAAATTTAACCGAATCCGTATTATGTTTCCATATCAGTCATTTCTAAACACGGTCAAATTTCCGCATTAATTCAACGTGCTGATTGATTTGAATATTATTATAGTAAATACAGGAATAAAAATTAAATAATTGAACGAATGCGTCGGCTGGAGTGTTACGATAAGTGTATAATACGACCGGTTTCGAATTATATATTCACCAACACGTATACCATAGTCAAAATGTAAAACGCGACTGAATATAAAAAATTAGACGAAGGAATATATAGAAAAAAATTATACAAATTGATCGGTTTTACATGGAAATAATTTATTTTAATAAGAGAGATTATTCAAAATTAGTTATTAATAGACATAGATAGGTATGTTCGAGAAATATAAATTATTTGATTATTATTTACCATCTAAAATGTATTGATATAAGACATTACTTTTAAAATCGGTTTGCACATTTGAATTATTATTAAAATTAGTTTTCTTTATTTCATTGTATACGCGACAAAATAGATTTTGTCATGATTGTATATATTATGTAGTTACTCTAAAATTAAATTAATGTGTAATGTTACTTTGGGCGCCTATTTAATATCTCTACGTCTGTATTAATATCAAAGCTTATTATTAGATATATTAATGGTTATTTTCCAAAACATGTTTAGCGAAATGTGTACATTATATCTTATTTTAAAATTTTTATTTGTCTTACCCGTGTAAAATTTATTACAGTTACATTTAAGTTTAACCAGCATTTTCAAAAGAAGGAGGAGCATTTGTGAATTTTTTAGTTCTATTGTTTACATGTTTGATTAAATTATTATTAGTCTTAAAGCGATTTGTATTATTGTTTAGAATTTCAGCGAATTCGTTACACATATTATTTGGATAATTCATGTTACAATAGTTAACTACATTATCTGGTGAGTCGTGTATTATTTTTTCTTTTATACCTTTATGATTTTTTGTTTTTAATAGTATTTAAATTTATATTATTTCTATGGGCTATATTATAGATAATATTGAGCTCGTGTTGATAATTAGGTTTATTTAATGAAATACGTTCAAGCCTATAGAATATTGAATTAAAAAATGATATTTTTTGCGAATAAGAATAATTAATTAGAATTAAACATTTTAATCATTTTGTTTTTATTTTATTATTTAATATTATTATTCTATACAATATAACCTTACATTTTATTTATGCTATGCAATTTAAATTACCTATCTATTAATTAAATTTAAATTTGTTTTTTAACAGGCACTATGAAAAAATATCAAAAAGCTGTTGTGTATGAATCATGATAAACCAAAACCCAGTGCTCTAATATATCTAGATACTTTCTAAATAAATGAATCTGTATCCGTATCTTAGATAGAAAATATTGTATATTTTAAAGAAAGTATCTAAGATACTTTTTAAGAAACAATTCTTACTTTTTTCGTTCAATAAAATACAAAAATAAAACGTAAATTCTAAAATATATTTTTTTTTAAATACAAATATAAACAATCTATTGTTGATATGCATAATTTTTTGATTTCTTTATTAATATAAATAATTATGTATGAGTATACACTCATACGTATAACTATTGTGTATTGACCAAAGGATAATGCCCATTATTTTATATTTAGCAATAATTAACCAATATTTTAATATTGTTATTACATTATGTATTATAACTGACAATGATTGTATTATAACCTATAACTTTATAGGAATAAAATTATATTTGAAAACTGACATAAAAATATAGATACAAATTATTGTATTATAAATTACATACCCACTACTTGTTTTGTTATAATTTTGTAATTCTATATTTTTGATGAATAAAATATTTATAAAAAAAAAAAAATCTGTTTTCTTAAATGTATTTTAAGATACTTGTATCTGTATCTAGATACTAGTTTAAAGTATCTTATTACAGCACTGCCAAAATCAATTATCTCAGCAGAAAAAATCATCAATTTATAATAGTAACTCTTTTAAAGCTCCGTTATTTAATTATTTACCGACTGCTGTAATTAATTACATCATACATCATAACTATACCATTATTCAATTATAAATAGTACCCAATACCTACACAGGTGCCTAACCAATTCACTACCTATGCTAATGAGTAATGGACAATAATTCAATTAAAAATAAAGAGCTAATACTGTTGATATCATCAAATACATTATATACCTATACTTATTCTTGCAATTTTTCGATTAAAGTAAGATTTCTAGCAAAAAAAAAATGGTAAAAATTTTGTACCAAGTATAAAAAAGGCAAATTTAATTTTTCTGTCCAAATTCAAGTCTCTTTGAATATCTTTAACTGAATGACAATAAAAAATAAAAGTATTATTTTTGTACATTTTCCTTTTTTTTTTTGTTTTTGCTCAATTATTAAAAAAAAAAATCAAAAATCTAATCTTTATTCATTACTTAGATTAAAAATTCAACAAAAAAGATCTCTAGTGGTTTTTTATTGAAAAAATATTTCTGGTAGAAAACATAACCGCACAAATTTTAAAATAGTAAAATCATACTTCTTTATAAATTTGTTAGTTTTTTCCAATTATTCAGATAACTGCTTGGGAAATCAAAAAATGATATTCTTCCTGAGCAACTAGATCAAAAATTCAACAAAAATTTTTCATAAAAATTTAATTTGGCAAAAGAAGTATTTAATTAATTTATATATAAAATTAAATTATTATAATATTATCTACCACTATTTTCAACGTTTTTCTTATTAGTGTTTTAAACTGTAAAGGAGATAAAAGTCATTGCACTACAACATTATAAGCATTTTTATAAGTAAATCTAGATATCTTTTCTAATTTTTTTTTTTTTTTCATACCACTATACTATAATTAAACAATCAGAAAAATAATAAAATAATGTTATTACAAAATTGTTTATTAAGTACTTAGTAGGTACAGAAATATATTTTATTTGTACATAGACAAAAACACAACCACAAGTGTGCACTGGATATCATCTCATTAATGGAACATTCTCTTAACCATCACTTTGTAGTTAGCTTTTTGATCTTCTATACCACGAGCAGCCTTGTCCAAATAACGTTTAGCTAATGTGTTAGCAGGGCAGTGATCTAACACATAGCGAGCGTCAACAAATGCGTTGTCAAACATCTTCAGTTCAACAAATGCTTGACTACGTCGTAAAAAAGCCTTCAAATTGCTTGGGTCAACAGTTAACACCTTTGTGGCCAACACGCGAGCGTGCTCGTAGTTGTGCAGTTTTAACTGGCACGCGGCCATGTTGTTGCACACTGTACTGTACAAAATGTCCCGTTTTTCGCGCACTCCTTCAGCTTTCTCATCACGCAAAAACAACACTGATCTTATGGACAGGTTAAATCGATGAAATGCATCCATGTACCGTTTCTGCCGAAATAGTATGTTACCAGCCTCTTTTTGCCTAGCTGCTTCGATCAGCTTCATTTGATCGTCGGTGTGCCAACTCCTAAGGGCCACACACTTTTGAACAGCTAACAACCGAACGCATCCGGTAATTGTGCCGCCTTGACCGTCGCCCAAACAAAACTCTTGAATATCGCCCACTCGCATCTTAGACACCAACATCTCCAGCCCTCTGTCTATTATGCAGTCTGCCGAACCCAATTCCAGCACAACAGAAGAAGTGTCCTCTTCTGGAGTGCCAACTACCACTGCCTTCTCACTAAACCATACTGAAAACTTACAATTGTAGTTTTCTGACACCTGCACGTCATAGATTACAATTGTACATTTGTCACCAACCAGTGGTAGGATAACCGAAGATCCGGGGGACGTATTACGGTAGATGTTCGAATCTCGGATCAACTCATAAACAGGAAGTCGATTCATTGTCGATAATGTCCACGGTTTAAACAAGCCAAACACGGCTTCATATGCTATGTAAAATAGTGTTATGGTTCATGAATTCTTGGCACAATAATTCTTCTGAAAAGTTGTCTTCAGTTGTGAAGAACAGTTCGTAATCATCAAAACATATACAAAGTTGAAATCTGAAAAAAAAAAAATACAAGATATTCTGTAGGTTTATTATTTGTATTGGTTATAATTTACTACTATTTAACATTGAATTTGGTGTATATTATAAATTAAATCCATTTTCAGATAAAGCTCACACATTATTTTGTTTGGTTTTAATAAAGTTAAAAAAAAAATACAGACACTGCATAAAATGCAAACCTGCACGTTTTACCAAATTTAATTACAAAACTTTAATAATTAATTACATTATTAAGTAGTAAACAGAAACATTAGTGTTTACATTAATTCAAGTTGTAGAATAGGTAATATAGGTAAAATAAAGATGGAATTTTAATGAATATTCATGATAGTAAAGAATAACACAATTGTGTTTAACACTATAATAAACATTCATTTTCTGCATAATTTATTATTTTCTTTATTATTTTAAATAATAAAATAATAAAGAAAAAACAAAATTATTAAATGGTTAATATTCGTATATAAATATATAAATAAAAATGTATTCATATATTTATTATTTTTAGTTATTTTCATATCTATAATTACTTAAGAGTAATTATTGAATAAATTTATAATATATACATTAAGGTTGGAAGATAAAAAAATAAATTGCAATTGTTGTATTAAACAAAAAAAGTTAATTATTTATTTTTCATAATTATTATTATATCAATTAATCGTGTTTTATATTTTAAATATTAACTTAAAAATTCTTATTGATTTCTACAATAAAATATACTTTGTAGAATTGAATAATAATTTGATATAATTTTGTTTTAAGTTTTAAGTTACCTACAAAAAATATTATGAAATAGAATTAATACCTGCATTTTGACAGAACTATTATATTACTACACCAACAGTCTATCACATATTTTGTATAAATAAAATTTCATTTATTAATTATGAATTCATTAAATATAATCACAAATGATATTCTTGTTATGTATGTAATAAAGCCAATGATTAAATTGATTTACAATCAATACAAATTAAATTCAATTAAATGTTTAATGACAGTAAATTTAAAATAATTTTATCACAAAATTTGAATAAACTATTAATCTTGTGATGTTATACAGATTTAATTTAAAATTGAATACTATGCACTATCTCAATTATTAATCTAGTCTGTGGAAAATGCAATTTCAGAATCATAAACATTAATTGTAAAGTACTGACTTATTATATTCTCTAAAACCCACGAAGCATATAGATAGTTTAAGTTTTTAAAATTTGAAGTCCTTATATTTTTTGCTTGTTTTTGCTTCTTGAGCAGCTTTTCGTTTTTGACCTTTCTTCTTTTCAGAGTCTATGCCATCATCTTCCCCGCCCTGTTGATCCTTCATCCTTTGCTCATACCTAGCCGCCATAGCTTCAACATCACCAGCTAATTCTAATTCGGATGGATCTAAACTGACTTCAACTTCACCTGGTTTATTTGCTACTGCAGTTGGTATATCATACATATGTGTGGATGCCATCATAGATCCACGCACAGTTTCTACCTTCTTTTCTGGTAAAACATGATACAGTGGCTGTTGCTCACTGCTTTCCATTTCAGATTCAATCTTTCGCTTTCTCAGTTCAATATATTCAGGTGTTTCATAACCACTAGGTAGTCCAGACATAATGCCCGACGGTGTCGCTAAACCTTCGGCAACTGGTGTAGCAATACCACTAGCGTCAATAGCCACTTCTTCATTTTCCTTAACTTCTTCTTCCTCTTCTTCTTCTTCACTTTCATCTGCATCAGATTCAGAGTCAGGTTCTCCCCACATAGATTTATCAATTTGCTCTTCAGCAACATGGGATTCATCATAATCGGATGGAGTACCAAATACATTTCCATAAAGAGGTCGACCGCGTTCATCAACAGGAGGCTTACCCCAACCACCCGCATGGTAACCAAATGAACAACCTTCAGGGATGGGCGCATTAAGACCAGGAATTTTAAGGGCTGGATAAGAAGGAGGAGGACCATAACGCTGCATAGCAATGAGCCATGGTGGAGGGACTTTGTGAGCATTATGACCAACTGGCATACCTAATGCAGTACGTAATTCAGCACTTAAGTCACCTGGTTTTTTTTCTCTGAGTTTAGTTTCATATTCTTTACCTTCATAGTACAAGTCACCGTGAAGTGATAATCTTGGTTTCGTTTGTAATTTAAAGAATGCATCATGTAATTTTTTGTAATCAATATCTATTTTTCCCATTTTAGGTCTAACTCTTTCCCTCATTTTATTTTTTAGGGATTTTTCATCTTCTTTTTCTTGATGGGCAGCTCTCATTTCCATGATACCAGTACGCTTAATAAAATCAGGCAAATCAAATGGTGGTTTTTCAATACCTCGTTTACCTTGCAAGTATTTACGCTTAAAGCACCAATGCCGAGGTACTGGCACTGTATTACGATGTGCTTTCAACTGTATTAAAAGATGAGGATCTCTAGCTGTTACATCGTGCATTTCTACAACATCAGGTCTAGAAACAAGTTGTTTAAGTTCTGCCACACTTAAACGAGTAACTTTTTTAAATTGTCTTCTCGACAACTTGTCAGGCCCTTTTGTCTGATTTTCATCATCTTTATCTTTACCATCTTCATCGTCTTCGTGTTCAGGAAGCTTTGGTACTTTTTTCAAGTCTATGCTGGGTAAAGTAGCTTCTTGACCACCAACTTGATCTGCTTGTACCTGTTCTGGTTCAGGAATTTTGAAATTCTCAAAAACTTTAGCATATTGTCTGTACATAGGTACAAGATTAAACACACTTAATGTTTCTTGTATATATTCAACTTCAATATCTAACTTTTCAGATTTGTTTTCTTTTTCAGAAGATGATAATGTTTGTTTTTGTTTTTGCTCGTTTTTTAATTGTTTTTTCTTTTTTTTATTATACTTTTTTTTTCTTCTTTTAGCTACTTTACGGTCTTTTGTAGACAATTTTACTACTACTTGTTCTTGTTGTTGTTGTTGTTGTTGTTCTTCTTCTTCTTCTTCTTCATCATTTTCATCTTCTTCCTCATCATATTCTGCTTCATTAATAGTGTTAACAATGTTGAAAGCTTCATTAGATACTACTTCAGTTATTTCATCAACAACACCCACTTCTTTTGCTCTTTCTTCTTTGTAATTTAATGCTTGTTCAAGGGCTGGGGGAAGAGCAACATCCTCACCCGGAGGATTCAATGATTCCTCTTCAGGTTCATACATGTCACTTGTTTGATTATTTGTCAGATATACCTCTAGTAACAATTACTATTTTACCAGTTAAACGCCTAAAATTACAAAAATTACATTAGTTTCAGTAAATAATCAATAACAATTAGTTATTTTGTATAATAAATAGTAAAATAGCAGTACCAGTAATAAACATTAATCCAACTACACAATAATTATGAAAAAAATAGTTAAATAGTTAAAAATAAATTTAATGACTGGTAAAGTAGTAATTTATTGTTAATGGAGATACGTTATTATAGTAAGAAAAACTATCTACTTATTTGATTTTAAATGTATCAATGTATGTAAAATTTATTATAAATTGTAAGTAAGTATTATAACTTTATAAAATATTGGCAGCAACTGTATTGTATACAGCGCAAGAACTTAATCAACATACTACCATTAGCCAAAGAAAAACATAGATGAATTTATTTTTTACAAGATTTTTTTCAAAAACTTTTAAATTTTATTTTTAACTATATTAAATGGCATAGTTTATAGACAAGCACTGCTATAGTAGATAAAACTAAATATATAATTTTGAAATATTTGTGGAAAGCATGGGAAAAAAATAAGCCTGTTAAATTTAGTTTAGCTATCTATAGATTTTTTTTTCAAAATTTACATTTTTATATGTATGTGAATAATAATAATAATGATGATTATTATTATAATGTAAAAATCTCTGAAAGCCTTTGTTTCAAAGTTGTAGGGCAAACACCAAAAAGTTAATTTTTCTGAAAAATTCTATTTAAAAAAAATGATTACAATTTAATATTTAAAATATGTGTTTCAAAATTGCTTGGTTTTTAAGACCCAATGCATTAAATCAAAACTTTTCTAAAACATTTACTTTTTAAGTTTTTACACCATGACCTACCAGACATGACTTTGCATAACAAATTAGGGTTTATTGTTTATTGAAATTTCAAAAGCCCCCCGGACAAAGAAACTTTTACTCAAACTTCTATGCAAAGTTTGTCAGACTTTTTGTTTTTACATTTGTATTGTAGGTACAAGTAAAAACAAATATTTTGGGAAAAATAAAAAGATTAATTGATAGATAACTAAACTAGAAATATTCTAAATAAATACAAATTAATAAAAATGAATAACAAACAATATAATAATTAAATATAATTATAATTGTTTCCATTATTGTTTAAGTAATGTACTTTAATTATAATAATAACCAATCTTAAAGGGATTGTTTACTGAAAAATTCTTTATTTATCAAAAGCATCATAATAATTTAGAATAGGTTATTTTTCTTCAATCAGTCGTACTGATGTACCTAGTATAAGATAGTTTTGTACACTACAAAATTTAGTGTACTTACATGAAAACAGTCAGGTTTTTTGAACTTCAGTTAGTAATTTTCAACGTTTATAAAAATGTACTCCACAAGCTGAATTCATCTATTTTCAAAATTTGTATCGCTTTACTACACGGATCAGACTGATTAAAAGCAAATTGATCTAAATTGGATGTGATGTGTATGTATTTGATGATGGAAGAAAATAGCGGTAGCCAGACGTGAAAAATTGGACATGAAACTATATTATTTATAAAATAATAGGTACAGTGTAATACCAAACTTCACTTACCATATTCAAGATTCGTAATAAACTTGATTGTTTAGATTGCAGTTACATAAACCTCAGACATAGACTCCACGAATTCGGTAGTTTAATAAGTTTTGTAGTTTTGTTTTATTTTCTTATTTGTTTATAACCTAACACACATAGCTAAATTATAGATAAACGGCAAGGAGGTTGTACACAATTATATTCTTACTTCTTTGTTATCATAATCGTGCTAGATAAACAATTATTATACATCTTTATGTTATCAACACAGTTATAGATATGCCTTAAATCATATACATAAATTGATATATTGTATATTATGATCCATAGATGTCTATGTTATGATATATTATGTAATAAAAAATGTACCCATGAATTAAAATATAGTAAATTTTAATTCATGGGTATACCTATAACTTACAGTCGTAATCAAAAATAATTCAATTTCTTATCAATTAAAGATAATAAACAAAGTGTTAGAAAGGTAAAATACATCATGATAAAATTAATAAATTATTTTCATAGAACTATAAATATATATTATTATTATTATTATTTTATTATCCTATAGTTTTACAAAAATGTTTATTTTTTTTTCTGTGGACAACTTTTCTACCAGATGACCTACTTCGAGTTTTACGTGTAGCACCTTTTCTGGAAGGAAATTGGTGTGAAGAGCTACTTTAGTGAGGTCGTTTTTCGATTTTCTCCGGAGTTTTCTCAGAAAATGTGAAAAATCGGAAAAAAAACGACTTTTACTCATCAACTAGATACCAAGCATAGAGTTGCTACTAGAAAAAGTATACTGGCGCACCAAAGTTTAGTGACTCCCGCGAGGCATGAATCCGCTTGGTTGTAGATTGCAAGGCGATAGCACTCGTATGACAATATGAGACGATGTTGAATTAAGAAATAGATACCACACATTTAGTATCATATCAATAACATATAAAACTGCGGCGCGTAATTAAGTAATAACTGTTGAAAGCCTATCAATAATGTTTGTTCATCTTGTAAGAAAGTAGCTTATTGTCCTAATGTAGAACTAGGTGATTGCAAATTACAGCCATTAAACTTATCTTCAAGAATATCAGCTCTCTTTTCCCTCAACATCTTTTGGCAAAGTTTAAGTGACATCCGGTTAATAAAATCAACCACTTTCTGTCCAAAAGCCTCAACTAGGTACAGCTATAATAATAATATGAACTGCGGCTCTATCAATGACTTTATCGATTAGCTGAACCGATTTTATAAGTATTTTGAAGTGTAATAATTGGAAAAACAAATACATAAAAGATTATATTTAACGTCAATAAATTATACAAACACTACTTGTATCATATTTATTAAATTGTATTATTTATCCCTCGATTTTTTGTATAAAAACGATTATGTTTTTTCCAGATTTGTACTGTCCAATTTTATACTGTAGATTTGCAATTTTAAATACCAGATTTCCAATGTCCAGATTTTTTACAGTCCAAGTTTATACGGATTACCCAACCAGGTTATCGGAATCGGCATATAAATAAAAACTATTCCCATTACTGATAATCAATTGATCAAATACACTAAACAAAATTTGTTTGCAATGTTGTAACTAATTGAGTTAGGTGTAGATACTATCATAGTATCATGATTAGTATATTTCAATTATGGGTACTATATGGCAAACAATGCAGCAAACTGTTTACCGAAAATCAGTGCTGTAATAAAATACATTAAATTAGTATTTAGATACAGATACAGATACATTTAAAAAAAAACAGATAATTCGTTTTATAAATATTTAATTTATTAAAAATATAAATATGGAAAATTATAATAAAACAAGTAATGGGTAGGTACATAATTTATAATACAATAATTTTTATCTTTAGTTTTATGTCAGTACCTACTCAGTCTTCAAATATAATTTTATTCTTCTAAAGTTATAAGTTATAATACATAATATTATATAAAAATTAACAATATTAAAATATTAGTTAATTATTGGTAAATATAAAATAATGGGTATTATCCACTTGTTAATACACAGTAGTTATACACATGTACATAATAATTTATAATAATAAAGAAATCAAAAAATAATACATATAAACAATAAATTATTGAAATTTGTATTTAAAAAAATTTAGATTTTTGTATTTTGTTAATCCGAAAAAGTAAGAATTGTATCTTAGATATAGATACAGATTGACTTTTAGAACGTATCTAGATAATATATTTTAAATAAATATATCTAAATATATTACAGAACTGCAACAATAAAACATACCCATTACCTAATAATATTATATTGTTCATTTTCAAATCGTAATTGAACACGCCGAATTAATTATGACGTATTGTTAGAAATTGAAAATTACTGGGATATTGTGTAACCATTAGGTTGGTAACATCGCCGATAGCGGTAACTACCGCACCCCGCCGGTCGACGTCCGGCATTTTTACTCGTACTACTGTTGTCTGTTTACTATTTCTCCGTTTTCGTGCACTGTAACAGAAACGGAACTCGAACCCGCCATCCACACTACTCAAGTTACGATACACACCTGAGACGACGATTTTATCACCAAGACACTAAACATTATTCGTAAAATGAAGAAAATGACCAACGTTCATTGGCCGTCCTGCGTTTGACCGTTCGCAAACTGTCAGATTTTTCACGGCGTTCCGACATGTTACGCGCAACTCTTGTCCACTCGTGAGGGACCATCGTGGCTGCTGTTGGATAAAGGTAAACGCGTGCGAACCATAGATAAGTGAATAACTGAACGGCAAGTGTAGCTGTTTTTTGCGTAATGTGGTTGAAATCCTTAAACATCTTTCATCTCTACAGTTTCTAGTTTTACTTTTAGGTTTTGCGTCATCTATACTGTTTCGAGTTTGTTACCACCATTTACCTACACGATATTTCAAACTTTTTTCCTTTTTAGGTTAGGAAGTTGTTTTTTACTTTACTAATTTTCGTCTTATATTTTAATTGTTTAATTAATTTATCCCTTATCCATTGATCATGGTCATGTTTGTACAGTGTTTTTTCGCAGACTCGTTTTTCCATTCCGCAGATTATTATTATCCGAGTTGCTCATGCAGTTTTGTATATATTGATAAATCAAATAACGCATTATGTCCTTTCTGTTATCAATTTATTAATGTGGTACCTACTAAATATATTAATTTAAAGATCAATTCTAAAATTATGTATTGTCAAATTATAGTGTACATTTGAACCATTTTCAAGTTATTTCCGTCATAAAAATACAATTTGAACTTTTTTTTTGTTCAATTGATAAAATTATTATTTTTTTACTTATCCTAAGTTACTCCTCATTTGTCATCACTTCAAACATGAATTCATTTTACAAGTTATTCTAATAGTAGGTTTGAACATAGGATATAGGAAGTTTTAAAAGAAATTTACCAATATTAATCAATTGTAGTAGTTATGTCCAACTAATAATAATAAAATATTTTATGAAGGTTACCATGTACACATTGTTATATGTTAGTAATGCAAACAATTGTTCTAGTGATGTGTTTAGTTCATGAGTTTGGCTGGTATATTATACTGCAGTTCTTTGGCCCTAATTAGTAATTTTCATATTTACAATATAGAATACATACAATAAACAAACAAAATGTTTTATTTAAAACATAATTTATGTGATGAAAGATAACAAACTTTCTGAATGTAGACCTATATATATTCCCAAAGTTAGAATTTTGCACTACATATTTCTTGTGATATGGTTTTGATAGTAAGTATACATTTATTATCAATTGTGATCTTAACTTTGCCATTCAAATAACAATAACCATTTAAATATCTGCCAATAAAAAAAAAATAGAACTAGGTAATGACTATTTTTAACAGTAATCATACAAATGTTATCCTTACATGATGAGAAATTAACTGATATGATGATGCATAGATTCATGAAGGCTAGGATAAGTAGGCCAATGCAGCCACTTGCATGAAAAACATCCCAAAATAAGTCCCATCATTAAGCAGCCATAGGCTACTCTGTGTAGTATAGGGATTATTTTCATGTTTTTTTGGAAAATATATGCATTATTTCTAACCATGATCCATTATAAATTGTCTAACTTGTAAATTTACGAATTCAAGCACATGTATAATATGTGTACATTTTATAACCATATCCTATAATGCATAGTGTTACTTCATGGCATCAACCGACAAAAAATTATTATCATAAATTACCCAACTATATTAGATTGTACTAATCAACTGTAATTGAACATAAATATAATATATTATTTAAACCAGTTAATTTCAACATATAATTGAAATTATTGAATAATTTATCAATGGCTCAGTGTGTAGAAATGTCCATACAATTTATTAGTATAAATTTTCGTCTATTGTGTACAAAAAACAAAATAAAACCATTGATATACCTTTAAACTGCTTTTGTTTAAGGTAGCAAAGAGATAGTTCAATTATTTTTTTTGTAAAACTGAAATGCTCACACTCTACAGTATGCATTTAGCATTTCATGTCCATTTTTTCATATCAATTGCAATAATTTGGGGGGGGGTTACTCATATTGAATTTCTTAAGTAAGTTTTTTTGGACCCTAGAGTACACATATATTGAATTCAAACATACCTTATGCTTACATAGAATAAGTAAAATTAGCTTAATCTTGATTTTAGAGTAAAAGTATTTATTATTAAATTTATAGAGAACATTTTTTTGGAGGGAATGTCTTAGGGTTTTTGTAGCATTCAAAATATACAGGTAAATATAATAGATATAAAACCTTTTTTTATAAATTACTTATTTTAATAGTTCATAATTTAAAAAAAAACACCTATGACGTTCAAAATATTGTTCTCTATAAATTTCATAATAGGTACATTTACTTTGAAATCAAAATTAAACTAGTTTTATTTCTTCTGTTTATCATCGCTTTCATGGTAAAACTGTGTAACTTGAAGTTTTGACATATTTTAAAAGATTCCAAAAGCACCTATCTTAATCCTGTAAAATTTAAAAAAAAAAAATCTAGTTCACCATGGAAGTGACGGTATGCATTGTTTTTGCATTTTATTCGGTAGTTGGAGTGAGACAGTAGATGCGGATTTAACGTCCTCTTAATATATATTATAATAAATATTAAATAATATTTTGACTTCATTATCATAAGTTTAATACAGATATTGTGCAATAGCTATGATTAATGAAGACTAGATTATTCTAGTATAAAAACAAAATATTTATGAAATATACACACACGCTAAAGTAGCAATCCTAGCGTACGCAGCGCAAACTAGCTGTTTAATTGTGCTATTGTGCCATTTAATCGTAAATGAAAGCAGAGTTTGGTTTCCTTATTCTAGTTTTCATGCATAGATCACAGATTTTAATCCATGGCATAGGTTCATTCATAGTCATGTAGAAAATTGTACATCCCTTTCTCAAGCAAATTAAATTTTTCTTCAAAATAAACTACAAGTTTTCAAACACTGATAAAATCTTTCTAATCAGTTAATTAAATATAATACAAACAAAACACACATTTTTTAAAAAAATTAATAAAACGAAAATTATAAAATAAAATAATTTGTGTTCGAATTACACTACAGTCCATACTCATGCCATATCATATATTCTAGTTATATTTTATAAAAGTATAATATTTATGTTTTTATTATAGGTAATCTGATTTGAAAACATCATGTATTTGTATAATATGACATTGCAACGTGGTAGTGGCATTACGCACGCTATCCATGGCAATTTTAGTGGTGGAAAAGTACAAGAGATTTTAGTATCTCGTGGTAAATCTTTAGAACTCATGAGACCTGATACAAATACTGGTAAAGTCCACACTTTGTTAACTGTTGAAGTATTTGGAATAGTTCGTGCTTTAATGAGTTTTAGACAATCTGGAGGGACTAAAGGTAAATATAATGTATAAGTATTCTGTGTTCTTAAGAGTTTTATAAATATTCATTTTATTTAATATGCTTGTTATTTTTCCTTATTATACAAATTTAATTTATTTTAGATTACATAGTTGTTGGTTCTGATTCTGGGAGAATTGTCATATTAGAATATCTACCATCAAAAAATATTTTGGATAAAGTGCACCAAGAAACTTTTGGCAAAAGTGGATGTAGGCGAATTGTCCCTGGACAATATTTGGCTATTGATCCAAAAGGAAGAGCAATAATGATTGGTAATAATAATTAAGGAAAAAACTTACTTACTTAATATTAATTCTTAAAATGGTTTAGGGGCTGTTGAAAAACAAAAATTAGTTTACATTCCAAATAGAGATGCTGAAGCAAGACTAACAATTTCTTCTCCTTTGGAAGCGAATAAAAGTAATACATTAGTATATCACATGGTCGGAATCGATGTAGCATTTGACAATCCAATTTTTGCTTGTCTTGAAATTGACTATGAAGTAATTTGAACTTAAAATGTCTTGAAAACATTTAAACTGTATTATCTTAAATTTGTATTTTTAGGAAGTTGATGCAGATCCAACCGGAGAAGCTGTTCAGACTACCAGACAAACGCTTACATTTTATGAGGTAGATTTTGGATTAAATCATGTGGTTCGTAAATATAGTGAACCTTTAGAAGAACACGCTAACTCCCTTATTACTGTCCCTGGTGACAAAGATGGACCTGGAGGAGTATTGATATGTTCTGAAAATTATATTACTTATAAAAATCAAGGAGAACAACCTGATATACGGTGTCCAATACCTCGTAGAAGAGTGAGTTTAACTTGATGAACATTTTTCATCTATATACTATTGATGTTATTTTATTGCACTATAGGTATCTCTTGTGTGCGAGTAATTTTCCCACACCGGTCGTGAATGAGTGCTATATTATTAGATGCTATTATTTTGTTGAATAATATTTTTATTGATATAAATTTTATTCAGAGCTATCTAACATTATCTATTTATAAATTGAATATATTATTTAAATTATTGTTTTATTGCACTATAGGTATCTCTTGTGTGCGAGTATTTTTCCCACACTGGTCGTGAATGAGTGCTATATTATTAGATGCTTATTAATTTGTTGAATATTTTTTATTGATATAAATTTTATTCAGAGCGCTCTAACATTATCTATTTATAAATTTGATATTTTACTTAAATATACATACCTTATAAATACCTAAGGTAAAATCTTGTTTTATTGCACTTCATGTCACTTATATTATGCAAATAATAAATAAGTGTTTTACATTATAAATATTATGCAGATAATAGTAAATAGTAATATATTTTTATAATTATTAATTCATGCTGTGTAATGTGTAACTCATAAGGTACTTAGTTTGTATAAATTAATTTAATGCTAATGTTAAAAAAAAAATGCAATAAAATGCTACAAATAAACTTAAAGCTAGATTTTTGGAATTCAATTTATTTATTTTAGACTATATTTTCTGATATTAGCTTTTTATAAGTCAGAGATATAGATGTATATACTAATATGAAATTATTTGATTTAGATTAAAAATAATAGTAATTATTCGACATTTTTAGAACGATTTGGATGATCCAGAACGAGGAATGATTCTGGTTTGTAGTGCTACACATAAGACTAAATCTATGTTTTTCTTTTTGGTTCAAACTGAACAAGGAGATGTTTTTAAAGTAACATTAGAAACAAATGAAGAGTTTGTTACAGAAATTAGACTAAAGTATTTTGATACTGTACCTGTAGCTTCTGCGATGTGTGTTCTTAAAACTGGATTTTTGTTTGTAGCATCAGAGTTCGGAAACCAGTAAGTTAAATTATTACTCTTAATTATGGTAATTTATTTATTTTATTTTATTTTGCAGTTATTTATACCAAATAGCAAATTTGGGAGATGATGATGATGAACCAGAATTTAGTTCAGCAATGCCTCTTGAAGAAGGAGATACATTTTTCTTTGCACCTAGACAATTGAGAAACTTAGTTTTAGTTGATGAAATGGATTCATTATCACCTATAATGGCTTGTCAAGTTGCTGATTTAGGTATTAATTTGATTTACTCGTGTTCTCTGATCGTTGTTTTGTTTAAATATTAGTTTAGTGATAACATTTATTTATTTAACAGACAATTTTCCAATAAACCCCTTCTAAGAAAAGGTTCTATTCAATAATATTTGTAACTATTTATAAAACAATTTGCTTTGTGCCTTAAACTAATAATAACTTAGTTGTGTTCAATTGATTGTTTTCATCGGTTTAAATTAGAAATTAATTTTCTTATATTATTTAGTTCAATCTATTCTGGCCTGATGTTAAAGATACACGTTTAGGCTGAATAAATAATGATGCCTGTGTTAACCTGCGGAGCTGATTCAGATTTTGGAATAAGGAGACATCATTCACCAACTACTTACCTCTTTTGATCATATTGGTTAAAAGTTCAATACTAGTTGGAAGATAAAATTCGTTTAACTATCCTACTATTAGTTGTACTATAAACTAATCGTGAGGAAACACTCGATACATTTAGGTACTCAACTATTTATAAAATAGTGTAGTGAATACTGGTATTACTGATTTTGGTGGCTTAAATAGACTTCTTATGTTTTTGTCAAAAATATATTACTTAGTTCAATTTATTCTGGCATGATGTTAAAGATACACGTTTAGGCTGAATAAATAATGATGCCTATGTTAATGTGTAGAGCTAATTCATATCACAAATATCTAAACAAAATTACTTGAATTTACTATATTATTTTTGTTGATATTTAATATTTTGCATATAATGTAAATTAAATCATGAAAAATAAATGTATGTATTTTTATTTTAGCTGCTGAAGATACTCCTCAACTATACATGGCATGTGGCCGAGGATCAAGATCTACTTTGAGAGTTTTAAGACATGGTCTCGAAGTTTCAGAAATGGCTGTATCTGAATTACCTGGCAGTCCGAATGCTGTATGGACTGTAAAAAGAAGAGCGGACGGTAAGATTTTTATATGTATTTCTTGTTCCCAGAATATACCAGTACTTTTAGTTTTATAATATTAAGATGTTTCGAGTTATTACAAAGTTTTCCTATTTAAAATTATAGGTAGGTACTTGGGCTAAGTTATCTTAGGAGTTAAGACCTCCCAAAATGTCCGCTCTTATTTTTTTTGAATATTCTTATAAAATCTTAAAATCCAATCGTATATTAATGCGCTGGTGAATAGATTATAAAATCTATCAAACACCAGTTCGTTTATTTTTCAGGTATTGAATCACCGTATTGGCTCTGAATCAAAAAGGTAAGTTGTAGAGTTGGACGGGAGTGATCGAAGCAATCCATTTATAAAATAAGAACACCTCAGCCGAAATAATTAAAGAATACTTGAGTTTATTAATTTATATTGTAAGATAAATTATAAACTAATAAGAAAATACTGGTGTATAATATTTTCACTGTTTCAGCATCTTGATGTAAATGGGATGAGTCCTTATATGGGGCATTCCAACAATCAACTAGTTGTCTACTATTGATCACAACGTTATAATATAATTTATTAATTATTCTGTTAAAATAAGACACAACTTCAAGTCGGCAAATATTTTTACTGTGATAATTTTTTAATTGAATAATTTTTCGTTCAACACTATTTTTTCTTTATGTAACTATTATCTATTTCTATAAATTTTCTGAAAAATCAATTAATTTGTTTTTTGATAATATAAAATTTGATAAATTTTCTTAATTTTTTTCCATTAAAAAAAAAAAGATCATTATAGTTAAATTTTTATTGAATTTTGTTTTCCGTTATGATCTAAAACTAAAACAACATCAAATAATAATTTTTTCCTTCTATTAATTTGTATCAAAATTTGATGAATATTTTTTTGTTTTCATTCTTTCAGAAAATTATGATGCCTATATCATTGTGTCTTTCTCAAATGCCACTCTAGTATTGTCCATTGGAGAAACTGTGGAAGAGGTTTCAGATTCAGGTTTCTTAGGAACAACACCGACATTATCTTGTTCTCCATTAGGCGATGACGCTGTAGTACAAATATATCCAAATGGTGTCCGACATATACGTTCTGACAAACGAATGCATGATTGGAAAGCTCCCGAAAAAAAGAAAATTGTTAAGTGTGCAGCTAATCAACGACAAGTTGTTATTGCACTCGGGGGTGGTGAACTTGTGTATTTTGAAATGGATCCGGTAAATAAATAACTTAATAACATATTAATAATTAATAAGTTCAATATTTCATTTAATTAAAATAACATATTTTAAGTGTTCTATAAAAACTGAGCAATTATTTCTCAATATTTTGTGTATTTACAACATTATAACATATTTGAATTGCATCTTAATATTTTTTGAAGTATTTTATATTAATATTTCAAAATCACTTTTCATTGGTGCTATATTAACTTCATCAACATGTCGCCTTCTAAAAGCCGATATATGCTCATTGAAGTGAACCATGTTTGTACATTCTGTATTCATTTAAAATCTACGACTGCACATTTTAATGTTTGAATTATTTGTGTTTTATTGAATAATATAATAACTACGATTTAGATGTGTGCTAAATAAAATAGTAAACATGTCGCCTTCTAATAGCCGATACATGCTCATTGAAGTGAACCATGTTTACACATTGTTTATATTGGATTGGTTATATTTAATATTTACTTGTGGATAATTTAAGTTATTTAAATAATTATTTCCAGACTGGTCATTTAAATGAACATAAAGATCGTAAAGAAATGAATTCAGATGTTCTTTGTATGGCATTGGCAAATGCCCCTTCGGGAGAACAAATGTCTCGCTTTTTGGCTGTTGGTCTAACAGATGAAACTGTCCGTATCATTTCTTTAGATACCATTGTAAGTTTATTATTTAAAGTTCCACATTTTTTTATTTAGAAAAGTATATTGGTGAATAGTGTAAACATTTGTAATATATTTTATTCCAAAATTTATTGCTGAATGTCTATTTTAATAAATTTTGTAAACAAAAAAATATGATAATGATAGCTCTAAACTCTGGTGTTATTATTAAAAACAAATCATTGAGTAGAAAAATAGTCTTTTTTTTATTTATCAGAAATTCTGGAATTTCTTGGAAATTCTTTATATATGTATATGATGTCACATGTATTATATGCATGTTTGAAAAACAAGTATAATAATTACTTATCTTAATTTAACATTTAAAGGATTGTTTAGTTCAACTGAAAATGCAAGCTATACCTGCCATGCCTGAATCATTGTGTATCGTAGAAATGGGTGCTAGCGACGGAGGTTCTTCGGATGAACCTGGAATGAATTCGTTATCCATGTTGTATTTGAACATTGGATTACAAAATGGTGTACTACTTCGTACTGTCCTAGATGGTGTGACCGGGGAAATGGCAGACACTCGTGCACGTTATTTAGGAGGCAAACCAGTTAAATTGTTTAAAATCAGAACTAGAGGCAATGAAGCAGTAAGTACACCTTCAATATCGTGATTTATTTGTATGTATATTATTTGTGTCTTTTTAGGTACTTGCCATGTCTAGTAGGTCATGGTTGAGTTATTATTACCAGAATCGTTTTCACTTGACTCCGTTATCATATGAAAGCTTAGAATATGCATCTGGTTTCTCATCTGAACAGTGTCCTGAAGGTATAGTTGCAATATCTGGTAATACTCTACGTATTTTGGCTCTGGAAAAATTGGGTGCTGTATTCAACCAAGTTTCATTTCCGGTTGAATATACACCTAGAAAGTTTGTTATTCATCCTGATTCTGCTCATTTAATTGTGGTGGAAACTGAACATAATGCATACACTGAGCAAACTAAAAAACAGAGGCGAATTCAAATGGCAGAAGAGATGCAAGAAGCTGCTGGTGAAGAAGAACAGGATTTAGCTAAAGAAATGGCTGAAGCATTTTTAAATGAAGATTTGCCAGAAAATATTTTTGGTGCTCCTAAGGCTGGTCCTGGAATGTGGGCATCTTTAGTTAGATTGTTCAACCCAGTTCAAGGCATAACAGAAGCTGTTTATAGGTTCCCACAAAATGAAGCTGTTATGAGGTATGCAGTTTATTTTCATAATTCAAATATTGTATTTTTAATATATTTATAGTATTATAAATTAATATTTTAAATTGTTAAAAAAAATTTTTATAGTGTTGCTTTAGTTCGATTTTCAAGTTACCCAGATTCACAATTTGTCTTATTTGGTGTTGCTAATGAACTTCATTTAAACCCACGACATGTTACTTGTGGATATGTTTACACTTACAAGTAAGTAACTATAAATAATTAATAAAATTGTCAATGGTAGTTACTGGTTTAATATGATTTATTTATTTACAGAGTTAACCCTACTTGCACATCTTTAGAATTAGTACACAAGACTACTGTGGATAATGTGCCAACTGCAATATGTGGATTCCAGGGACGTGTTTTGATTGGTATTGGTAGAATATTACGTCTCTACGATATTGGTAAAAAAAAATTGTTGCGAAAATGTGAAAATAAAGTAAATAATTTTAGACAATATAGTTAGATGATGAAAGTTCAATTTATTATTTCTATTTTATCAACAGCAAATACCTTTATTAATAATTGGAATTCGCGTCATGGGCTGCAGAATTTATGTGAGTGATGTCCAAGAAAGTGTCTATATGGTACGTTATAAGCGAAATGAAAATCAATTAATTATATTTGCCGATGATACGCAACCTAGGTATATTACAGCTATGGAAATACTTGACTATAATACTGTTGCTACAGCTGACAAATGCGGAAATATTTCAGTGGTGTGTAACTTTTGATATTGAAATAAAAATTTTCCTAAAAATATTTTAAACTATATTAAATTTTTGTTATTTTAGGTACGTTTAGCATCTTCAATATCAGATGAAGTTGATGATGATCCCACTGGTAATAAAAGTCTTTGGGATCGTGGTTTACTTAATGGTGCCTCGCAAAAAGCTGATTTCATTGTGAATTTTCATGTTGGAGAAATATGCACATCAATACAAGTAAATATTATTGTGCCATAATAAAATGATAACCAATTTGAATGTTTAATTAAATTTAAATTTTATCTTTCAAATTGTACTAATATAAATAATATCGCAAACATTTTATTGTCTGAGATGATGTTTAAATTTCACACGTTAGACTAATGACCATTTATGATTATTATTTTTTTTGACTGATCAGACAAAAATTTGAATATATTAATTTTTCTTAATATTGTATATTTTAAAAAAATTTAGGGTGTGTTATTACATAGTATGGAAAAACCTTTTTTTTACCCTACATTTTTAGTTTGTTTTGTTTGTTACTATGGTAATGAATAAACTATTTAATTATGTTGAAAGAAAATAAATTTGAAATAAAATCAAAGTCTGAAATGATGATTAAATTTTGCACACGTTAGACTTATGAATGTTTGTGATTATAATTTATCTTAACTGATCAGGCAATAATATGAAAATACAAAGTAATAATAATAATTTATAAAATAAATTAATGAAATTTCAAATATTCTTTTATAAATAAATTATTAATTATAATTGTCAGTATATTATATTATCATTTTAGAAAGCCACATTGATCCCAGGAGGTTCTGAATCTCTAGTTTATGCTACTGTAACTGGTACTATTGGTGTTCTTGTGCCGTTTACTGCACACGAAGAACAAGATTTCTTCCAACATCTTGAAATGCACATGCGTTCTGAGAACCCTCCTCTTTGTGGACGTGACCATCTATCATACCGATCTTACTATTTCCCAGTAAAAGTTAGTTAAATAAATTGTTCCATGTTATACTGAGTTATAATTTGTTTTATTTTGCTATTTGTTTAGAATGTTTGCGATGGTGATTTATGTGAGCAGTATAACTCTATTGATATTGCTAAACAAAAGAGCATTGCTGCTGATCTTGACAAAACACCGGCCGAAGTATCTAAACGACTCGAAGACATAAGGACTAGATATGCATTTTAAATATAAAATAATATTAATAATTTATTATATTATTACTAATAATATCTTGGTTTTTATATATACATATACAGAAAAATCATTTCAAAAATATAATAATTTCCAATTATTAATTTGTATGGCGTGTCTTGATTTATTTTTTTGATAAAGTTTAGGTATAATATATATTTATTTTAAGTCAACATGTAATTGCAAGTAAATGTTTTAAAATAGTAAAATGTAAAACTAAAAAATTGTAAGTAAATTATTATGAAGATACTAATGGGGGGGGGGGGTTAGTTTTGTATGTAACATAGTATTTTTAGCAATAAATTTTAACTCATCATTTTCTGTTCAACTATCAGTTAATATTGTAAGTTTTTACACTATGTAAATAAAAAAATTTTAAAAAAAATACTATTTGTTTTGTTTTTTGAATTATTTTTAAGTTATTTTTATCAATAATTAATTTTTGAAAATAAAAATGTGATAGTGTTGGTTTCACCCCCAAATAATAATTATGCAAAATTGTACAGCTAAATGCTTCTTAAATTATCCTAACAAAATGTATTATTTACCAAGATAATGATAGTATCTTACATAATATATTAATTATTCAAAAAAAGAGTAGGTGAGAATCTTCTTTACCGAAAAAACTATAAAACATGTAAAATGTACCTTCATACTTGGTAAAATATATAAATGATACTAAATGTATAGAAAAAGAGTTTTGTAATCATATTTTTGATAATGACACATCAAAAATTTATGGCGACTATGCCTCCATTTTAGCCCCTTAAGACAATTCTTACAAAAAGCAACTGCACATTTCATTTACAATTTTGTGTTCAGAAATTACAACTATTTTAACATTATTTTTTATATCCACATGGATTGTCTGTAGAAAATCTATATTATTCTGCTTATTATGAAATATCTACACGGATAAATAGATGAACGGGATAAAAAGTTTATTAATAATTCAGATAGTTATAATTGGTTTAGATTCATTAAATCTACAATCAAAATCAATTTTAGATATTTATTATTTTAATTTTGTAATCTTATAAATTGTGAGATTGATACTTTAAATTCAGAGTTAATTATTTTCTCAAATTCAAAACAAAAATAATGAAAAAAAGTGTAAAGTAAAAATTAATATTATTTTTAAATGAATACTAAAAAACATATATTATAAACTACAATTACAAGATTTCTAGTAAAAAACATTTGTTACAAAAATAATGTAAAATCATGAAATCATTATCCCGTAAATATTTGTCTGTTTATTCCTATGTGGGAGAAAGTTAATCCCTTACCACTCACTCAAAAATATCCATACCCTACCACAAAAATATTAAAATTTATAAAAATGTCTATACAATTTTACAACAGAGTATAACCTACTGAATTCAAATTACATACAAAACTAGCAAAATTAAAATGTGGCTAAACATTTTTGAAACTTGTCTAGAAAAGGCAAGTTTAGGTTTCCTGTTCAAATTATAAGTCTACGAATATTTTTAACTAAATAATAAAAAACAAAATTGAAAATAATAATAGCCATTAGCTTTGTAAATTTTCTCATTTTTCTTCCGTTTTATCCCAGATTTTTCCAGATATTTAAAAATAATTGTTAAAAAATCAAAAAATAACCTCTTTAAAGTACTATTTAGACAATATTTCCTTTCAGAAATGGTGCCACACGTAGATATCGAAGTAAGAATTTTGATAGAAATTTTTGTCACTGAATAAAAAATAAAAAACAAACATTGTGAAAAATTTGGAAGATGGAAGGATATATTGGAAAAATAAAATACCAGAGGACAACGGACACTATGACTTTATTAATTATTTTCAAATGATTATAATTAAAACTTCTTTGATAAATTATAATTACCTATATGCGTGATCGTCTAGTTGGACAATTAGAGGGAGTTTTAAATTACTGATTTTAAAGCGGAATTATTTAAATGATCAAAATTTTCCTCAAGATAAAAAAATGTTATTTGTACGCTTTTCGTCACAAAAACTATAAATAGTATTCATATTCCAAGCATTGTGAACGTGATTTTGGTAAAGTCATCATGAAAAATAATGCCAAAAATTTTGAGTTTTTCTCGATTAATAACGCTGGCAAGAGCACAATGAACACTACAGTTGCGCCCAAAACCAAACCAACCAATCCCGGAAAATAAGGTACGCTGAATTTTTAAAAAGATTCATCACAAAGTCATCAGCAATAGATTCATGGATTCCAATTACTATACAATATACTATTCGTATAAAGGCCGATAAGCAAAAATATTGTTAAAATAATACACAACTAACATATTAAACATATTTTAAAACGCAAATTTGAAATATAAACAAATTGTGTTAATCTCCAATAATAATAGATAATAGGTACAAATTTTCAAAAATACACCTAATGTTGAAAAATAAAAATCATAATTGGCTTATGGGAACGCGCGTTTCCGTATTTCATTGTATGGGAAAAATTCGTTTTATTCTACAAAGAGAATACCCATTCACGTTCAAGAAAAACGAACAACGCTTCACCCAGGAAGTATTAAGTCAATCGATCGCTTTGGAACCCAAAGGCAAAGTCAAAGGCATTTGATTTCAATAGAAATCCAGCCGCATGATAGTTTCTAAAATGCTCTCATCACAGGCATCAAGTATAAAAATGGATTTCTTAAACCAACCTTTATCAATACAAAACTACAACCGTTAAGCACAACTCAAAATCCACGTTAGTTATTATTTTTTAATATATTTACTACCTATTATAATTATTTGTTTCTTTTTAATTTTTCTTTTTTTAATCATTTTTAGGTATTAGAAAACAAAATTGAATGGTTAATAAATGATAATAAAACGATTAATATTAGTAGGTACATAGTAAATGTTCTTTTACACAATTTTACGAGACCACCTTGTGTTCTGTTGTACTATCCGAATATGGATGGAATATGTTTTTGAACTCAGCTTAAATCAAGCTGTTGCGGGTGGGGGTTCTATCCATCAAAGCAGTTTTGATGGTAGATCAGGTCTTTCAACTAATTGCAAACTTAATAAGGTTACTCAGCTGACTGGATTTTCTGATCCAGTATATGCTGAAGCTTATGTGCATGTAAATCAATATGATATTGTTTTGGATGCATTCATTGTTAATCAAACTGGTAAATACACATATATAATAATAATACATATTAAGAAAAAAAATGTATTTATTAATTATCATGATATAAGGTGATACACTGAAAAATTGCACCCTGGAGTTAGCAACAAAATGAGATATAAAATTGGTAGAAAAACCACAGCCTGTTGTTTTGGCACCTCATGATTTTTGTAACATTAAAGCTAGTATTAAAGTAGCATCTACTGAAAATGGCATTATATTTGGGAACATTGGTAAACTATAAAAGAATTTAATTTTATCATAGATTATCTATCATTTATTGTAATTAGTTTATGATATTGGTGGTGCAATCGGTGACCGAAATGTAGTTGTATTAGATGACATCAGTATAGATATAATGGATTATATAATGCCAGCAGTTTGTAATGATTCTGAATTCCGCCGAATGTGGACTGAATTTGAATGGGAGAACAAAGTATAGCATCTTTGTTTTGTATTCAAGTACCCAAATTTAACTTTAGATTATTTTTAGGTTTCTGTTTCTACTAGTTTGACAGATCTTAATGAATATCTGGTACATCTGTTGAAGAGCACCAACATGAAATGTCTTACTCCTGAAAAAGCATTATCTAGACAGTGTGGATTTATGGCGGAAAATTTATATGCAAGGTCAATATTTGGTGAAGATGCATTGGCAAACTTAAGCATTGAAAAAGGAATCGATAAGCCACAAGTCTGTGGTCATATTAGGATTCGAGCTAAAAGTCAGGTAATTATAAACAATGTATAAATTAAATTTTTTCTGGCTTCTGGCTACCACACTGGTGTCTGTTATTAGCTAAGGTTAAGTTTAGAGTTAAAAGTCCTGTTACTGGTTATACCCTTCGGTGTGAGCCATAACTGAAAAACAATTTTTTTATGGGGAAAGGGAGAAAATCAAATATTTGCTGCCCAATATTTGATGACACCTTACTGCTTATTATATTTTTTTAGGGGAGGAGGAGCATTAGCTCTTATGCTTTTCTTGCAAGATATACTGTTTATTTTTAACAAATTGTATTAATGATAATAAAGTGTTTAACATTTTTCAAGTGTTACTGTGTTGTAAAGAATTTTACTAGATATTGTGACTAATTATTGAAGTCATGTAGATTGATTAAGTTCTTAAATATTCATTTATATTTTAGCTGTAAAATTAATAGATTTCAAATAGCAATATGATAAATATATTTTGAAAAGTTTTGGTGTTAATATATTTAAGAATGATGGATAATACATTTTCTACAATTTTCGTAAGTTAATAATAATTTAAATTGTTTTCATTACGACTTAATATCAATTGGTTTGTCAATGACCATGGAAAATAAATTTTATTTATGTAATATGTAAACTTTAAAAATTCATCATTATTAAATGTTTGCAACACTAATACCTATTTTGATTCAAAATATATTTAAAAAATAGCTAACTTAAATTTATAAAACAACAAAATCAGAGCAAAACACTAAAAATTATTAGAAAAAAAAATTATTTTAAATATTGAATAGAACAAAATTTGTTACAGGTGTCAGATTTTAGTGTTATACCTTGTATATTCATGATTTATGAATATTGAATATCTTAAATATATATATATTTTAATACATTATTAAAATATTGATGTTGTTAATTTAATTCTAGGGTATGGCACTCAGTCTTGGAGAAAAAATAAATATGATGCAAAAACGACCATATAAAGCAGTTTTTGCTTAGGTGTTGTAAAATCAGACATTTAAATCATCAATAAGTATATAATTTTATCATTATTACAGTATATTTATATTGCAATTAAAATTATATTTATAATCCACATTATTAATATAAAGAATATATTTTATTTACATTTTTTAATGACATCTGTTTTTGCTGCCATCAGTACAATGCCTCCATCCCTCTCGATCTTGTACAATTTCCTTCCATTCTTGCACTCCCAGGGCTTTAATATCCTCTTCTACGTCTAGCCACTTATACTTCAGTTTGATTTATTATTTTAACTAAATCTGTTAAGTGTTTTTAAGAGTCTACATCTACATATTATATGTATATTACCTATATGTTGTAACCAGGGTTTGAGATTTTTAATAATTTATCAACAAAATAGTGCTCGAAAAACTTTATCAAAAAGTTTAATAAACACTTAAAAACATTTTAAAAATTAAAATAGAAACTAGTAAAAAATATTTTATTTTTAAATTATTGAATTAAGAAAAAATAATAATTTCATGTTTGAATAATGGTGTTCAAATATAATTAAAACAGGTATACTAATATTTTTGTAAATATTTATGGTTTTTATCATTTCCAGTTCAACTAGATAAGTACTTGCTTTATGATTCTCATTTTTTTTGCTCAGAATAGTATTTAATCGAAAAGATATTGTTTGATTATAAAGGCGTATAAAGTCTACCAAGGATTACTAATCCTGCAATGACTTGAACTTCATAATTGGTATTTGGGTATAATATTGTCTTGTGAATAGTAATAACTTGAGTAATTTTAACTAATTTTAAATTCTGAACGAAGCGAGGAATGTTTTGGTTTTACAATAATATTTATTATTTTTTCTGTGACTAATTTTTTGACCAGATATTTTGCTCAGATTTTCATGTGTAGCACTTTTTCTGAAAAGAAACTGACCAAGATGGTACTTTTCGGGAACCTTTTTTTAATTTTTCCAGGGGTTTTCCTAATAAATGGAAAAACGTGTAAAGTTTACAATATATGTTATTGTCAAATTGTAAATATTTTACAGTCTATCAGAACATGTATAACCGAACGCTGCTCAGAATCGTTTTTTTGTTAGTTTTGATTAATCATTGCATACAGATACACATTAAATTTTCCCTCTACTTGGCAACTTCTCACTTACAACAGTGGTCTACGGTCTACCATTGTGCAAAGTATTTTCATTTATTTTTTAAATTTGTGTTTTAATAAATAAAAATAACTAATGTAAATTCAATTAACTTTTGAAACTTAGTTATACTATTCGGAAATATTTCATTTAAGAAAAAGATATTCAAGAAAAATGATGCAGTTTGTACATTTGCTATATTATGTTATTAATTTAGTTTCACCAGAACAGGTATCTCAGGTATGGCTATATCCAATAAAAATGATTTTTACATAAAAATCAAAATTAATAAAATTATGAGTTTGGTCACTGTAACACAAAAATCAGACACAAGAAATAACTTTACTCCTCTTCAATAAGTTTAAGTTTTTTTTTTTTTTTTGTAATAATTAGAGCTTTAGACAATAACTATTTTAAATGTAAATTTATTTTAAAATTAAAAATAAAAACTTAAAAATATTAAATAGAATAAGTTATTTCAGGATTCAGATCTTCATGTTACACCATGTTTATTAATAATATTATTGAAAAATTAAAATTTAATTTTTGTCTAAAAATATATTTTCAGTTTTGTAATTTTATTTGTGAATAAAAACAACATTTTTCATTAATAATTAATGTAGTATTTTTGTATTTATGTTAGAAATATATTAACAACATTAGATATTATGATTAATTAGAATTTAATTTATTAGGATGAAATCATATAAAAATAAAAAAATAAATACAATGACCACTTATGAATGTAAAAAAAACTAATTAATGTAAATAAATAATTATTACAACTTAATGAACATTTTAAAAATTAAGTGTAGTCTGACCTCTTCCTCTTCGGCCTCTAGTAGAAGCTCTTGAAGCTCTTCTACCAACACCTCTTCTTCCTCTAGTACTTATATTGGTAGAAGAATTGTTTAATTCATCATCTGACAGAACAGAAGAATTATTTGATTCGTCAATAGAATCCGTTTGATGTTTGGCTGGTTGAGTTATAGCCTGGGAATTTAATAGTTCACGAACCTATAATCAAAATAATAAATGTTAAATATACTACTGTATTGTTTTATGGTCAGTATATAAAAATCATACTTTATTAACTTCTTCTTTTGATTTTTGAGTATGAGAGATATGATAACTAGTAATGTACTCTGAAATATTAATTTCATCGAGATCTTCTTGTTTTGTTACATAATTCCTTACTTTTTTCATTTGATGTCTGAAAACGTTTTAATTTTTTATTTTGTAAAATCAAGTTTATTAATTTGACTTGATATTATGTTAAAATTATTTTAATAAGTACATATTGTACTTCTTTATATTTGAAAATTTTATTTAAGTGACTTAACTACACACAGTACAATTTATTTTGGTGCAATACTTGTTATCAAATACTTACTTAACAACCCTATTTATGGCATCTGGACATGATTTATTGACAGCCCAATCAACTGCTTCAGCCATACCATTCACAGATAATAATTCCAGCTGCTTATCCTCAGAAGCAGTTTTAAAATATTGATCAACAATATGTTCAATTTTTTCCACCTGAATATTAAATCATAATATATTTAATTTGAATGTATAAATTAATAAAAGTTATAAAATTAATACTTCTTCAATATCAACAATATCTGCTAGAGCATTGTCATCAATGCATCTGGGTTTTTTTTCAATACTTTTTTTTTCTGTTCTTAATAAAATCATGTCACTTGAATTAGCAACACGGTCTTGAAACTGTTGCCCAAATTGAATACCATTGAAATGTTGAGTTTCACTAGTGTATTCAATTCTCAGTCGTATTAATGGTAATTTTGGTTGTTTATGGTGACCTAAACATAATTAATATTTACATACATATATATTCAGGTTAGGGCATAACTTAATTGAAATTCATTTTTCTGAATATCAGGTGTGTACAATTGTATGTATTGCTAAATATTTTATTTTATTAAACTTACAATTTTTGACTGTGTAGGAATTGTATTAATCAGTATTATCTATTTTAGATTACCAACATGTACTTACTAGGTACCTACACACCTATATGTTATTTTAATCTCATCTAATTACATATATGGATTTTTTTAGTATCAGGTTAAGTATATCAACCTATATACTTTTTACACATTTGTGTGTAAATATTGGCTTTATATTATTTTTGTGTTTTAGATTTAGAGTATAGCGAGGAATCTATTAGTTTTGCACACTATATGCGTGTTTCTTTTTATTTGTCTGTTAACAACTTTTTGACCAGAAAACTTGCTCCAACTTGTCCTGAAAATTTGTTGCATTTAGGATCTAGTTGGTGAGTAAGAAAGTAATTTATTTATATAATTTTTTTTGACAATGGTTTTAAGATTAAATTTTGATCATTAGTAATGGTTTATTTTTGCTTTAAGATTTATACATAAAAAAACAGATATCTGTCTGCCTGTATAAGATTAATAGAAAAAATGTAATGGATTGGTTTTAACAGGGTTTTTGCAAAATGTATTGTGTTGTCTGAAAGTTTATTGAAATTCACCCCATAAAATTTTATTTCACAAAAAACTAACTATTTTTATTGATTTATGAGTTACCATGGTAATACAGATAAAAAAAAACTCTTATTAATTATTATTGTAGTTGTATACATTTGTTTTTGTTTAGTGTTTAAATGAATATTATAAGTAAAATTATAATTTATAAACATTAATTATTAAATTTTATACTTCATGTTTTGTATTATTTCTTTTATATTTTTACCTTTATAAGTATATGTAAATCTGGTCTTTATTGATTAGATACAGAAAATGATCTTAAGATGAATTACTAACTATGATTAATTAAAATACCTTCAATATTTAATACAAATTTCAAAGCAATAGTTAAATGTAAGTCATACCACTTCTTTTAAAATTTAAATCTGATAAAATATCCTCAATTTTTTGCTTTAAAAATTCTTGAGTATATTTTGAATTACTAACATCTTCTTCACATTCTGATAATCTTATTGTTTCAAAATGCATCTGCCTAACAGTTTTCAATTCTAGAGGTTCAATTTTGAATTCTTTTTTCCCCTGTGTTCTTATAGTTAACAATCCAACATATTTAGTACCAGATTCTCCTTCACACATAGATGTCGCTACTGTACTACCTAATAAAAAAATAATATACTTATTTGATTAAATATTTTATAGAAATTTGGCATGCTTTATAATAAATAGAATATAAAAATACAGTTATATTTTTAAAACTGACTATTAGTTGTAATACCTGGCTGACTAATATAACCACAAGGATCCCTAAGAACAGGATCAATTAAACTTTCGTGTTCATGTCCCCAAATAGTGAGCTCCATATATCGTGGTATAACATTTTCTGGTAAATGTTTAGTACCTGGCCGTTTAGCACGATTTTGATGACACATAAATATATTGAACCATTCATCTACATCTTCTTTTGGACGAAGCATTCGTACTTTTCTATCTTTAAATAACCGTTCCAGTCTTTCATCGCGAATATGGCTCAAACCATAAATTGCAATTTTATTATTTCCTTTTTTTAATAAAATAGGTACAATTTTAATGTCTTGAAGATTTGTTTGTTTTCCAAAATAATTAATCAAACCCATTGAACTTAAAAGGTCCATGCAGGATATTTCTCTATAACCTTGCAAATAACATTTAATCTTATATAATTTTGAAAAAAATACAATAAATAAAGAAAAAATATTTTACCACAAGGATCATCATGATTGCCGTGAATTGAAAAAACAGGAATAGAAACATTTAAGTTTTGGTCTTCAAAATTGACTATAGGATGATGGCTATGTTTAAATATTTCAGCTTGGTCACTTACAAATTCTATATTTATAGGTCTATATTATGTATATATATAAAAAAAAAAATATATAGTAGCTAACACAGTAATTGAAATATGCAGAATAACTTTATTATAAAACAATCTATCAAAGTAAACAAAAAAAAAAAATGTGAAAGATAATAGGTAGAAAGTGATTTTTTTTTTTCTATTATAATCAAACTTTTTATTTATTAGACATTATACATGTCTATAAAATAATATTTACCTATCACCCAAACAATAAGTACGCAATAGTGAAATACATCGTTCTAAGCTAGTTACTGAAGGTTGGTTAACATGGAATAAATCACCAGCTAACAAAATAAAATCAACTTGGTGTTTGACTGCTAATTGTAACACCTCTTCAAATGTATTGAATGAATCATCAGCTGAAATAAATATTATTATTATAATATGATGAGAAACAACGATTAGTGTAACAATTATTTCATCTTCTTTAGTCTACAAAATCATACTAACAAACATATACCATGCCATTTTTCTACTAAGATTTATCAATTTGCTCCAAGCCTTTTTTAACTTAGTTTTCCCAACTTAAACTCAGTCTTTCTATTGATTATTCCCTTCTTACTACATTGTACTATATGTCTAAGTAAACATTCATGTGTGACCAGCCCAATTGAGCCATCTTTTCCTTATTTCATCTATTTGATTGGATTTTTGATTAAGCCATCTACTTAAACTTCATATTATTTCCGACCTACCACTCACATATATATATACCTATTCGTACCTACACAAGGGCCAAAAATATACCTTAGAATTTTTCTTTCAAATACTATAAGGTCATTTTGTTGTAACTTATGAAGGATCCAAGTTTCACATACATACATAATCATAGGCTAAATAAGAGTTCTATAAATTTACACCTTAAGGGTCAGTTTAAGGTTCTATTTTGGACAGCATTCTTGAATTTATCATTTTGTTTAATCTGAAATAACATTTTATTATCTGCCGATATTCATGCTAGGATAACTAATTTTATTAGGAGAACAAATTGATTAAATACACAATAAAGATTCATGATGAATGCAATCATAGGCCTTAAAATCAATAAATTACATGTGCACTTCTTGGTTGTATTTTTTCATATTTTGTACAGTTAGTCTTAATATAAATATTTGGCCAATTGCTGACTTATTATTTAATAATTATGTACTACTGTTTATAAGAAAACCTAATTAATATTATTCTAAGTTTAAATAAAAAGAAAGAATACCAAAGGTAAGAAAGTAATTTTTATTACTTATTTTGAACACTTATACTGTCTCCCTCTGGACCAAATAAGCTCAAACTCAGAAATGAAAATTGTTTTAAAGGATTGAAGTGATAAAAGTTGAGTTAAATTCAATGGGATGATATTTTTATATAGGTAAATAGTATTAGTATCAAGGATGTGCCTTTTGAGAGTTTTGACTTTCAACTCACCCCTCTACTATTTGTATCCTTAATTTCTATCATTTTTGTTTTACCTAGTATTATAGTTGTAGTATTGTATAGTATGGTATTGTATTACCTATTATAGTTTGACAAAGAATATTTGTGTAATACAAAATAGGTAGGACACAAATTACTTCTAGTATAGGAGCTCTGCTGCTTAAGGGTGTTTTGTATGAATGAAATTAAATTATATGTTAATGACATTTTAAAATTGTTGGCAAGTACTTAAGAGTGCATTTTGAATTTTGTTTAAGTTTTGTTCAAGGAACTAGTGGCACCTATTTGCACCTGCCACCTGCTATGTAACTTGTTTATATTATATTAGATGAGCCATGTGGTTCCATAGATATAGGAAAAACATTTTGTTTCTAAATATTTAGAGGTGTAATTAATTCTTAAATTAATATTCATTATCTCGGAAAGTATTTACTTTTTAGGAATTTTTTATTCTTGAACAACTTATAAAACAAATAGTTCTAAAATGTTAAATTTCCAATATTTCTGTTACTCATATTTTCGGGGGTGAAACTACTATTTTTGATTTTTGAATAGCACCCTATATTAAAAATTCCATAAATAGATGATAGTTTCAGTTGAAATTTATTTTACTGTTGACATTTTTAATTTACATCAATAATTAGTATATACCAAACTCATATATACTACAGAAAGTCTGAAAAATAACAACTGCAAGGAACATCAAATATATATAAGATTAATTTTTAAAAAATTGTGATAGCAATAGGGAGATAACTATTTATTTCTATGTTCCAGACTATACCATTCGTAACTAGTACCAGTGGTACTGTAGTATTAGGATTATTTCATTGCATTTTACCTCTGATTAAATTTTTTTCTTCAAATCCTAAATGTATGTCTGTTGCAACAAGAATTTTGAAGTCTTCTTCTTCGCAGTTCGATAGCGACGACATATTAAAATTTAAATCACAACACGATGATTGACAATGACGATTAGTTTATGTACATAAAAATCACAATGAATTGGTTAATGGTTATTCTGATCTATATAATAATTCTAATAATCCAAACATTTTATTTAATATTACGCTCTAATTCGTTAAGTATATTTTATTAAAAAGTAAGTGTTATCTGTCTTTCGTTCACGGTTTTATTGGAAATTCCGATTACAATTTACAAAAGCGGGAAAATTAGGATAACGATAAGAGTAATCAAAAATTATTCCAAAAAATCACGGTCCAATTTCGTGCAAAAAATATAGATTTCAAAAAGAAAAAGTAATTAAACAGGTCTGTTTTATATGAGTGCTTTTTCAATATCTAATTCCAAAGAAGGAATTCACGTTTGCAGAGCCGCCATATTTCAAATTTTCAAATTTAGATCTCTGTGTATTTTACAAGATCAATGAATCGCGTTTTACATTTTGACGGTGATATACCTGATAATTAATTTTTAATTTTTATAAAAACATATTATTTTATTTATATACTTATTTACTCTAGATATATCTTCAATTGTGGATTTCATGGATCATATTGTGATCTAAGATTTTACGCATTAGTATTATCACCTCTTATCAAATATATTATAGGTTAAATAGATTCATCCTGATATATCATCTATTTTCGTATTTTTTAATATTTTTCTTATTGCACTTTTAAAGATGGTAATCGATAAAAAAGAACAATTTTAAAATTTTAAATATATTAATTATGAAAAATGTTGGTTTAATAATTGGAAACGATTATGTGAAAAAAGTATTTTCAAAAAAATTAAAAATGTTTAAAATAACGATTGGTATCTTTCATTCCATTCATTCATTGAAATTATCTATGAAGGCCTTTTCATGCTTTTATGCTATTATTTGAGTGAACTAAATTTAGTCTGTAAAAAGTCTATTGACATTTTACTAGGTACACTATTGTATTCTAGAGTTATAATATAAATTATTATATTCAGCATTTTAAAATTGTTTATTTTTAAAATTTTTACAATTGAACTTTCCTAATAAATAAATAAAATGTTATCTTAAAAAAAAAATTCCTATACATAATTAACCACATCAGGTGTCTCCCTGACAATGTTACATGTTTTACAAACCCAAGGCACCATGCTTCTATTAGTGAAAGATTTTATTAGGCATATCGTATTGTTTATTTTTAAACCCATGTTTATAAAATTATGTTAGACCATTGTTAGGTACTTTATAATGGATACCTGGGTAGACATTCTTGCATCAAACTATACTATTTTTCAAGAACAGTAGTCTCAATTAAAACTAATCATTCTTACCCATCCCTACGCCGCACCTCGCTTAGGGCTCCCACCACTATCGGGCCAGGTGTAATTTTGCGGACTGCTGTCGACGACGAGAGTGGTAACGAGTGATCCGCAAGCTCAGTCTGTGTGCGCAAAAAAACTATCTTTTCTCTCGTGAAAAATAGTATAGTGTACTATTATAATTTGTAGGAGTTAAGATTAGAGCCAGGCACTAGTCAAACAGTGACATTTGAATACAAAATACCTACACAATATTTCCATAGCCAAGGAAAATGATCATAGAATATCAATTAAACAAATCCAAAATAATGTAAAAGATATAGATGGTTCTGCCATGATTGGAATAATTAAACTTCAGATATAAACCTGTCAACACATAACCTACTAAATTATCTAATGATTTTTGAATCAATATAAGTTCATTTTAAGATTCTATTCAATTTTTTTTTTGCAAAACACACTAAATTGTTGATTAATAATTATAATTATTGAAAAGCATTTATTATAGATATAAAAAATGTAAATTATAGTACTTCGATTTTTTTTTTAAAATAATAATAATAATAATAATAAAAAAAAAATAATGATGTATATAAAACATGTGAATTAAAACAAACTTATGTGTTTTGGAGTTAGTTTGTTATGGATGTTATTAATTAAATAGTAATTAAAGTAAATATAAATTAGCAGTGACCACGATCTTCAACTCGTTGTCTTGGTGCAGCTTTAATGATACAATCAACACGTAAAATCATTTCAGCAGCCTCAGAAGCAGACAAAAGTACTTGCCTTTTTACAACAAAAGATTCAGTAATTCCATTATCTTTCATACATCCTAAAATGCCTTTATCCATATCTGAAATGAAAATATTTAATTAATAAAAAACGAAATTAAAAATATAAAAGCCTACTAACCAAGACCCATTGTAGTTTTGCCGAGAGCATGAGCTGCTTTTAATTCACTAATTAGCTGTGCAGAATCCAAACCAGCATTATCAGCAATAGTGGTAGGCAAAGATTGTAAAGCTCGTGCAAAAGCCTCCATGGCTACTGCCTCCTTTCCAGCTGTTTTGGCAGCTACACTACTAACAGCATTAGCCATAAGCATCTCGCTGCAACCACCACCATATACAATGGTTGGCTCTTTAACAGTGGAAGATAATACACATAATGCGTCATGCAAAGAACGATCAGCTTCATCAATGATTTGTTCAGTGGCACCACGTATAATAATGGTACATGCTTCACCAAGAGCCACACCAGAGAAGCGTAATAGAGTGCTTTCGCCAATCATTGTTTCTTCAATAAGTTTGCATGTTCCCAACTTGGCCACAGCAGGAGAATCAAATGTTGACAATATCTCACCACCGGTAACAAGAGCCAGACGTTCAATACCATCAAAATCGGCATGTTCAATAGCCATAATTCCAGAATCAGCAAAAAGTTGTTCTGGGTAATTGTAAATCAATTGTCTGGAAAAAAATGTATTTTTAATTCATAAAATGAAAATTAATAGATAATGCATTTAAAATAAATATTACACAATACAGTAAGTATATAAAATAAAACGCATCTAAAAAAATATGAAACATATACAATATTTTTGATCAACACCAATAGAAAAGGAATGAATACTGCCATAGGAGGGAAGTAAGGGAGATAAGATACAGTATGTTATTTAATTAATGTCTGCGTGCAAATTATTACCAACTAAATATAATTCTGAGCAAAGTTCAGATAAACATATTTTGAAATCTCGAAAAATTTATTATTTTCTTTAAAATTTGAAATTAAAACATATATAGAAAAGTTATAATTTTTTTTTTTTTAAACCACTAAATACCAACTTATAATCTATTAAATGTACCACCATTTCTGTTAGTTAGCCAAAACAATTTTATTCACATAAAACTACAAAAAAGTCAAATGTCTATAAATAACTCAATGATCATACCCAAAAGATGTTGTATTTTGAAAAAATTATGTCTTTATTACTCTTTGTAATTGAATAATGAGTATCATTTGTGTGGGCAGTGTGCCGCACGTGTTAATGATGTCCAACTATACCTCTCTTTCAACCCAAACTTAATAGTGGAATATCTTTCGTCAACGGCTTGATAGAAATCAAAATTTTAACACTAAAAATTTATTTTAACTAATACTCCAGCTATTTATGGACTTTTAAATATTGGTTGCCATATAAAAATCAAAGGTAAATAGTGGAATTACCCCCAAATATAAAGAACAAAGGTGATATAAAATAACATAAATATAAAATTATAGAGCTGCCCTTTTCTTAAATATTTTAGAAAAAAAATTCCAAAAAAAGATAATACTTTTTAGAGATAATGAGTGTACCCACTTAAATGGATCACTTGTTAGCTCAAAAATAGTTCAAATGTTCTGAATATTTTATCAGGTCTAGAAAAAGTGAATACAAGTTTTCTGTCAACATTTTAAACTGAATTACATTAAAAATAATAAAAGAATTATTTTCTTTAATTTTTCTGTCATTTCTAAGTATTTTTCAGTTTTGTTCAATTATTAAAATTGTTTAATTTTTTTGGTCACCAACTAGCCGTAAAAATTTAAAATAATGAAAAATATTTAAGCTATCAAATAACAACTTTCTCTATCAGCGGTTATGTGTTAAAAGGAACAAAATCGAGCTCTTGCCATTTTTGGATTAGAGTAATATTTCCAGTAGAAAACATAAGTTGAATATATTAAAAATACCTGTTTATAAAAACATTGCAATCATGAGCAAGTATTTTTCCAACTTTATCTTTCATTTTTTCTTTTTCTGCTAACTCAAGTTCTGCCACCTTTGCCATAGAATCAACTTTAATACGAGATCCAAATACTTTAATTTTATCCGTGTCCATAGGTGTATTTGCTATCAGAATACGAGCATTTTCTATGCGTTTTGGTTGATGTTGACCAACTTTTTTATCAAGAAGAAAACCTATTATAATTATAATAATGTAATTATTATTTTTAATTAAGAAATTGTAATAAATAGATTTATATATAGGTACCTTCATCTAAAAATGAGTCTTCTAAACAACCACCTTTAAGCTTAATAATTTGTATGGCTGAAAGATTACCAGAACCTCTTAGACGCAAAATTGCATCAACAGACAATTTGGCAAAATGTTCTTTGTGTTGAGATAATATTTTAGAGCTTAATGTTGTACGTGCAATATTCAATAAATCTTCTCGAAATTTAGCATCATTTTCACTATTGTTTTTTGAAGCAGTTTGTAAAGCATCATATGCAATTTTTGTTGCTTTTCTCCATCCAGATACAATAACTTGGGGATGAATTTTTTGATCAACTAGTTTTTCAGCTTCACGTAACAATTCAGCAGCTAATAAAATAATATAGAAGTATAAAACAAATACCTTATAATAATTAGATAATTGCCTAAGTACAATAGAATTAGTTTTAAAATCCTCCTCGATATATTGGAATTAATTGACAAAATGTTTACAGCGTCAAATAATAAGTCTAAAAACTTAACTAATATTTTCCAAGTATATTTAGGGATTTTATAATTTTAGAGGTACACATAATTTGAAAAATACATAGGGGTAACATTCTGTAAGTCAAAACAATAAATTTAATTGCAGTTATTTTCTATTAAGATTTCATTATAAGTCCTATGTTCATCTAAATCACTCATTCCACTATCTACTCGTACAAAAAAGAGTTTATTATCTACAAGGATTAATTATGTACATGATTGTTAGAATGAAATAGAATATATTACCAAGGACGGTTACTGATGTTGTACCATCACCGACCTCACCATCTTGAACTTTAGACATGTCAACTAATATCTTGGCGGCTGGGTTGTCAACACCAATATTTTTCAATATTGTTGCACCGTCGTTAGTGACTTCAACTTTTGTATCCATTCCACCACGGCCTTGTGATATAAGTATCTTGTCCATTCCTTTTGGGCCTAATGTGCTTTTAACCAAATCACCAATAGCAATGGCGCCAATGAAACTGGACAAACGGGCATTTTCACCTTTGTCTTCTTCAGCTTGATGTTTCAAAATACGTACTGGATTTAAAGAAACCTTCGCAGTAAACAGAAAAAACCAATTATTTAATTTATATCTTTAGATCTAATATAATAAAACGCTAACCACACTGCTAAGAAATGTTGTTTCACAATTTTACATCAACCACTGTACACTTTCAGTTATATTCCTCCAACCTTTTATTTTTGTATAATCTCTGTAAATCCAAAGCAATCCCTGCCTTGATTATTATATTTATACATATCCTCTATCAAACCAATATACAATTATAACATTTTTCCTCATTACTCATTAGTGCCTTACATCTAAATATTTCTTGGCACTTAGTCATAAGCCTTCTTTAAATTTATTAATGCATACATAGGATTTTTTTCATTCTTTCTATACTTTCCTACAATCTGTCTCGCATAAAACACTGGTTCTATTGTCAATTTATCAGGCATAAAATCAAACAAGTTCTAAGATATTTATGTTTAACTTCTAATTCTCTTTTCAACCATATTTTCCCAAATCTTCATACTACAACACATCAATTGTATTCCTCTAAAATTACCACACGTTTACCTCCCGCCCATTTAAAAATCATCATGTTCAAAAAGCAACACCTTATAAAATTATTAATGTGTCCTTCACTGCTTCCTTAGGAGTTAGTTAGATGTGCAGCCAATGTTCTTTTCTATCATGAAAATAATTAATTTTAGGTCTTCGTGTCATTATTCTTCAAATAAATATGTATTTAAGTAATCCAGATGCTTAATAAACTTAATTTTAAAATAAAAATTGCAAAAAATTTTCTCAGCCTGTCTATCATTTTCTCTTTTACTAACACTATCTTGAACAAATATCTTATATCCAACTTCTCTAATACTTTCCACATTTTCATTGGTACTCCATCTGGACATACCACATTTTTCTTCATTGCTTTCACAGCCCATCAGAATTCAATTTTTTCTTTTTAGGATTTTGAGCATAGCGAGGAATGTATTGGTTTTACTATAAAGCTTTTTCATGTATTCGAAAGTATTTTTAATTGCTGTAAGCATTCGATGACTTACACCATTCTTTTAAATCATGTATAAAGAATATATAATCTGCTCTAGCTGTAAACAGCAATTAAATAATAGGTATTGTTTATTATATTTCACTTACCATTTTGAAGGTTCGTTATAAACTTTTAACTGTATTGAATGAATTAAAATTATACAAATTTCAGATTCTCTTCACGGTGCGAGGAGTTTACTAGTATTATAAGTTTTATTATTCTTTTCTTATTTTTTTACTAACCTAAAATTGTTCGAACTGCACACGGACGACAAAGAGATTATATGAATAATATTATCATGAACCCCGAATTAAGATAGTCGTTTCTTTGTTATCAACATGATTAAAGCCGTGGTTATCAACAATAATCTAATCAAGATAATAACATAAAGTTTAATAAACATGAACTTTATATGGTGGTTGAAGATATTTCCAAGGTGGATTAATCAACCTTGAATCTTAATATCTTAAACAATGCTTTATATGTTTATAATATCAACAATTGTTAAACTCGTGTTAAAAAGTACTACGGTAGAAGTTGTACTAGAAGTCATGTGACTGTAATGGTTGAAATATATAGTTATTTCCATAAGTATAACTAGTCCTTTAAATAAAGGGGGCTCACAAGTGTATTGTTGTTTTATATACTGGGGGGAGGGCTGCATGAGCATAGACATACAAATATATTTGAGTGTTTATGGGCAGGACTCCTAACCATAAATAATATAAGAATATTATCCATGTTAATCTTATATTATCTATGGTTCTAACAATGTTTTGTAGCAAATTAAGGTACCTATTGAAACATAACTGTCCCTAGATAGTTATAAGTTTAAATTTATATGAATTATACATATTTTAATTTAATCACACATATATTTATTAAAAATTCTGGAGGGATTTTAAGAAATTCCGGAGGGAATGAAACCTACTTAAGTTCTCCCCTCTAGTTACTCCTGTGATAATTGCATATATATATCTTTTTAATCAAATATTCGATGATAAAAACGAAAATTGGCAGCATAAAGAGAGCCAGCATATTTTTCATAAGGAAATTGATATTTGTAATCCCTTTACACATCCATTGTTTAAAAGCAAAAACCTTGCATATTTCAACCATGGTGACTAGTCTATGTATTGTATATAATGGGCAGTGGCAAATATTCATGAACATAGCTATCATAGGGAAAAGTGAGGCTTAGAGAGTTTAAGAGGTATCTGTCTTTGGAGAATTCTGAAATTATTTTCTCAAAATAATTGCAAATTTTGATATTGGTATTTTTCGTAGGTTATAATTACAGGCATAATCAGTATTAAAATAGAACAATAGAATGCAATGAACAAATGTGTTCACCATAACATGATAATATACGGTCCGCAATTAAAGACTGTCGAAAAAATTTTTACCACATACATAATAAAATATGAATATATATTATATACATAAATCACATAAAATATTATTAATATTATACATTTGTAGGGTATTCTACCCTTAAGTCTAGTAAAAAAATATATTTATATATATAACAGACACAATACAATATACAGTACAATAGTTTTTATTTTATGATAAAAAAACTAATGTCTTAAATGTTATTTTGACTTTAATTTTGAATTACACTTATATTATACAATTATGGTATTCACGTATTGACATTGTATAAAATCTTGATCAATTAGTTTTTTCATCATTAATTTAATAGATACCTAAGTAAATGTTAGTAATGCAGTTTTCCAGTAAACAGTATGCTATTGTTTACATTGTTAAAATGTTTTGTTTACTGTACAGTATTTTATTGGTGGATAATTACTGCAGTCTTGTAAAGAACACCTTATTTTATATTTGAATGAGTTTAAATAATTTTATTCAGAATAATTATTGAAATAATTTGCTTTTTTCAGATAATGTATGTTCGCTTTAGACAAATAGTTATGGAAGTTATTTTTTTATGACATAATATTTTATTAAATAAACTGATTACTAATTATTATAACTTGGTAATAAAATATTGTATTTTAAATTTTTAAACTTTAAAAAAAACCTAAACACTATAATTTTTATATTATTATAGTTTAAAATTCATTATGTAGCTATACAAATCTATTAGGTATTTAAGATTTAAATTACAAACTTAAAAATATTTTTAAAAAAAGTATATTTTCTTTAGCGAATAAAAATACAAACAAAAAATATTTACAATATGTATTCAAATTTTTTTTTCTGAAAAGTATTTAATATAAGGTTCAAAAAAAATAAATATAATTTACTTATTTTAATACTTTACAACACTGATAACCAATATAAGTAGTTTTTAATTGTGTGCAGACTCCGAAAATCTAGTTGTCGAAAAATAAATTAAATTTTAAAACAATTGCAGTAAATAATATCACCCCAAACAGTTTTTTAAAAACTGTTTTACAAAAAATAGCTTATTAATAACAATGATTTATAGATAAAATTATGTTAAATAAATTATTTTAAAACCCAATTAAAAGCGTAAATAATATTACAAATAGCTGAAGTAATAATAATAACAATAATAATAAAAAAAAAAAACACTCTTTTAAGATTATGTTATAATTTACTTTCATAAAAAATACTAATAATCTATTAAATTTTTAATTCCAAGTGGGATCTCTATATATTTTTTAATAATTGCTAATAAGAATTAAGAGTTTTATAAATATTTTTCATAATTCCCTATAGAAATATTATAGTATAGATACCATGAAACAAAATTGAATATTAATTTAAAATCAATATATCAAAATTTAATTTGTTTCATTCCATCATCCCAATCTAATTGTCAAGAAACCAATTTACTAATCACTAGCTTTCGTCCCATATTGAGTCCAGATGTTTTTTCAACCCAACTGGCAAATTCTGTATTAAGAAAATCTAAAGACAAATTGTCTAAATGATTGTCAAAATCGATCAAGTTATTGTATAATTGCTGTTGTAATATGGCGGATGCTGCTGCCAATGTTGTATTTTCAATTTGTACACTAAATAAATATTCAAAAAATAATTATTTAATAACTTATTAACTAGTAATTATTTATTATTTATATGAATATCCATACTTTGAGTTGTTTAAACGTTTCCATTTTCCATCATCTTGTTGAGTGTGTACTATTAGAGCGCTTTGTTTATGATTTATCCCCATTAATCGATTATTGATCTGAAAATTATATTATACATTTTAAAAACAACCTTTGTTTTGATTGACAAAACAAAACATTACTCACCACAACCATACAGACATCTGCCTCATTTTCAGCTATCTTATCCATAATTTTATGAGCTGGTTTATCAAAACTGAAATGTTTTATTAAAAAATGTGTATTTTTGAAGATTAAATTTGTTCAATTGTATTAACACAAATAAGAGTATATTTCTAGTTTACCAGACAATTTTCACTAAGAGTTTTTTTAAGGACTGAAAATAAAAGTGCATAAGGAAATTGGAGCAAATCATTAGTTTCAAAGTTATAGCCATTTGAAGTTTGTCATTTTACATACCCAAGGTGGTTTTGCACAACAATTTGAGTTACTTTTGTTTAAATTTTAAAAATAGTGTAAAACTATAAACAATTTTATTTATAAAAATAATAAATTGTGTAGACCTTAACTGTATTTAAACTTGGTACCACAGGTTTCCCACATAACACATTTACTATTGTGCTATCATAATTGAAAAACCTTAAATGGCTATAACTTTGAAACTAATGATCTGCATTAATTTGCATTTGCAATATTGTATTTAGTGCCTTTAAAATACACAAAAAAATTGTCAAAGAAAAAAAAGGTGGCCGGTAAAAGATTATTGTTTTATCATAATAAGTTAGACTTACCTTAAATCGTCTAACGTCTCATTGGCCAAATAATAACCGGCAATGTACATGTCACATGAACTTGCTGATTGATCTATTTGTGTTAAAGCAATTTCGGACATTGGTGAAACGTGAAGACATTGGTGAAATAATGGAACGACGTCGGTTATGACCAATTTATTGCCCTTAGTCGCATTATCGGCAATTAATAGACCGTTCACTTCACAATGAGGATATTTAGCAGCGTGACTGACCATCTTACAGTACGCAAGTGTTGAAAAAGACACTTTCGACATAACTTTATTGGACAGAATAAGTGTCAAGAAAATCAAATTTATAACAAATTTTAAAACAAATATTTTAGGATTAATAATTTTTTCCACTATAGAAGATAAATTTTTTGGGTTATTATCACGATTAAAAATCTTTAATCGTGGTTACTCTATCGGTGTAATCAATGATAGTGCATGACATCATACTACTGGAGATGTAAAGGACTGGAAACGGCAGGACGGGCGTGGACGGATTTATAGACAATTATACTATCATAAGGTAAGTACAAATATACTAGCGTGGAACGAGCACTGATAACGAGGATCAGAGATACAAACGTATACTACAAAGCGCGTGGGAACTGGCACGAATTAAAATATACAAAGAAGGTTCGAGCTTCACTTATCACACGTTCGTTCAGTATTCTGTATATTTTAATTCGTGGTACTAAGTTATTTTTCTTTTTTGAGTATAAGCGCTATCTTGATAGATTTTTTTGAACTACACAACATCGACAATTCATTCAAATCATTGTTATCTACATAGATAATTGTGATTGTGATGCTTATCAAAAATCATTTTACAATTATGTTTTCACTATTGTACACTACCGTCTACAATTAGTAGTACAAGTACAATTGCAGTAAGCCAGAAATTGACAACGTTCCTATTTTATATTAAAGTGTTGAATTTCGAATTTCAACGTTAAAACAATCATATTTCTCTAGCTGAAATCCACTTGTATTTATTATTTGTAAAAATATCGTTGGTAATATGGAGGAGTTGAATTACGAGAAAAGCAAAAATTATTGGTCCAATGTTTCCCCTTCCGTGGACAGCATGCTCGGGGGATACTCTTGTTTGACCAGTATGGATATCAGAGATTCGAATATTTTTCTGAAACATTTGTTCCGCATGAAAAACGGTCCATCCAATGTGAGAGTTTTGGATTGTGGTGCTGGTATTGGTAGAATAACCGAAAATCTTTTGTGCAAACACTTTAAGTATGCGGATTTGTTGGAACAAGATGAAAAGTTTTTAAAAACAGCTAAACAAAAATTACAAGGGACCAATGTGGACAACTTTTATTGCTGTGGTATGTTTATTTATCATTATTTCAATTTTTAATAGTTTTAAAGAAAGAATGAATAAGTATTCATTCTTACTTACAAACAAAATTTTGTCTAGGGCTACAAGAATTTATGCCTATTAACTATCAACAATATGATGTTATATGGATTCAATGGGTTCTTGGTTATATTACTGATGATGATTTAGTTAAATTTTTGAAAAGATGTTGGTAATGAAAAAAATTATTAATCTTTTGGTTTTAGTATATTACCACAGAATAAAATAACTGTATTTAATTTATTTTTATTTTAGCAAATTATTAAGCAAAAATGGTGTTATAGTCGTTAAAGAAAATATATCCCAACTGGAAGAAGGAGATCTAGATTCACAGGATAGTTCAATAACACGAAGTTTTTTAAAATTCTGTCAAATATTTGAGCAAGCAAATTTAATATGTACAGCAAAAAAAACACAACAAAATTTTCCATCAGAACTTTACCAGGTTGAAATGTTTGCTCTGAAACCAGCTAATTCAGAGTAAATTTGGTGGCTTTACTAACCAAATAATATTCATGATCTTCTCAAATGCCAAATTGAATTTGTTTTTGATCCAGACTAAAATTGTTTAAAATTACTGAGTAGTATTTATTATAATTTCTCAAGTACAAATAAAAATACATGCCATCTGGATTTTTTTTTTAAATGCCCAGAGTTTTTTTGTTTAAACGACTAGACCAAATGTCTTTAAAAATATATTCAACAATGTATATATTTTACAAAATTTTAATATACACCGTTGTTGAGAACCCATGGTTTAAAACATAGTTTGTATTTAGCTAAGTAAGCAATATATTATTTTTTGGTAACGTCTTCCGTCGTCGAGCGCATGAAATGCGAACGACGACGGCAGTCGAGTTAAAACAACGATTCCGTATAGTTATACGTAGAACCTATTAAATGTCTTTTTAAATAAATTTAAATAATAATAAACATTAAGTTATTATTTCAAAACGGATGAGTTCAGTGTTTGATTAATCTCAAAAGTCGAACTCAAATAAACGAGTATCCGTTGTCATTCACGGAAGAAACCAAAATTGACGGTGAACCCGGCATCAACCGGATATAGGATACAATACCGTGCACATTGATGAAGTCACATTTCCAATAAAGTGTTTTCTGCTCTTAAGAAAAAATTAAATTTTTAAGTCCTATGGTTTCAGATGTTTAAGTCTAATATTCATACAATTCTCTAATAATTGGATTGACATGGTGTCTAGTCTTGCCTTATATATGCAAGCAAAATTTTTGATTTTATCTGCTATTGTTGGTAGAATTATATTGTGGTGAATTCCATAGTTTCTTTCAAACTGGACCTGCTGCAGTAATGGTCAGAAGGGTAATGTTTTGACAACATATTACTTCATTGTTAGACTTGCTGAAACAACCCCATAGTTAAATGCCATAGGTCCAAATCAGTTTTATAATGGCTAGGTAGTGAATTGTAAGTTAAAAAGTTACTTGATTCTTATGTGTTGACAAAATTGCTGTATCGTTCGTAAAGTATAGGCACTAAAACAATACCTTGTGGTACTCCCGCTGAGATTTTTTCATTCAGTTACAGTTTTATGTATGACTCAGGATTGACAGACGGTCAAGTATTATTCAAGAAGTTTACTCCAAATATGTGACAGTTGTTCACTCAGTTTTATGATAAATTCCTTGTGCCAAATTTTAACAAAAACTCGAGGCTGAGGAAAACTCTTTAGTAATAACTTAATAATGTTTTTCATAATAACCTTTACTTATTAAGTTAATGACGTAATGAACTTGATCAATTGTTGAATGCTTTTGTTTTGATATTCAAAGTTTTAGACAAACCTGGAAGGAATATCGGTTGGTATGATATGAAGTTTTCCAGTGGTTTTCCTAATTTGAGCAATATGATTACTTTTTATTTTTCTGGAATGAATTTCGTGCACAAAATAGTATAAATTACACCTCTATCAACTTTTTCATAAAAAAAGTTTCTGTTTTCAGTGAAACTGGGGCACTATATTCTGAGATTGGTAGTCCTAAAAAGGACTATTTTCTGATGATCCCAGACCATGAGGATAGAACCATTTATTCAAAAACACAACAGGCACGATTGCCAGAAATTGGTAGTTTAGCCATTTAATCTAAGACCATTGTTTAGCTTTTTAAGACATAGCAATGGGGTGCACTCCATTCAAATACCTTTGAAATTGTTGATTGGTTGATCACCCACGATATTTATTCTATAATCGCTAATATTACTGTTATCAATAAATTTATCACCTGCATATTATTATTATATTTCATTTAATAATGCATCACCTTATTATAACCAATTACTATATTTTATTTTTTTCTAGGAAAAATAATTTTATTTTGAAAAATTACAATCTATACAGTAAGTAAAATATAGACATCGAAATTGGATTTTCACTACAAACTAGATATTTATCCTTTGTGAAATAAGATATGATGGTTACAGGTATGGTGAACCAGATAAAAATAAAATGTAGAGATTTGTTAGTGGAAAAAATACTTTTAGTTCATCATAACATACATACAAAATAAATAATAATTCTATCAAAAAAGCGATTATCCTGATAAATATTTGCTGGTCGTGGTTATTAAATATTGATTTTGACATTTGATTAATTATTTTTGATTTATTTTTAAATGTATTTAATATTGTAAGATTTAAAAAAAAAAAAAAAATAAATTAACGTTTACTACCATGGGAAAAATAGAACACAACAATTGTACTTTTAGATTGTGAGTGGAGCAAGGAAGCTTAATTTGGTTTTAAGAAGTCCATTTTTTTTTTTATCTATGAACATCTATTTTACCAGAAATCTTGCTTCGTTTTTAAGTGTACCTAATATTAATAACTTCAATCCTACCTTCCCACCTACACAGTGGCTTCGCCTGTCCCCATTATCCTACAACACCTTTAACATCATAATTCATGATACATTTTCTGAAAATGCAGCCATTATGTAATTAAACTAGTAAAGGTATAAATAAATACAAACAAGAATTTTATTATTTTTATTTTTAATTAATATTTAAAGTCAATAAAACAGAACTTAAGCTTTTACAGCATACATCCTAGGGGGGAACTTGTTCTTTTTCTTAATTTCTTTCACGGTCTTAATACTAAGTTCCTTTTTTGTTAATGCACGTCTTTTGGCCCGAGTAAGTTTTGGCCTCAAATCCAAAGGCTTGTACTTACGACCCTAAAAGGAAAAAAAAGTAATTAGAAAAATTATTATATATATTTATTATACATAATGTTAATATTCAAATTAGTTAAAACGCTAAAAATCTTACCTACAGCAATGGTCTATGATAAAGGTTGAGATTTAGGCTACCTTTTAAACTATAACTATTCCATGAGATTAGTTCATCAATATAAAATATGTATGTGTTACGTGGGGGTTTTAAAAATGTCCATGCCTGTCTAGGGAAACACACGCCCCAAGTTAAGGCCCAAGTCTTGGCATAGGAGGAAATCCAACAACAATGTTTCTTAAATTTATTTTATTTTAGTTGTTAAGTATTTATAAATATAACTAAATTTCAGATGTATACAAAAGGTCTAAAAGTAGACTAAAATAAAATAAAGTAACAGTTTTAGTTCTTGGTAAAAATACTAAAACTAATAAATCTATTTTAAGTACTTTAGTTTTGGATTTTTAAAATAAAATTCTAATAAAAAGAACAAATAAATTAAATTCAGGAAAAATTTTAATGAACAAGTGATTTATTAAAATTCCAACTCCTTTTTTACCACACATACATAATTATTGTATAAGAAATAAACTAACATTAATATACTTAGGATATATAGTTTTATTAAAAAATAATTAAATTAATTTTTTTGTAAATCCTATTTTGCAAAATATGCTTATTGTTGGTTTGTGTAGTGCAAGCTTTTTAAGTTTGAATGTTTATAGTACTCTTATAATTACTTCAATAGTTTTTTTTAATATTTTTAAAAAGACACATTTTAAAATGAAGAAAATAATATTTCATGTTAATAATTATTTCAAAAGAACGGCAGGTGATTAAGTTCAGCTAGAACTTTGTCATTTTTTCTGCCTCATGAAGTTATTGCTGAAGCATGTAAGTCTTGCTTGTGCTTCAGGAAAAAGGTAACTATATACAATAATCAACTAGATACCGGTTCTTCTTCAATTAAGTCTTAAGAGGAAAACGTGTCAAGCCTATGACTAACTTAGTTAGAACAGTTTAGTTTTTATGATAATAGTTAATATTATTAATATTGTTAGAAATAATGAAAATCGTTAAAAAAGACTTTATTACATCATTTGAAATTATTTTACACAGGAAAAAGTTGGAGTAACCTTGATAAAGTGATATAATAATAAATGTTAAGATGATTAATTAACTTGCACATTTAGGTCTTTGTGAGGTACACATTTCTATACATTAATTTAACTGACAGTTAAAATTTAGCATAGCATAATAATAATTGCCCATAATATTACCTAAAAGTTTTAATTATAATATGTTATTTAATTTAGAAGAGAATTCAAGATTAGCAAAGTCTGAGTAAAAAAGTAAGTATAAAGCGTTTATATGTAGTTTTAATGATTTAATAGTTTTTGATTTATAGCCAATTAATGTGCATTAGACCTGCACTAGTTCAATATTTTCATAGCAATCATTTTTGACATCAAATACAAAAATTTTAATTATTTTTTATAAAGAAATTACAATAATAATTGTGTAATTTAACATACCTTAAAAATTTTTCTCAATGCGTCTTTCTGTTTTTGATGAATAACAACATAACAACGGAGAATTGCTTTACGGACAACACGGCTATAAAATAAAATATGTTGTTTTAAATTGTATTATCTAAGTTTTACCTCAAAAGATTATAAAACAATACCACCTATAGGTCAGAATATTTATTTACATTGCAGTGTTTTACTATGAATCTATACAGTGATCCATTTATTAAGTGGGTATACTTATTACCTTGGAAAGTATTACATTTGTTTATAAGACATTTAAGAAACAAGCAAGTCTATATGTATTTTTTGGCCATCCTTATGTTTGAGTAAAAACATTACTTACTTTAAATTTTCAAATAGCAACCTATACTAAAAATAGATGATGTATTATTTAAAATAAAATTTTTGTGTTGACAATTTTCATTTCGGACAATCTGTTGACGAGATATTCTACTTTTATGTATTTGTTGGGAGGAGAATAGTGGAATATCATTTTATGTGGCATGAAGCATGTTACAATGCACTACTACTCTCCCTCTACCTAAACTTAAAAGTAGAACATCTATCTCGCCAACGGATTGACGAAAATCAAATATTTCAAAACTAATATTTATTTTAATTATTAAACATCTATTTATGACATTTTTAATATAGGTTGTTATTTAAAAATAAAAAGTAAGTAGTGATTTTACCCCCAAAAATAATATAGATGTAAAATTGAAAAACAAAATTAGTACTTTTCAAGATAATGAGCGTACCTACCTAAATAAATCATCTTGTCCATAAGTATAATATTGTGTCAACACAATTTTGTTAGTTATTTCAAAAATTATATTGTATATTTTTAAAAGTACCTATGCATTCTTTATTTGTTATTGTTAAGTTTTCAAAACATTATCAAATTTCACATCAAGATTGGAAGTGTTCAATAGAATTTGTTTCAAATATGGTTTTTTTGGCCATTTAAAACAGAATTATTCGCTTCATTTTCAAAAAATTGTATAAGATATTGGACACACTGTCAAAGAAATTGTCACATTTAAGGTAGCAATTAGACTATCAAATATCACAATGATAACCAAAATATTATTCAGTTAACATTTTTAATCTTTCTACTACTAGTTTCAACTACAATTAGATTCAAGCTAAAAATTAGTATTATTATAATATCTAAGAAATTAATCAACTAAGTATTAAGAAATGGAGAAAAATGATAGTTCAATTTTTATAAAAAATGTAAAATACCAAAACGTGTTCATTACCCACTTAGCATCAGACATATGACTGGATTGCGACTTCTAGTTATACTTATAACTATAAAAGTCATAATTAGTTAGTGGTGTCAAACTAAACATTATCTACATATTAGTTCAGTAAAATGTTCTAATTATTATAGGTACTCTGACCAACAAGGGAATAACTGTAACTTGCACATCCTGTTCATGAGCGTGACTCATTTTCTTCCATCATAAGCCAAAATGAACCAATTCGCAACGATAAACACAATTTTCTAGCTATTCACTCGAGGGCCAGAGTATACACATGTTTATAAAATAAATGTCTGTAAATAATATCTTTTGGTGCTATTAGTATTAAATAAATAAAATACCATTTTTTTTTTTTTTTAACAACCCTGTGCTACACGAATGAAGTTTTACGTAACAGTTAGCATAATGTATGCACATACAAATAATAATTATTTTTACTTTAACACACTAATATAGTTATTTATTTGAATACTAGTGTCTTCATTTTTTTGCACGACTGTTGATTTGAGAATAATTGATTAAGAAAGCGAGTCTATTCAAGTATTATAAATATTAGTGATGGGAATAATTGAATAATTAGTAATTAATAAATGAACCACTAAATTAAATTAATTAAGTGATTTACTTAATGTACTTAATTGAGTAAATAACAATCACTGAATATATAATTCATACTATTTCAGATTCTGAGCATAGCTCAATATTACAAAAATGTCTACCAGAAATGGACAAAAAAACATTGCATTTTGGAATCATATGGTACTTAAAAAAGGCTATTTTTAATTTTCCAAGCGGTTTTGGGGAAGTATGTAAATAGGGAAAATGCATGGCACCAAAGATTTCATTATTTCCTTTTTGTTGTAATATGGATAAAAATTATCATTACAATGATTTACGATATGTCATGTTTTATACGTGGATGATTTCAATGAATGAAATGAATGATACAAATAATATGTACCTATTACATTAAAGTTAAATATTATATTATGAAATATGTGTGTGATCAAAATTAGAATAGAAACAATAGAAATTAGCAACCATTTATTTGATTTTAAGACTAGAATGATTAAACTAACAGAATATTTAGGTTATTTTTATTTAGATTCATAAAATATTGTATATACTTTGCACGAGATAAGAATATCCTTATCGTGCAGATAGCTATGTCACTGTATTGAATGTTTTCATACACCTGCATCATTCGCGGTGATCAGATAGTAATATAATAGGCAATATTAGTCATTAGTAGAATAGTAAAAAGAAATAAGAATGATTACTGATAATTCTCCAAGTAACTATCAACTACTGAAACTAGTTAATATAAAATAGCAATTAATGATAGTCGAAAAATTCAAATAATCAAGTTACTTGATTATTTTCTCTCAATTGTTCCAATCACTAATAAATATCTATGATAGTGCATGATGTCCATTATATTTATACTTTCAAATACTTAACTGAAATTAATATTTAATCAGAAAACCTACATACATATAGAGATATTTATGCAGTATACAGATTTATATAATACAGTAGACAGCCTGTTGTATAAAAATTGATTCATAAAGGTAGAATATTTTTTGGACAGATGTATGAAATGTTTTAAATTACTTATATAGAAATGGAAATGATTAATATTATACTTAATACCATTAAACGTTTATTAGAAATATATTTGAGATATTTCATTAAGTGTAATTTTTCATTTCAGCCTTAAGAACTTAACAATTAATAGCAAATAAAGAATGAATTTGTTACATTTACCATGCAATTTGCATATTGTCATTGAGGGTTTTATTATGAACACTACATATTTGAATGCAACATTAAAGTATAAAATAGTAAGCTTACATGCGAGATAATTTAGATGCTGTTCCTCCAGTAACTTTGGAAACTCTTAAGTTGGCCAATTCCTGCTTTAACTCCTCGAGTTGTTTTAACAATGAATCCTTGTCTTTGAGACGCAAGTCTGAGCACTTGACTTTTGTCTACCCAGAAAAAAAAATAATAAATTAAAATAAAATGTTGATATATATTTCGTGTAACAATCAACTATGGTTAATATTATTTAAACAATTTTAAAACAATTATTAAAAACAAACGGGATTAAACCGGATAAAAACTCACCATCTTGATTGTTTTCGATTTACAAAGTGCCGGAGACGAATGAGAGGATTGCGTTCATACAATTTTTGTGTTTACACGAGAGACGGAGAGCTAGAATCAATTTTAACCTATAATATCTTGGAAGAACAATTCATGGAATAAAAACGTTTTATTTTTTTTGCATAAAATCATTTATTTACGTTATCTATTGATTGATAATGCGAAAAATAAAATAACAATCGCTTTTTTTTTTTTTGTTCTAGACTAGTAATACATTTTTAGATTTATAATTTAATGTATAAGCAAATTTGAAATGCGTTTGCTATACGTAATGTACAAAAACGGTTGTGTTATGTGTAGTATATATCATCAACAGTAGGGCGTTCTTTACCTAACGCCTATTATTTTTGTATAACGAGAAAAATTTATAAAATTGTCTATTAATTGAAATTATACCTAAACGTTTTCAAATGGACATTGGACTAACCGAAGCAATGAAAAATATAGTTCCTAAAGGACTTCCGGCTGACATTAATTCCGCGTTCAGCGGTTATGTGACTGAAAAACTGTACATGTTGCTGCAGTTATACCTGCAGAACAAAGGATGGAATAGTATAGAACTGTTGAAAATATTTTCCGAAATGAAAGATTCCTCGGTGTTACCTAGTGCTTCCTACTTGCAGTATGTTTTATTTTGATTTTATTTTCAAATTTGTACACTGATTTTATTTCTATAACACTCATATTTAGAGCGTGTACTTTTTTGTCTATATTCTATGTGTAATATATAATACTTTAAACAATTGATTTTGACCAGGGATGTAAAATGTTATAAATTGTTTTGTTTCTGTTTTTGAAATATCATGACTGTTTAATGTAATTAATAGTTTTTTCTTGAAATGAAAACAAATTTTTGGGCCTGTACCAAAAATCAAATTCATATTAATCATTAATTTAAAAACAATAAATAATATTAGTAATAATTATAATAGTTTTTGAAAGTATTAGTAACTATAAAAACTTAAAATAAAAATTAACTGGGTATAAATCTGCAGTTCCCAAACTTTTTTATTCATTCCTTCTTAAAAATATATACATTTTTGCATGCCTTCCATGATTGAATATTATAAAAAAATGAGTTATTATAGGTTTCCCTATATAAACATAAATAATCAAATTTAGGAACCAATGTTGTAACTGTTACACGCATTTCTTTTTTACATGTAATTATTAATAAATATTGAGTCAATATTTAGGTTACGGGCACTATTAAAAATCCTGCTTTACATAAATACAAAGTTGTTTTTAATGTACGAGAAGTTTTATTACTAATTTCTATATATTCAACTTTTTATGATTCCAAGTAACAAAATCCTAGAGGTGATGGTCTAAAGATATTAACATATTTATTTTTTGCATGTTCTATGAAGTGCTCACACCTCCCAAGGCAAGCTCCCTCAACTAATAACTTATACATAATTAATGTTAAAACTATCAACTGCTTAGTTTTATTTATTTTAAGGCTATTCTTGTTATGTCTTGTTAGTGTTAATTGCCAGTTATTTTTCTTCTAAATCAGCGAAATTCTGTTAATTAACCTACGATTACTAAATATACAAATTAACTGGATATAATTTATGTATATTATATACTTTTACTTCATAAAATTACTGATAATGTTTTATTAATATAAAATTCATATTATATTATAGAAACCGGTTATTAAAAATTGTAATTTTTTTTTTTTAATAATTTTGGATTCTGAGTGAAGTGAGGTGATGAAGCTTATGGTTTTACAATGATGTTTATTTATTAATAAAATAATAAAGTAAAAACAAAATTATTAAAATGGTTAGTATTCGTAAATAAATATTTAAATACAAATTGTATATATAAAAATAAAATAAATAAATGAATCAATGCGTTGCTTGGATTATGATAAGTGTATTATACGATCAGTTTTGAATTAAAAATTGATCATCAGGTATATCACAGTCAAAATGTAAATTACGCGTTTTACATTTTACATAATACTCCAGGCAACACATTGATTCATTTATTTATTTTATTTTTATACATACATTTTTATATTTATTTACTGTTTATTTTTTTCTGTAAATAACTTTGCTACCAGAAATATTGCTCTAATTTACAAGTGTAGCACTTTTTCTGAAAGAAAATCTGACTGGGGTGGTACTTGAGAGTTATTTTTTGATTTTCTCAGTGGTTTTCTCAATATATTAAAAAACGGGAGAATGGAAAAATAGGTATAATATTAAGAAAATGTTTAATGCATATGTAATTATTTTATCATAGTATGATATATATATATATTGTTGACAAAGCAATACTATCAACTGAACTCTGTTCAGAATTGTTTTATTTGTTAACAATGGTTTATCGTTGCTTACAGATATGCATTAAATTCCCATCTGTATCCAAGCTTTCCAATTTCCCATCTACAATAGTGGCTGCAGCCACGTGCGAATTATATCTGTCTTTTAATACGGTTTTGATATAACTTTTTCCTTTATTATTATTTTGTTTTCTGTTTATAATATTATTTAAAAACGTTTTCCATCCCTGGGTAAAACCTAGGATCTACTAAATAGTTCACTTAAACCCTGATTGATTATTGTAGTTCACACTTTCATAAACAAGGTACTTATGATAGATCTTTGAATTTTATTACTATTTATTTCTTTATTTATACCCAAAAGTTTCATTTTTTTTAAAAAAAAACTGACATTTATTACTACAAATATGTATAATATTGAGAATTGTATGTTTATAATACTAAATTATTACTTTTTATTCATATAAATTGAGGCTTGAATCATACTACTCTACATTTAACACTACAGAATCTACAGTACGCGGGCATCTATTTTGGGAATTTTTATTTTGAGTTACAATATAAACTATGATAAAAGTTGTTAGGCTTTGTCATGCACATATTACACATTTTATTTTAATAAATCAATAGCCAATTAGGTATGGTAAAACATTTTTATACCTTTTTACTCTATTTTATTATTAATTTATGTAAAGAACAATTGAAAAATACATAGTAAAATATAAGACGTCACAGTAGCTAAGTCTGCACAAAATAAATAATTATTAATTTTTATAATTATCATATGCATTTTTTAGTAATTTATAGTTACAAAAAGACAATTTTATTCAATATGAGTATATATGAAATTATGTAATTTATATTATTAAAAATTAAAAAAGTTTTCACTCAGAAATATGTGTTATCAATTTATGCATTACAAAAGTATCTAAATAAAATACATTTTTATTGTAAAAAAGACAATTTTATTCATAATTGCATATGTTTATTTTATTATTGGCTTTTTTTAAAATAAAAGTAACAATAACTTTGAAGTCAAAAGTTATAAAACACATATAATGTTATAGGTACATTGATATATTATGCTTAAAAAAAATAGTTTACTTTTAAATAAAAATAAATATAATGAATTAATGAAAATTAGCAAATAATATTAGAAATATCACTTAGTCGGAATGAATATAACTCAATCAATACTTAATAGTTCCACTTCAAAATCTAATGTACCTCTTTTAATTGAAGGTTTCATTCCCATTGAACATTGAGCCATTTTAGGTGGGCATATAATTCTTCTTTTGCCACCAACTTTCATTCCAGCAATACCAATATCCCAACCTTTAACAACTTCACCACGTTGAAATACAAAACTCAATCCAGGACCGTCCTGCATTAAATCATAAACTTGACCAGTAGATTTTACACGACTAATGTAATACATTTTAACTTTATCCCCAGGTTTTACTATAGCACCATCACCTATTTGAAGTTCCTGAATCTTAACTCCACCGCTTAACTCTATTAATTGTTGATTTTGTTCAAATTTCTGATCGCAAGTTCTTAATCCAGTCAATGTTGTTATAGGTTCATTTTTCTTCTTGCTACTACTTTCAGTTGAACCATATGACAAAATCTGATTTGAATTAGGTGTGTTTTGGTCTTGAGATTTGTTTTGATTGTTTACTCGTTTATTTACAATATGCAAAAGTTCCACTTCAAACTCCAATAAAGTGTTCCAATGCAATCCCCTGGGACCATATCCCATTTTAAATGGGCATATAATTCTTCTTTTGCCACCAACTTGCATTCCAGTAATACCTATATCCCAACCATCAATAACTTCACCACGTTGAAATACAAAACTTAATCCAGGACCATCTTGCAAAAAGTCAAAAACTTTACCAGTAGATTTTACACGACTAATGTAATACATTTTAACTTTATCCCCGGGTTTTAATATAGCACCATCACCAATTTCAATTTCCTGAATCTTAACTCCTTTGCTTAACTCTATTAATTGTTGATTGTCTATAACTTTCTTAGTTAAAGTGTTTAATCCAGTCATTGAACTTGTAGGTTTATTTTTATCTTCGGTACTCTGTTCAACTGAACTATTTGACAAAGGCTGTTTAACATTGGGTGTGTTTTGAGCTAAAGGAGTCTTTTCTTTGTTTATAATAGTTGTTTGGTCCTTTATTCTTTGTTTTTGTTCACTTCCATTAAATTGCTTATTTGGAATCATCTGTGTATTTCCTTCGCCAGTCAAATATATTACGTCTTCAACATCATTATCATTGTCCAAAATTAAATCTTGAGCAGTATCGTCAAGTAAATTATCTAATTGGTTTTCTCTTAATTGATCAATTATTTTGTCTTCATCAATCTGATTATTTTCATGTAATTTAGAAGATTTTGTATTTTTTGGAATATTATCTTCAGCTTTACGTTTACTGTCATTATTTATTTCTAGGGTCTCTCTAACTGTTTCTTGTAATTGGTCTTGTAATTCTTGTAATTCTTCTTGTAATTCTTCTTGTAATTCGTCTTGTAATTCGTCTTGTAATTCTTCTTGTGATTCTTCTTGTGATTCTTCTTGCAATTCTTCTTGCAATTCTTCTTCTATAATTTCAGTGTCTGCAATAGGATATAATTTCTCCTCTTCATCGTAGTGTAAATATCCAGTCATATGTACTTGGGCCGACCCTGTTGTATACAATTTCAATGTTGATCCTCGTGGGAAAACAACATCCAATTTAACCTGTACCAAATTTAATGATTCAGAAAGATGACAAAGTATAGAACAAGAGGTATCTTCAGTTTCTATGTATACAGTATGAATATCTTTCTTCTTCTTAACAGTTTGTAAATCAAGGATAGCCATAGAAAGATTAAATGTAAAATCCACAGTGCAAACATATTTTTTGCCTGGTTCCATAATTAAGCTCCACATTTTGCTAGTAATACAACTTTTAATAATTGATATAACTATTGGTGAACCTCGTGTTCGAATTTGCGCACAACAGTTACAATAACATTTGGCCTTTGGATTTTAGCTTACGGTCTAATACTGAACCGTCTTAGATTAACTCGGTGATCAACGCTGTTTATGCCAACAGACAACCATTTTAATCAGTAACAGTGTCACCATAATACTAATATAATATTATGATAATATACTTATTAATAATAATATTATGAAATCAAATTTATCTATTTTAGCATAAAATTATTTTGTTGGCGTACATTTTGACATTTTATTTTATTTTTACATTTATTACAATATTTACAATCTAATTATAGCTACAATAAGTATATAAGTATTTATATCTACTTGGAAAATTCGAGATGAGCTATATCTCGTTGACACTCGTCAACATTTTGTTAATAAATAACTGACACTATTTCGGTCAACGTGAGTTTTAAAATGTATTAGTTTTACAAAACTGTTTATTTTTTTTTTTATATGTAAACATTTTCTACCGAAAAATTTACTCCGATGTATACGATGTAAGCCCTTTTCTGAAAGAAAATTTTCTTGGGGTGGTACTTTAAGGAGGTAATTTTTTGAACTTCTCAAGAGTTTTCTCATCAAATGTGAAAACCCGAAAAAAATTGAGGAAATCCAGAAAATGTTCAAAATATATTAGTAAAATATTACGATTTTTTTTCTGTAGACAAGTTTTCTGCCAGCAATTTTGTTTCAATTTACAATAATAGAACTTGTTTATTTTTGTCATTTTTCAATTTTCCAGGAGTTATCTCAACAAATGTGAAAAGCAAAACAGACGGGAAAATGTATGAAATTTAGGTATAAGTTGAAAAATATTTCGGACTTTTTTTCCTGTGCACCATTTTTCTACCAGCAATTTTTCTCCAATTTACAATGATAACAATTTTTCTGAAAGGAAATCTGACTGGAAAGGTACTTTAAGGAAAGCAATTTTCGATTTTCCCAAGAGTTTTCCCAGCAAATGTGAAAAACCGGGAAAATCGGTTAATATTAAATAAATATTATTAAAGAAAATATATAATGCTTACCTATTTAATTATTTTAAAATAATATGACATATATGTTGTTGACAAAGCCACACTATCAACTGAACTCCGTCCAGAATCCTTTTTTTTCGTTAGTTATAGTTTATCGTTGCTTACAAATATACATTAAATTCCCATCTTTATCCTACCTTCCCAACTTTCCACGTACAACAGTGGCTGCACCCAAGTGAGAAGTATGTCCGTCTTTTTATATTACGGTTTTGTTTTATCTTTTCTTTTAAAAATTTTTCTGTCTCTTTGAAGGTGTTGACTCTCTTCCTAGTTTCATTGTTATATTTTTAACATTTCGATTATCAGTTATAAATATACTATATAGGAAAACAAACCCATCGTAAATTAATGCATATTTAGATAAACAATGATAAACCCGCAATGAATTTTCTAAAAACATTTACAATTGGAAAATATTAGTGTGAACATTATAAAATGATTAGAAATCAAAAGCAATAAATCAGAGAAATACGATAAATATGTACACGGTATTCTATTGTGTTTATTGGATTTTTCACGGTTGTTAATATTCAATTAAGTTTTAATTTTTTCTTTGAAGGAGACATCAATTTAGAGAAAAATTAAATTTTTATTTCATCCTAATTTTACTAACAAGACAAATTATGTTTTATTATGTTTTTATTTATAAATTTTATATTTTTATAACATTTGTAAAAAATTTGAATGTATCATAAATTGATATTCAATCAATGTGTTCTAGTTGCAGACGTTTTAATTTATAACAGTTTCAATTTATTACATAATGTATCATAAAGTTATCTTTATCGCGTTATGTGGTAGTATCGTTTTTACACTTTTCTCTAGGAATTAAAACTGCATGAAATTATTGATAAAATATGAATGTATGTATTAAAATTACATCCGATGTGTTACATACCTATTTTTATTTTATTACCTAACTAAAATAAGTGACTGAAGTGATAATTAAATTTAGTACAAATTTGCTAATTGAGTTTAATGGTTATACAACATGAAAAGAGTGTAAAAATATGATTTAGTAGAAATGCACAAAATTTAGTACGATTAAACAGATTTTATTAATAAATCGAACAATTGTTATCAGCCTCTAAACTCAGTTAAAAAATCATATAAATGAAAGCGTTTATATACTGGTGAGAATGGACCTAATTGTTATGCACTGTTATCTACATCAAGTAGATAACTGTGGTATTATGCATATTTTCCTTTTGGTCTCAGTTGAAAAACGGAGATTAATATTTATAAATCAAAAATTGATACTTATTTATAGTGTAAATATGGAATAAGAGTAACATTTTGAAAATATTGTTATTAAGATACACATATAGTATAAGATATATGTTATGTTCTTTTCCAGAATGATGGCTTCAAGAGTTTCATTAGATAGTCAAGCAAGATTAATCCTTAGGGAGAACGGTAAAATTATATTACCTTATGAACATTTTGCAAATGCGGTGATGTTAAAGCATATGAATGGTCCACATGGATTACATTTAGGTGTTGAAGGAACTGTTAGAGCGGTAATAAATATGTTATATGTATACCTAAAAATATTTATTTATAAGTTAATAAAACAATAAATAACAAATAATTTGTTTAATTTTTTACAAAACGATTTGTAGGTTATGGATTCATATACAATTGGCCGTGAAAATTTTGGTATGGAAAAGGAGTTTATTATTGAAGTTGTACAAAATTGTCCAAATCCAGCATGTCGTTATTACAAAACTCATTTAGATTTATCTCAACATACCAAACAGTCTAATTACATGAACTCTTCAAACTCTGGTAATTTAATTCATTTTCAATTAGTTTTATCATACAACAACATTATTCTATATTTGTATAAATTTTTTTTTATAGGTGTTAGTATACCAGTTGGTCGAGAAAGTCCAAGTATCTCAATGAGTCAAATGATTAGTCAGCAATTAAGTGTTCATGGCTTAGCTCCTTCAAGTGCTCAATCACAAACATCCCATTTAGCACCCGTTGATCTAACTGGACCATCACCCCTTCAAGTCCCTGAAATCCAGAATCCCATGCCTATTCATGTACCACAAGTTCCAAAAACTGTTAGTGCTAGACAAGCACAGCACAATAAATTGGCTGATTTTTTGAAAGCAAATCTGGAAAATCTAGATAATAAAGATTTATTGGCTGCTCATGACACAACTTGGCCTGAAGTTTCAGATAATCGTAAAGGTCACATAGATGGTAAGAATTTTATAATAATTAATGATATTAATTATATACATGTTAACCATTACTATGGCTTATATTTAAAATACTTTAAATATTTCTGGGGAAATATTTTTGCTTAATAATTAATAAATAATAAACTTAACTATTAATAGATATGACTATCAATATTTTTTTATTATTTTTAGTTGGTTTATCTTGTTTTTATTTTTTTCTAGTTACTTAGGACTTATGAAAAAATAAGCAAATTTAAAATTTATATAAACGAATAATTATTTTATAATTTGCATGATCTTAAATGTTCATATATAAACACTAAACTACTTAGTAGTTAAATAGAATAATATTCTAGGAGTAAATAATTAATATAAAAACATAAAAATTTATGTAGAAAATAATTTTTATTGATGGGCTTTAAAATTTAGATATTAAGAAATTACTCTTCCAAAAATATGATATAAAGAATTATCTTTAATAAAATATTATTTTCAAAACTAAGATAATTTTGGAGCAAAAATGTAAATATATTTGTGAGAAATGAATATTTTTAAACATTTAAAAACTGTAAAAACCATTCAAGACCAATATTCTAGAATATATTTTTTGGTTAACGTAATATAAATCATACATTATACTATAAATTAATCACAGTTTGCTGCAATCTCAAATGCTTTTAAACATTTAAAAATTATCATCACTTACTGCAGGGAAATATTTACATTTTTACTTCAAAATTATCTAAATATTGAATATTGGTCGTAATTTGTTTAATGAATTTCTTTTTTATTTGCATTTTAATAAAATAAACTTCTATTAGACATTTGTTTAATTGTAATTAATTTGTATATTTAAGAAATGTAGTATAGTTATTGATGTAATTCTTAAATAAACCTTGTAACAATAATATGAATTAATTTTATTTTTTTAGCTGGACAGGAAAAAATTATCAGAGCATTTTCAGAAATTATGAAAAATATGAATAGAATGAAAGCGTGTGTAAGACCAGCCATGTGTAAGCCTTACGGAAAACAGTCTGAATCATTACAAAAAAGTAAAGTTCATATTTTTTTTTTTTTTTTATATATTAATATTTTTTCTACCAGATAGCTTACTCCAATGTATATGATTTAGACCCTTTTCTGAAAGGAAATTTTCTTGTGGTGGTACTTTAGGGAGGTCGTTTTTCGATTTTCTTAGAAGTTTTGATCAAATGTGAAAAACCAAAATAAAAACGAAAAATGTATAAAATATATTAGGAAAATATTAAGATTTTTTTTCTGTGGGCCACTTTTCTATCAGCAATTTTGTTCCGATTTACAGTGGTAGCACTTTTTCTAATAGTAAATCTGACTGGTGAGGTACTATAGAGAGGTAATTTTTCAATTTTCCCAAGAGTTTTCCCAGCAAATGTGAAAATAGTTAAATTCGTTCAATGTTTATAAACTTTGAACAAAGTAACTAAAATAACTTTTTATAGAAAATTTTAGGCTTTGGTAAATAAATTATAATAAATACCAAAACAATGCTACTTAAGAAATACATATAATCGCATCAGGTAAACTAAAGGTTTTAACATTATCTATCTTGATTTGGATGTTACAGCCCATGGACAATACATTAGGAACAGTTTCAGTTAACATCTAGATTCAACCTAAGTTAATAGAATAGCTTCATATTTTATCTTAATGTATATGATACAGCTAGTTAAAAAAAAAAATACAATTCAATTTCTTAATTTTCAATTCTGATGTTTCAAATAATAATTGATTATTCATTTAGTCTTTTATGTAATTACTAGTTTTTATGGACTATATGTAAATATGTATTTTATTAATTTTTCTTAATTTTAATAATTATTTTTAGCATTGATTGATACAATCCAACTAGTTCAGTCATTAAGATCATTTCTTCCTCCTCCACACATTGCAGTTAGTAGTTGGAAAAATGAAGATAAACACGGGTAACATTTAAAATTTTTTTTATTATTCAATAAATTCAAAATGTAATATTAAATATAAATCTATATTTTTTAGATTAAGAAAAACCGTTTTGGATAACTCTAATCAAACGGTTTCAGCGGCCAATTTTAAAGATCTCTGTGATGCAATGTCTCGTAACAAGCAAAATTAAGAGCTTGTTAAAGTTAAAATTAAGAGGATGTCAGAGTGATCTTATTTAAACATAAAAATCTTTTTTTAAACACAAAAATCTTTTTAAACATTTTTTTTATATTGAAATGAGTATGATTGTAATGACATGGGGCAATTTTTTAAATTTATTTCAAAGTGAATTTGAATATATTTGAGTTAATCAATAAAAAATTTTTTTAACTTTTCGTTAAAATAGTCTAATACTCTCCTCTTAAATATTGGTGTGACATCCTCTTAATTTACAAAAAGTAAAAAAAAATCAACTTTTTCTTAAACTTTCAAAAATTACATTGCTTTTATTTTTTAAGTCTAGTCAAAACTCCCTAGTTTCTCCAAAATGCATGGGAAAATATATTGTTTACTTGGAGGGATCTTACCATTTTGTTTAAATTAAATATATTTATGTCTCCTCATGAGTGTCTTCTAGTTTGATGTTTTTATCTATATTTATTAATTTATTTTGAAAATAATTTTTAATTTAATATCTTCTTCAATTAGTAAAATTTAATATTTATTATAAACTTTACAGCTGTATATGCACATTTTGCAAATCAAAAATCTATGCGTTGCCAAATGTACAATATGTTTTGTTTAATTTCATAACATTTCATGCCATAATAGTAATTTAAGTATATATTAAATAATTCATTATATTTTCTTTACAATTATTTGATGTAATAATTGCATCATAATTATTGTAAGTAGGCAAACATCTATAAGTAATATGTTGGCTATTTATTCTTATTGGTAATAATATATTTTATCAAATTATTGCCAAAATAAGCAACTTGTAAGCACTCGCATTCATCAAATCTTAAATAATTTTTTCCAGTTTTCATGAAGTAAAATCAGAAGTTCAATGTTAAAAAATGGTTTTATACATTTTAACATGTATACAAATATTAAAATGTTTATTTAACACTGAATATTATCGCATTTAGATTTTATTATGATTAATTTCTACAAAAACCTGTCATAATAAAAACTAAAAAATACTAATTTGTTTTGATTACTGTTACAATTTACCTTACTTGATTATTTTGTATATCACTATTTTTTTGGGTTTATTCAGCCTAGGGTCATAAATTTCAAAACCATTTCACAATATAGCTCAATTCGAAAAGATCAATCTTCAAAACGTTACCATTCTCTTTAACTACATCATCCTATCTCGTTTTCCAAACCACCTTTGTCTATCGGTTTTTGTACCAACTTTTCCCACAGCTGAATCAGGTTTTGACTCTTCTGTGCATGTTCATTGGCCAGCTCATTATAGTCTTCCTTTATTTATCTTTTTTTTTTTATTATTATTTATATTTTAAGAATTAATTTCACATCAAGCAAAATGTTATTCATGGTTTTGTATTAGGTAAAAGCCTATCATATTATTTTTTAAATTGTTAATTCAAATTTATACTCTTATTATAGTTTCATGCAACATTAAAATATGGAATGCAATTGCTTACAGGTTAAAAACAAAATTTTAATATTATTTTATTTGCTGTATGTACTGATCTATAATTTTTTTTGAATATTTTGTTTAGTATGATTTTTTTTTTATATATATTTTGTTAATGACTTTGTTATTTATTTTATTATTGTGGTTAAATGTATTCTTAAAACAACTCTCTTAAAATTTAAACTCAACTGTGTGTGATTTAACTGTCAACTCTAACTTAATGTCTTTTTAGACAATGTTAAAGAGCTATTTATCACATCACTTATTTAACATTTATACTTACCTAAATATGTCATACTAGTCAATAATAACATCTTTTATCTAAACAATGATCTTTAAATAGTAATAGAATGTTAAATGATATTTAAGTATTCAAATATGCAAATTTTACAAAATCACTCAAGATTAATGTAATTTATGATTTATTTTTTATTTGTATGTTAATTTTATTTAAACATATTATTATGAATAGCTAAATGTTCCAACATTATTTGTGTAAGTCCTAATTATAATCAAATATCTGATAAAAGGTTTTATTTGCAGTAAGTGTCGATTGCATTTAATGGCTTGCATTTTCAGCTTATTTATAACATATATAATAATTATAAACATATTTTCCTTCATTTATGTCACTGTACTAAAATAATTAACTATTTTTTCCTTTGCTTCATTTGTATTATCCCTTTATGTAGTAACAAAATAATGATCTCGTGGATTTTAAATGACCAGCATAAAGACTATTTTATTTTCAATACAAATTTGTACGTATTTATAAAGAGTAGAAACATGATATTTGTGAGTGTGTTGTTTTTTTTTTATGTTTAATTTGACATTACTTCTGATTCATATTTTAAAAAAAAGAAAATAGATTTTTGTTTGAAAATGTAATGTCATTGCTTTTATTTTATTAAGTATGGTAATATTTATTTTGAATTTTTTAAAAAAAAAACATATCTGTGATCTTTCCTATTTCAATATTTTTGTTCTACCAAAATCAATATTAATTACTAATATATCGTTTTTACAATTTTACTTCCTATTTGTATAAAATCCATATTATTATTACTTACCTGTAAAATTGTTACATAATTTTATAATAATATGTATTTACGGCTTGTAAATTATGAATTTTATATACTTTAGGAAACAGAAAAAAATATAGGTATATTCTATAAAAATAGTGTTTTTATTGTAATAATATTGATCATAAAAAAAAAAATTTCAAAATAAAATTAATATTGTACAATATGTACCTAATGAACTGGACAGTTTGTATTGTTTTATTGATGAACATTATTCGCTTTATGATGATGAAAATTATGTATACAGTGGACGACTTTGGGAATAAAAACCATGGCTATTTATTGCACTCGTTTTGTGGTACATGAACAGTGGGTCTGACCACTTTTTGATTCTGGACGGACAGTATGAAAACGGCATCGTCCAGCCAATAGTAGTCCTGGACCAGATCGCCCTCACACAGGTATGGTAGTCTGGTCCAGCAGAGCACATTGAAGCCAAATGGTTCAAACACATCCCGGATTACTGAACACACCTGTTGCTCAAATGTTTTTCCTGCGATCAGCAGCTTACCTTCCGGTACAGCGGACCCTGTATAAATAAATTTTGTATATTGTCATAAACACATTGATAATTTTTTAAATTTTGATAGGTTACAATATTCGTTTAAAAACTACGTATTATTAATATCCATCTTGCCGTGGTTTCGAGTTTTCGATCCACTAGTCATACTACATTTTTATTTTATTCATTTATCAAATAACATTTATTAATCATAACTGATGAATGTTAATATTTATTTTAATTCAATGTTGAATGGAAATGTATGGTCAGTTTTTTTTTTACAGGTGGGTAATTTTTTTATTTACTATGTCGGTGTTTTCTACCAGGAATCTTGTCCCAATCAAATAACAAGATATTTTTTGTTGCATTTTTAATCTAGTTGGTACCTAAGTAAGTCGTTGTTTTTTTGTAGTAACTTCTAATAATTATTTAGAAAACAAAAACCTTAGTGTTACTATAAGAAAGATATAACAAATTGTCTGATTTATAAATCAGTAACAATGGAAAATAAGTTTTAAGTGCTTGAACAGCATTACAGTAAACGTGTAATTTTGGGCGGGCATAGGGGGACTAAGCTCCCTAAATATATTTGCCGCCCCGCCCTATGATGGCACAATGTTTGTAACAAATAAAATAATTATTTGATTTCATAGCAATTAATAATTATTCAAAGTAGGTGCCTATAATGTATGAAATAGCGGAAAATTAAAACATGACTTAAAATGTCTGTGCATCAGACAGATTTAAAAATATTTCTTAAATATAAACAGAAAAGGATATTTTTAATAATATCTTTATAGAATGTAGTCAAGACAAATGTTCAAAAAAGAACTGCAAGTGCTCTGGTTTAAAATAAAAAAATGGTATAAGCGTAGTTCACCGGACACCTTTTGTTTTCCAATTTTTTTTTTCTTAATACTTGTTTTTGACGCTGAATTCAGAATTTTTTAAATATTTTTACGGAAATCATTAATAAAGAAATTATTGAAGTTTGAGAATCATCCCAATCAATTTTTATCCCTGTTCGACATGGTATATTGTATAACAAATCGGGGGTATTTTCGTTTAAAACAGTCCGAGCGCGCGAGTTTCCCTGCTAGATATATAGGCGTACCTATAATACTAATATGACGAACTTCAAACTTCCAAGATTCTTTTAATAATGATTTCCGAAAAAAATTCAAACAATTCCGAAATCAACGTCGAAAAACAAGAATTTGACTTTTGCGAGGCATTTAGGTGATAGATTAATGAAATTAACTCAAATTATAAGTACAACAGTATGGTCATATAGCAAATCTGATGTGTTCATTTTTATTTACCTATCCTAAATGTTCGTATTTATTGTTTTATATATTTGTGTTCGTATCGCAAATTTGCCAGGACTTGTGGACTATTGGATATATACGACTTAATTGTTGGACCGTTTACCTAACCTAACTATGACAATAGTTTAAATAAACATATAACTTGGTGACCTTTTTTTTTTTTTTTTAGTTTTACATAGTACAAAGCACTGAATCGAATTTTTACTTTAGAACAGTTTATTTTATTAAATTCAATAATTTTTAAAAGTTCGTATAAATTTCGGTTCGTATGGACATTCAAAACTTCGCGCGATAACGAACATGTTCATACCTCTCGAAACACTGAGGTACAAAAACAATAAACCAGACTATTAAACAGCATTTTAAAATTATTTTGAGTTTTGACCATAATAATTTTACCTAGTTCATAATATTATAAGGCACGATTTATATTTATAAAAACAAATTATTTTCGTCAAGACTTGAATAATAAACATCAAGTATATTTTTAAAATTTAAGACATTTTTGAGGTAGCAAAACGATACCCTTGCTTCCTAAAGACAATTTTAGGGGTAGCAAAGATACCCCAGAAGATACCGCTCAATACCACTTAATGACACCCATGTACAATATAAATCCATTTTGAATTATTACTGATATTACTCATACTCATATTACTACTCATATTCTATAGATTCTAAGTGTACCAAGATTATATTTAGTATACTATATTAATATAATACATTATAGTAAAACGAATTGGTTTTACTAAGATGTGTGCCTTTGTTTTTGTGTCTGCTACTTGCTAGGTAATTTTTCTACTAGGAATCTTGCTCCGATTATCGATCTCAGGAATCTTGTTGTTTTATGGTACCTAGTGAATTGTGTTTAATTGGTGTGTTGGGAAGACCATTTTTGGATTATTCCCGATGGTAGTTTTCTTAACGAATTGGGAGGGGGGGAAACGTCGGATAAACGGTTTTATTATTTATTTGTTTTAGTTTCCGAGCGAAGCTAGGAATATAGGTGGGTAGGTACATATTAGGTATTCGGTTCAAATTCATTTGAGAAAAGTGCGTAGGTAGGTTCTGATTCTGACTCACTGAACTCGTCGAAAGGTCTGTACGGCAAAACTAGCGCCACGACGATTCGGCCGTCGGGTTTCACGGCGTGCTTCATGTCGGCCAAAAGTTTTTCCGGGTCGCTGCAACGATCCAATAGGTTCAGGCAAGACACCACGTCGAATTTCTCGCCGTTGGTCCACCAAGAGTCAGCGTCCAACAATCTGCGGATCACGTGATAACAATATTATGCCATCACTGCGGTCGCAAGAAAGAACAATAATTGCGTAAATCTTTAAGGTCATTTAAATCATTGTAATAATAATATAATGAAGACTAACCACAATTTCGCAGATTAAAAAGTCGACGGCCAAGTGTCCTGCGTCCGTTATAATAATAATAATACAAATAATAATAATAATAATAGTAACAACAACAGTATAAAGTATGTATATACACGTTATGTACTTATAGTACATAATATTTAACGTCTAATGATTTTACTATAACGCATATTTTTTCTCTGTATAAGAAAATTTTCTATAACTACTGAAAATCTTGCTCGAGTCAAAAATGACAAGATACATTTTTTTTTCGTTGTATTTTGGATCTAGTTGGTACATTAGAGAGGCCATTTTTTTAAATTTTCTGAGGGGTTTTCATAATAATCGGGAAAACTAAGAAAAAAACGTAAAAGAAAATTGTACAATTGTACGCGTACTAACGAATTTATTATTTTAATGACATTGATTTTGTTTTTCTATCACAAATCTTGTAACGAAATTCAAGTGTAGTATCTTTTCTAAAAGAAAATATTGTCTTGTTGGTGCCTAAGATAGTCGTTGTTTTCATTTTCAGTATAGTTTTCTTTATAATTGCGAAAAACAGGAAACTTTACGGCATTAACGGTTTTATTGTTTTTGATTTTGATTTTTTTTATTTAGTGTAATTCAATTGAAAATGGTTTTCTTTTTTTTTTTAAAGGAAATCTAATTTTTATTTTGTTATCAATTACCATCCATTACCTGTTTCTTGAAAAGTTTCGTTAATATATTTACAGGACGGTAACCTCCTCGAGAACGATCCCAATCTCGAAATCCCCAGCAAGATTAGTCATAGTAATAGTATTACTATATGGACCGGACCGCTAAAGGCAGAATGGGCACATGTTCAATTTTTAAAATGTATTAAGAAGAAAAGAAATCCATTGAGAATCTAGTTTTATAATATTTCATTAAATGACTGTAGAAACTTACAGTCTACAAAAGATTAATTTTTTATCATTATTTAATATTAGAACATTAGTTTTATAAATATTAATTTTTTTTTTCACTTATTAAGTAAATGTTGAATTTACAGAAAATTAAAAACAATTTCAACATGTGCTCTTTCTACGGTCGGCGATTCATATAATATGAAATAATCTTCACAATCGTACCGGATCTCTTTACTGGATTCCTGTTTTTTTTTTTGTTTTTAAAAAAGATTGAATTTGTCTGTTGGAACTCACTTGAATCCTTTTTTGGATAAAATCCGGATCATGGGCACAGACTTTTCGGTCGTGTAGATGCGGCGGACCAGAGGAATGTACTTTTCGGTGGTAGCCCCGTCGCCAGCTCCCAGGTCGATCAATGTCGTGCCGGTGGCGAAGTGTGTAGTGTTCAGAAGCCTTCTGATCTGGTCGGTGGAGAACACGAACATGGATCCTCTCTGCAAAAACCTGTCGGTAGCGAAATACGTGAAAAGTTAATACAAGGGTTAATGAAGGTAGCAAAGGCTTTTAAGTACTTGTTTACAACGTTTTAAACAAGGTTCTATATCTAAAACGTTCAAAAATTTAATTGCAATAACTAATATGTCCTGAAATGAACTTGAACGTGACACTAAGTTGTTGTTTTTTATAAACGTGAATGTTTTTGGTAGGTTCATAGACAACTTAAGTTATCTTTCATAGACCATAGTTATGTTTATTACTAATATTTTATTTACACACCGGAGAACAAAAGAAATGCAGTTATTTGCCGTTCAATATTTAGTATTTAGTATTTATATACTTGCTCAAATCCTCAAACAATAAATAAGTGCCTATTTTCAATCTTTTTATTGACATTATATTTGTGTTAAATACTAAATACTATAATACTATATTTTAAACTCGGAAATAAGAGTTGTTTTATAGGCGAGTATAAATGATACAAGTTGGGTTGAATTTAAATATGAATTTCACCATAGAAAAGTAATTCTAAGGTTTTCCTTTTGGGGGTTTCAATTTCAACAATTTTAACATTTTTTTTTTTTTTTCTGGAAATAGTATAGTTGTAATACAAAATATACTTACAGTATTTGCGTTATTTTAATACTTATACTATATTCGATAACTCGGTTGTTTATTGTTTTGCAAATATTTTTGAAACACAAAATAGATGGAAAAATATTCGACTCTTTAGTGACGAAACTCTGCTGCTTACGTGTGTCTTTTCCTTGTAATTTAATTACAACGAAAACTTTGTAACTCGTTTCAACCCATTTATTATTTATAATATATAGGTATACAGGAAAATATATTGTTTTAACTGGGTACCACGAACATCTTTCCACCCAGGATGGAAGACGGAAAAAGAAATTATTAAATCGTGTTAATTATAAATTATTTGCACATAACAGTTATAACCTTTTGACCAA